GCTTGTGTTTGGCTGCCATTACATTGGGCTAACACGCAATACATGTCGCAATATTATCCCACACAATAATTACTCATAATGCGATCCTGCAGTCGAAACAACATAAATCGAACTGACTATCTCCGAAATGTGAAGCGAAATAGGTTGTAAGTTGTGAACAAATTATTTAAGCGCACTAGACTTACTACTGTTATCATAGAAAATGTATGTAATTGTTGCAGGAACAAATTATTTAAGCGCACTAGACTTACTACTGTTATCATAGAAAATGTACGTAATTGTTGCAGATTAGCATGTCGATATTCAAGCTCGGTCATGCGTATATTAAAATCGGTCCTTTTCAGGAGCACTCGAAATGTTATACGTTGGTACAACTATCTTGTCAGATTAAAGCAATAGACATTATAAGAAATAAAGGGTACCTTCTGAAATTCACTGACGTTACAGCAAGCGATTGTATCTTACTCAATTACATGCAGATAAACAGAGACACTACGATGATACTCTTAGTGTTATTGGCCTAGTGTAAGCAGGCCTCGCGGGCTGGCTCGCGACGTCATCTACGCTCCGTTTAAACGCGTTCTGATTGGTCGCATTACAGCAACTTCAACCTTGATTATCTCGAAATTTTGATATATGAAATAAAAAATGAAAATACACGTATTCATTAGAATTTGACAAGGAATGCAACGGTGTTACTACAGTGCGTTTCATAACGAACACCCTGTATATTTATACATATAAAATATATATAACAATGTACTAGCAACCAAGCCAAGTGTAAGCACAAGCGGTTCTTGGGTTGGTGGAGCATAATGCCATTATGCAATCCTGTATAAAATCCGCACCGCAAGCTGCACTATCCTTGCCCTCACAATCCTAAAACACAGGTAGGTAAAAATAGTGAGACCCACACACGCACACATTAGATAGTATATCTTTGTTAAGTCTAATCGTCATTAAAATTCCATTCTGTAGGTGACGATGATCTCCCACTTGAAAGATTCGTCTCAGGGAACGGTAATGGACCACTTACAACTTTTTATCGTCTGAACGAAGAACCCAGCAAAAGGACACATCCTAAAAGTGTCAAATTATCCATAAGAATCATTCAAAAGCGTGACAGAGTAAAAATTTCTAGATGATCTCTGAGGTACGACCAATATAATGATACATCTATACAATGATGGTATATATCTCTTATACTATAACAGTGTTTGCGTTTTACCTAGCAAAAGAGGGGCAGGCGTATCGAATCGAATTCTTCGTGGGAAGCTTCCAGTCGGACAGTATTCCTTATGGCTGCTATGAAATTCATTCCATCAACCGCCAAACAACGTGTACATTGCTCCAATGGAAGTGCAATTAGCGGCAGTGCGTTATTCGGCCCTTTGAGACTTTTAAAAATCCCGCCACGCTGGCTTAACGTCAATGAGTTACATTAGCGGCGGGTACGGTCAGCTGTGACTAATATTATCGTAGAACAGAATATTTAAACGTATTAATTTTGATGGAACGATGTTTCACTGATATTGTAATTGTATTACTCTGTCAATGATATATTCTTCATTCATCCGTCAATAATAATTATCATTAATTCCAACGGTTTCTCTTGTATCTGTTTACATGAACGGTCTCAATGTTTTTCCTGTTGCCGGTTACGAAAAATTCAAGCGGTTTCTTCTACAAGTCTCAATTTAATACCAATCAGCGGGGTGGAGCCTGCTGCAGCTATCTCAGGGACCGCTATCCGATACATTCCAATTACACGCGCCTTCCGATGAATAAAATTAGGGGACAAGAATGACATCTCATCGCAAAATCTTCTGGCGCACAGGGCTTCCACGCTAGATGAACTGGGTCAGCGTCGACCGTGATAAAATGATTTAACTAGATACAAGAAAAAAAAGGCACTATTGACAGGTTCCAATACCGGTATTCATACCAGTGGAAATAGTTTTGTTAACTTTATACCAACTGGTTGGATGATGCACAAAGGTGCTAATGATTCTTCGTGGTACTTTCGTCTCTGAACCGCTCATCATCCGGATCATCTAAGCTTCCTTGCCTCGTACAGTAATATACATAATATATCCGTGTACTCGCCTACGTATACGTAACACGCAAACCCAACAATTTACTTAATTACAAGAGACACCGTTAACGCGAGGTACCGTTTCCTTGCCAACTTTCAATGTCGACTGGGTCGCCTGATGTTTTACATTAGATTAATGAAATTTTGGCTTAAAGTATATATTAATAAAACTCAGATAACAGTCTTGTCTGTTTTAAATTAATTATAGTTAATTAATGTCTGATTAACGCGAATCACTCGGCTGTATCGTGGATTCACCTTGTCTTTACTATATGCTAATACATGGACTTGCGAAAGTTTTTGTATAATTAAGTGGATCAAGGTTGGCAACGAATAATGTTATTTGACCGTGACGAGACGATAACATTAGCTTGTGTGCGTTCTTGAAATATGTAGTCACAAAAAAGTATCTATCAAATATATTGATAAGATTATCAAATAATATGCAACCTGTCTTCTCACTATCGTGACCTTCTTGGACCACCAGCTTATTTAATAATTAGTTTTATGTAGAGGAAAAGTGTGTCGGATGAGTCTATGGTGTTCCTGAGAGTCGAGCGAACGTATTTCTTTAACCATGATGATAAATTAATTACAATTTTGATTAAATGATATAGTCTTCTTCGCTATTTGTGAATCAACTGCTACTGGGTTCATTGGTTGCATCGCATTCGGGATGAGGGTATGAGTATGGTGAACCAATTACGTAAAGGAAAAGAATTTCGCATACGACAATTCCTAAGCCAATAAGCATCTGACGTTTGCTGCAAAGAAAAATTGTAAATGAGAAAAAAATGGAAGATCATTATTATACTTTTGTAAATATAATTTACTTACTCGTGCGATTCGAATAAAACAACTAGTAATCCTTGAAATAATTTTTTATCGATCCACAAAACAGTCTCTATCAAATATATTGATAAGATTATCAAATAATATGCAATTTGTCTGTTCGCTACTGTGATCTTCTTGGAACAGGTACCACCTGCTTAATTGTAATGAGTTTTATGTATATGAATGTTTTTGATTTATGTGATTGTCATTTTTATCACTTGTTGTTATCCAAAGTGATCGAATCTCGTGAACCGCACTAGATACTTCTAGACAAGAATTCTCATACCATTCTTGAAGACAGTATATGCCAAGCTGTGCTAATGCTGTTAGAGATTTTGAATTTCGAATTGAAGCTACAATTTAAAAACTCAATACATTAATTTCCTTATATATTACTGAGGGATAAATATAATTTACCATCATTCTGCATAAATCTTAGTCCATCACTGTTATATGTTCCGGGATAAATGCCCAATCTGTAATAAATTGGAGAATTAAATAATCAATAAATTTGACTAACAATCAATAAATACCCATCATGCATCCTGGGTTCACCAGAGCGATGATCGTAATTCAAATTTATAGGAACTTGGTGATGCATCACAAAGGATTCTTAAAAAAACGATAAAACGAATTAAAATTAAAATCTACAAAAATATTATTTCAGCAATACGCCGAACCGTAAGATGAGATTGATTTGAATGAAGATGTAAATTCCTAGACCGTAATATAGTATGAATATAAGCCGGTCAATTAACCTACAGCGCCAACAAGGTTAATTAGCAACCACGTACGCCGGACACTTTCAACCCAGTAGCCCGTAAGCGGACATTACGGTTCAGCGAAGCAAACGTTAGCATTTTGCACCTGCCAGTATTATCTTGGACCAGTGGTGAGAGAAGAGAAAAAAGAATCAATATGATACCAAAAGAGAAAAATCTTCACTCCATAATTCTGCAATCAAACAATTCAATTGTTTTTATAGTCAAGCTATAGGTATACCATCTATATACCAATAAACGATACGAATCAAGTGAACATTTTACCATTGAAGATGATACCGATGGCTGGTCACAACTGTTGGCACCCAGAGGCTGAGACATTGTTGAGGTCATAGGAAGACGATGAAGCTGTATCTGGAGCTGTTGAGCGTTGCAAATGATTGACCGCAAAGTGGCGGAGCGTGAGATGACATTGATGCTTCTGAAAGAGAACAAAGGTGCATCAAAGGAGTGGATCGACCCGCGTTGAATCGTACCAGAAGATTCGAGCCAACCTGACCCTGGATGTCAGGGTCATTGAAGGAGATCAATGATCGTCTTACCGATGAAGAACCGCAAAACGTTTGTCTATTGTTTTATAGCTGAAGAAGGCTGAAAATCCCTGTCGCCATTGTCGTCGTAAGCTTTGACGGCAGGTGTTTTAAGGTTAGGTTGTTATACCTTGAAGGATGGTGGTGCAATTAACACGCCAAAGTGTCAGGAACAAAAGAGATTGGTTGTCTGGTTGATCTTGATCGTTCCGAAGCCGCAAGATGAAAAAACAGAAGCAGGTAACTGACCGGTATATAGAGGAAAACAAATAATCACTGTGGACAATATGGCTGCGGCTTCTCTACTCTTAATTTGCAATGTAATCGATCGGCAATTGAATGTCGATCGAGTGGTTAAGCGAGATCGTTATACTCCACGATATTAAACCGTTCAGCAACAAAACCACCATGAAACCGTTCAGATATAATCCCACGAATGCACCAAGAAGCGACTAGCCAGCCATAGAAGACGGATCCGATGGAAGATGAAAGTCAAAGAATCGATCAATGATTTGTAAAATCAAGAAAATTGCGACTTCTTCGACCCTTTAGGTAAATCTGGGCTATACGTTAATTAGGGTACTTCATTCGCAACAACTAGTCGAATAACAGTCCATCATAAGGCCGTTGAAAATAAAAATATTGCAAGATCCAAATTATTTAAACAATATAAAATATAATTTTATATTTATGAATTAGTCATATTTAATTATTAAATAAATTAAAAAATATCACGATCGTAATGTGGTTAGACTTTTTTGACGACATACGTAAAACAAAATCCATATACCTCAGATATCAGAGCAAAATATTCGGTAAGTGTATCTTTTCGAGATGTATACGAAATCTGGAAACTTCAGGGAATGTTTTAGTATATTGATTATGTATACATCTAATCGCTAGTAGGTATATATATATATATATTATTTGTTGACAGCACGACCATGGCTATTTTCCGATAATCAGTTATTTCTTGTGAAGTCCCGGTAACCTCACCTGCTTTTTCCGCACATATACCCCTTATTACTATAGATTCAACATATATCTAATTAAGGTACGCATCTGATACTCATTCTCATCAAAGGACTACCTTAATACCGCACGAGTTACCGATTTCTTATGATGCTTCTCTTTTTTATTTTTCAATTACTTTTTGCTTTACTCTTGATTAATGCTTTACTCCTTTTCTCATCTTCTCTTTCAATTCCTCTTCACTACTGATCTATAAAGTTGTTCGAAGCCCTACTGATGTCTGTCATCATCATCTCGATCTTGACGACTTCATTAAATATCAATTGCTCTCGCACGTTCACCGCAATCTCTACTTCGTTATTTTACATTATTCTGATTGAATAATTGACAGAAAGTTCAGGAATATTGGATACATTGAATCCTGGACTTTTCTACAATCTGATATAAGATTCTTTGAATTTCGATCTCTATTTATAACAACAAAGATATACGATGAATTGCAATGATTCGCCGGATGAACAATCGGCATAATTGACCTCTACAAAAGTTCAGATGATCATTTTATTTCTCTTCCCTTTAGATCCACTATTAGAAATTACCTTTCTCTTGATCATTACAAACCTAATCTAACATACCAGACTCAATCTATAACAAGGGATCTACAACAACAGGATCAAGGACTGATTTATACTTCTTCAAATGGTACCCATTACTAATCATACAAGCTATGAATTCAAATATTATTGAACGAGATTTATAAATTTTCTTGAAAAGTAATAAAAATCACTAAGAGTCGAGGAATCCTCAAAGTACTTGTAATTAAGAAAAATAAAGTTAATGAGCTGTTATAACGCTATAATCATTATATTCAATAGCATACTTGTAGCAGACACTCGTTACAGATGCTAAAGTATCTTTCTTTAACAGAAGGAAGAAGAGCAATCGCATGCAGACTTAATGGAGCAAATACAGTCTTATGAGCCACAGGTAAAAGTAGAGAACAACCTTACTTAACAGTTAACATTCCATTAGGAATTCAGAAAGATGAGGATTTAAGAAAAAAAAATAACAAAACAAAATTCTAAACCATAATATAGTCGCAGGCGTGAAAAAACATTGGGAAGCAGGACGGTTCTTGCCAAAAAAAAAAAATAATCTAGTTCATCAGATAACAATGATTTCTTGAATAAATCCCGTTGACACCGAATTCGGCTCTGAGAAATTAAGTCCTCGTGGTGGAAACAAGATGTATGCTTAGTAGCGACTTGTGGGTAATATAACTGTCTGACCAGCCGTGCCAAATATTATTCTTAACCGTGAGCTACGCGAAAGTTCACATAATGGCCGTGCGTCGCATAACAGGGAACAATAGTGTTACGTTGCTTGTAACAGTTAGTTAGTCGCTTTCTCGGTAAAAGGGCCTGTATCGTGGGTTCTGATCACGACTAAGTAAAAGGCATAAGAATTATAGGGTTGCCTGTGTTACGTTGTTCATTTAGATAAGACATTAAAACCGTTTTGATAACTGTTTAGAATGTTATGACAAATTCTTTGCATTGTTTTCGTTTAGCTTCTCGACAAGGAGCTTTTTAGTAAATTTTCATGATCAGTCATTCAATGCACTTTTACTTGTCTACCATTATCATCGAAAACCTTACAGCATCCCTGACGCTGCATTCGGTACGATCCGGGATTGACCCTTGGCCACGAAATGATCCGGACAATAATAATTTATTGCTACCACTTCGTGTTTACTGGGTACGGAGGCATCGCTCATCTAGATCGGAGGTGGAAATATTCCGTACAAGCCTGGGAATCGAACCCGGAACCTTCTTTCTCTTTCTTTTCGTTCTTTCTTCTTCGTCTTCTTCTTTTCTTAGTATCGCCCGTTCTCCTCCTGCAGCGAAACTGCCGTCAGGACTCCCTTGCTCGCCTTGCCGATTTCCAAGAGAACCCGTTAACCGCGTGCGGAATTCTCTGCGGAATAGGTATACGCAAGGGTGTTATACTGATAGTTGTGATCCAGTGATACCATCCTCCTCCAAGAATACCGTTTTCGAGAATTTACGTAACACCATAACACCAGATCCATGAAGATGCTGTGCTCTTCTGCGATATCTGTGAACTGCGGGGATCCTGAGTTTGCTGAACTGGAATATACTAGAAAGAAAATAAAAAGATATTTGAAAATGTTCAGATCCTTTTGTACGGATAAAGGGATTTTGATAGGATGAAGATAAAAAATTGGAATTTACCATTTTTGCGGATCTAGTTTTCGCTGGATTATTAGTTGTCACCTTTTTTAAATCCGTTTTCGAAATACCATTAGGTATCCATGCAGAACCGGAAGAGTTACGTCATCTGAGGTTCTATGCGAAATAATTTGCTACGATAGATAGATAAGGCTTGGAGAGCATCTGGCGAAGATGCGCTCCGGAATGTCCCGGTCTGATTGGCCGTCGCGTACCATCCTGGCATTCGGATTGGCCAGGTACGCGTTTCCCCACCTCGGGAAATTCACTTTTTACCCGCGTTATTACAAAACTGACTAGCATCTCCTAGACCATGTCATTACGCCGCAGTGCTCCATTCCGCAAGCATCCTCTCACGGACTCCTACTTTCTCGAGGAAGACACCGATCCATGCTCGGTTTAGTCGAATACAGTGGAATTTAAAAAAAAATAGATCTCATCGAACATAACGTCCCATCGAATACAGAGAAGAGCTTCTTATCAGAAAGTAAAAAAAAAAAACAAAAAATCCGCGACCAAGGATCACGCACAGTTAATAAAATTTCCCAATAATTTCTAATAATCTTCCAGTTTGTCAATATCTTTTTCTTGTCTTTTTAATTAAATATTGATAAAGACCAATTACGTTAACGCGTCTGCATGAGGATAGTGTGCCAGGAACATTATTGACAGACAGTGCATTGTGTTATTAAGAAGATTTGGTGATTGCGATAACGTAACCACTAATCAACTTGGAGAACATTTCATCATAAACAATGGCGGCGATACGGCAGGATCCATATCGACAATTGTAAGTCAATTTGATTGAATATTCACTCAATAACAAAAGAAACACACCACACAACTATAGTCGACAATAATAATAAAAAAATTAATTAACACCATTGGTCAAACTGGAATAGCAATAACGAGACTTATTTCTCTATTTACGTGTAGCTAATCTACACGATATACTATAAAACAATGTCCCATTGATGACATCCTGTGGACATCTATCATTCATCTCACATAATCCTTTATGTTGTTGTCGAAATACTTGAAAACTGGTGCCAACGACTTGCCAATTTTTTTCGTACAACTTCACTCAAATCTCAGCTGTCATTGCGTGACGTGCAGAAACCCCTATTGGCAGAGTGTCTGACGTATCTCGTTTGACAAATGACGGGTTACTTTTCAATCGTGTACCATTAGAACGTCGAGCAATCAAACGGGACAGTAACCACAGTGCTCGGGAGGATCGTGCACTAGGTTGCATGCCTGGTACCACCATAGGAAATGATCTCGACCGATCTAGCTCCATTGCCAACGTGTATGCGCCGACGTCGAGACGCCCCGTAATACAAGTAAACATCGACGACACACATGGTGCTCTGGTGTGGTTAGTTTACAGCTAGTCACCAACGTTGGTCCCTGTCAGATCCCCTCTTGTCAACCAGTTCAGGATTGTGATCCCGGAAGAAGATAGCAGTTCACATTGATTTAAAAAAAAAGTTAGGGCCATTAAAAAAAAGAAAACATTGAAATTATAATACAAAAAAGATCCGTACTTACAATTTCACTATAGAGCCAACTGTTTCAATAATATTAAAAATAATTTTTTAATATTTCTCCAAGAACTTCTTCCCCAGGCTTTTACTGCTTCTCGGTATAGAGATGAAGCTTCTTTAAACGTAATGGCACTCGACTCTCCACGTTCCCCTGTAGCTTATTCACTCGGTGTCCATTCGTGCGTGAAGGGTACTGGCGCAGTTCTAGTGCAAAATTGAAACAGTGGATCAAATCCTGAAATGCTTGGCGTTCCGTACGAGTTACCAAGTGAGATGTATATAAGTGGTAAAAAAGATTGAGCGTTTTCACCGCAAAACATTACGCGAAGAAACATAGCACCTGCGATGGTACCTCGGCACCGACAGTGCTTACCTACGTATAACAGATCTAAAGTTCTGCTACAAGTAGCTTTGCCAGGCTAGTTGCAAATGCTTAAGCATAAAATAATAGAACTATTATGTTCCTTGTAATAATTTACGTGAAATTAGTGCATAGCTAGTGGCATGAATAGGACCATTGAATCCAGGAAAAAAAATAATAAGGAAACGATACTTCGGATGAGTCTCAGAGGAGCAAGCAAGTCCCATTGTCGGTCAGAAAGAAATTCTAAGTGTCAGAAATGAGGTGAGGCTTATCTTTACGATAATTCCGACTGACGTTAAGTAGCTTGATAATCGCAATTCGCCGTGGAAAATATTCTCACTCTGCTGCTTTTAAATTCTATCTTTCATTCCCAAGGAGGTTTAATTCCTTATAGGGTGACTTTGCCTTTACTTTGTCAGACGTCATAGCATTTCCGGATATTACTTTGTTTTCATCTATAGTGAATACGCTTGCTGTGGTATGTGGATTTTTTTGAAGATTCCTTAAGGCGGTTCCGCATGAACGACAGGCGTAAGAATATCTTGAATCGCAACGACGGGGCGGCTGTCGTGTCTGATAATGCGTGGCGGGATATTCAAACTGCTGGAGTATGTCGATGATACTTGAAAGAATACTTTCCTACGGTCAAAGTCATAATTAATTATAATTAGCAAATTAGTGAAACGTACATTGATAATGATAATAGATAGTGTTATGGAGGTGTGTGAATTTTACTAGTTTTTTTAAATACCTTTTATACTTATTCGTATCCTGCGATTAGTCGATGGATCGGTGTTTGCAGGCATGAGCGGTGCTAATAACAAATTGGCCGGATCGAGTCTGCTTTCAATTATGGTGCAAATTGATGCACGTAATGGAGAACGGATTGTAGATCGTGACTCGTGGAATATCCCATTATGAGTGGCCCTTTATGGGGATCTCAATAGAGAACCCATGTGAGAAGTATGACCGTCATTTTTCACGTGTCAGTGAGGAGTATCAAGCAATTAGATACAGTAAGTGACCTTCGATCGGGAAACATTATTCAATTTTTATTTATGGGATTAATATGAAGCGATAATTGTCTTGAGTGAGACAAACTAGATTTTTTTTGTTTTTTTTTTGTTCTTAAAACTTCAATTTTGGTTGTGCTAATTTAAACCTGAGACGTAACGAAGGAGGTGGCTAAATAAATCCAAAAAATTGGTATAACGACAGCTTTAAGAGAAGAAAAAAGATAATAAAAAAAATACTGAAAAATCTTGACTTCTGTGGCCTTATTTTTACATGCGCTTCCATTCAGCATTACCGGATCATCGTGTTTGATCGTGGTAAATCGTGAAATTCGCGTGGAAGAGTCACGTTCACTTATTTATCGAGATTCTTCAATAACTGCAATTAAAAATTAATCGAGTTACCGTGACAATGAAATTGTTTATTTATATAATTGTTTAGCCACGCCATTGTAATTGTATTTTCTATTAAAAAAAAACCGCTAAGCAGTACTTGAAACAGTTTCACAACGGTTTTATAAGAAATCTCAATTAAATGCACCGCGGCTTAAGGAACATTTTGCAAAGAAATCTTATTCATACGTACAATGGGTAATGATTGATAAACTTTAAAGCATACGTTCAAATTACAGCATTACTTAGAATCTGCCGCCAAGACTACAGAGAGAGAGTTGTCGCCCAGTCCGACAATAACGGCAAACTTAACATGAAATCTGATAAAGAAAATATTTTAATTGGTCAGTGACAAAATCTCTATGAAACTAACTAAGACTATATATTGTAGTGTGTTCAGTCTATAGAACAAAATTTAAGATCCAGGGGACAGCGTTGCCTTAAAAATCATAAACAGATGGTCCCTGGAAATGAAACTTTTATCGCAAACGAATTCCTACTACTTCCAACATACCTGGATAAGTATCCCAGGATGCAGAAGTATTACTCAAGGTCGTTGAATGAAGAAAAGAAGTATAATAACGTGAAAATAACCGATTTCCAACAGCCAGACGATCCATCCACTTCAAGGTAATGTCAAAATGGCTTTAGGTAGGATAACTTCACGAGGTACCAAGAATCAGCGGGGTAACGTAATAGGAAACTCTCGTTACAAAACTCGTGCCTATAGACATAAAACTTCCAGCATAAACTCCTTCGGGTAACTACTGGTCCTTTACGTTGATGCCTGGTAGTCAGAACTTCCTCTTCCGCTCCAGAGAACGTTGCCCACCTTGAGTATCTACGGTTGTATTCCTTTTTTTTTCTCTGTAAGTTGCCTTCCTTGCAAATCATCAACCATTTCTCGAATCCATAAAGGGAAGCTTCAGGAAAGCATTAACGGCATAGTTGGAATTCTGTAAAGAGAAAGAAAGACAATATACCAGAAACATAGTCGTGTGATATCTTCCATTCTGTACCTGCAATTGGGTTTTGACATCTAACGTCGATTTTAACAAATACACTGAACTTTGAGTCGAGTATACTGAAATTAAGGATAGGAATGTTAAGCACTGTATATCTGGTCTTTCTATCCGTTATGTAATGTCACGACCTGCCTATATACACGTATGACGTTAAATGATGATGACGTTACCAAAAAGGTAAATGCCTAAACGGCGACAGTACGGAAAGGTCACCACGCATGTAATGGAGTAACGACCTTTATGAAATAAAAATGAAGATTCTTAAAGTCGACAATTAACTTTACGACGACTCATTTACAGACGATTACCAGTGTCGATATTGTTTAAACGGTATAGTAAAACAATCAGAGTACTCAGATAATCATACCCATTAGGAAAATGACCGGATACTTTCTACCGTCTTATGATGTAGCAATCAACCTGACATTTAACCCTGAAAATTTTATCGTACGGGTTATGCATTGCTGGTACCTTAAGATCTAAGGTGCTAGTATCTGCTGCGTTTATCTGCATGTAAATATGCTGAATGAATATAGCTATATTTGTCAGAACGTTCAATTCTTCTTTGATTCAAGGTCATCTGTACTGCTGATAGTGAAATTAATTTCAGTTTCAGGGGATCATCTCCTTATGCCATACAATATACGAGTACCTTGAATGTATAACGTAAGGTATAATAAAAAAAATATACAGATCGTATATGAGTATCTTTCTTGGCATACCGATTGGAAATCGTCGTAGGTTTAGTACTGGGATGCCTCCTTGATTTAACGACGTCCCGCGGCTAATGGTGCTGTGTGACTGCAAATTGTATGAGTCTATGTAGGCCTGATGGCTATTATACCATGAAATTTATTGTTCCCGTCGTTATTAGAGACGACCATCCTCTTTGCCAGTCTTTACCCTTTGATAGAATTCAGAGTAAATGGTCAATTTTGTGAGAGACACGTGTGATTTACGAGCGCAAATTTTCTTTGCTGTTTCTAGAAAAATAAATTGATATAGATGTAATAATAAAATAGCAAAGTGTATTAGTAGTTCTGAGAAAGTCAACTTTTTATCAAGCTAGGGAAATTTAAAAATTCTCCGTTAATTTTAAAAGAAACTGCAGGTGGTCACGTGATCTCTACGCACATGCGCAGAGAGTAATTACTCTCGCCTTTATAATTATACTAATTATCTTCTCACTTTCATATTTGCATAAATCTTTTTCTTTCTTCCTGTTTCCTCAGTCGATCGCGTTTGTGATCCAAGATACTGATCCCACTTTAGTGCTATGGAACGTTAAATCTCATGGATGGAATCGGCTGATCTGTGTTCTGATTTTAGGTTAAGTTTTAAATTTCACAATAGTTAACAGTTCGTTACCCTTGGGTCGTTTACAGTTAATTTTCTAAAGTGTCTTACCGAACGATGACGCACCTTACTATTCCAGGTTAACGTGAACGTTCTGAAATTATATTCCAGTAATGCGGTCGATTTCAAGCAATGCATTCATTAGTTTGCTTTACGAGCCAATAACCAGTGGCCTTACGCCGCTGCGCGAACCGACATGTAAGCCAATTGTAACGGTGGCAACCATTCGTCTAGACAATTTTTCTCTTTTGGGCAACTGAGAAAACAATTACCCGTCAATAGATTTATATACCTACTGGCTACCGTTAAATCTTGTTTGAATAGTACTGGACCTATGGTCTGTATTTAAAGTCAGTGCTTAAGACGATGCTCAGTCTTACGACCATAGATATAGTAATAATAAAACATGGTAGAGGATGTCTTAATATCTTGCTTAAAACGAATAACTGACTATAAATACGGGCCATAGATTCCTTGATATTCAATGACCCAAACATTACAAGAGATGGCTCCCTCAATTATGGACTGCCTGTAGGTATATTTATCTAGATCTATTTATCACTCTTTTTTTCTCATCACTTCTCTTACAGTTATAAATCAAGATCAAAGAGATCGCGTAATGTGCGCTAAACCAGCTTGATCTAACGATCTATAACCACGATGCAACAGACTCTTCTGCATGGTCTAGAAATTAACCCAGTATTTTCCAGTGAGAATCTATTCTACAGCCATTTTTTCTTTAGCCTCTTTCAACTATTTTTCCCACAATGTCGAAGACCTACAAACTGTGCAATTTGTTAATATGCCTTGCAATCTTCAAGGCCGGAATATCAAGAACGCGGAACCTGCGCGTCTATATCCTTTGATAAACTTCGTTTGAAACTGGGACAGCCGTGAAACCTCACGTAATTAAATCTTCAGTAATTCGACAATTAATATACAGATCACATATTAGATTGGTAATAACGCAAACTCTATTGAAATCTCATCACATAGGACAATAACTAGTGACTGTTATGACTATTTCCATTCTTTCCTCGAATCAAAATGGCGAGTTTCAGTAGCAGAAAAAGTCACCGAACTCGCTAATGGCCACGATCATTTGTGGTTGCGGTTCTTTTTTTTCACGAAGATAAATAAATAAAAGAATGATGAAGGAAACGTGCATGAAATAGAAAGAAAAAAAAATCAGAGACTTCCGCGCACTAACAAATTAGAAACAATTACCGAAATTACCAGCTGAATACTGTCTCCATTAACTAGTCTAAGCACGTTACGTAACTGCATTACTGTACCGGCATCAAAAGAGGAAGTTAGCACACGTGTTTCTTCCCGATCTTAAGTCCAGTTTACTTTTATAACGGCCTAAGACAATTACAGAAAGACGTACGTAAGGCCCAGCATCATGCTCGAACAAGATACAACGCTTTCAGGTTAGCCGGCGCTGCCAACATGCTAAGCTTTTAAATTTATCTTATTTCCATTATAATAGTTTTCACAAAAGACAGATTTCCTTCTGGTGTTCTAAAGTGAAAGATAATTGTTAATATTTAAAAAGACCAAACGAGCCTGTATGCCCAATTTTTTATACAGAAGTAAATCTGTTGTTTCCGCGAGAACATAACCTTTAACGGCCGCAAGAGACAGTGATATCCGTTACACAGCGGAGCCGCTTAAGCGTACGTAGACGGGAGCAGGTAATCTGTGTTTCGGAGGGATTATGAAAGAGACTGTTGGAAAATTGGAATCTCGTAGAGCCAGGCAAGAGGCAGATAGTTTCGTGAGTGAGCTGGAGGAGTAACGGTCCCGTTCCATGTGGCGCCCCAAGTAAACGTCCTCTGTACACTCATTATAAGTACCCTGTATACTTGAAGGCTGATAATGATACTTACAAAATATCCAGCTGGTAGTTCATCTGTTTCAGGATAATTAAATCTGGTATAAGAAATATCATTGACCGATGGGATAAATCAAATGAGTGGTACGATAAGTATATTATGATGACACTTTGTCACTTTAAATTCATCTGCTTAACAACACAGGTAACAGGTTATATTCTATTGGATGAGTTTAGAGTATATAAAAGGTCTTCGATGAGTTAAATACTGTATTAATAGTTATTTCTTATTTAGATGCTACGGATGATTATTTCTCAGATGAATTGTTCTGGCAAGTCACCAAGGAAGCGAGCAATGCATGTAAAAGAGGTTAAGCCACAGGCACGCGTCCGTTAGTCACTCCCTTTCTTCTTATCTCACTGCATTGCATCTTCATTTTTTACAAGACTTCATTTTCCTGGTATCCACAGGTACCTGAAGAAGTGTCACGCGATAAGATCATCCGTTTCTGCAGTCTCTCATATGTATAGGTACAATAGTTATCTTCATTCAAATTCAAAGTTAGATTCTAAAATAGCCTGGAGCTCATTGATAGCCCTTAGGAGCATCTACTGAGAAGTGTCGCACACCGTTCTAATCGGTGGTTTATTGAAAAAAAAAGTAGATCTTGAAGAAGCAGTGCAACTGCTATTCATTGATAGTAATTAATAACCTTTACTCCTTCAGGGCTAAATGCCAGGACGTATCCGCATTTGGATTTGTATGCAGCAACAGATGCCACGTTATCCGCACTATATACTGACAACCTATCTTATATACATAGATATGTATATGAGGAATGCCATGAATTGAAGAGGATTAATCGTGCCTTTGTAGCAGCACTTCTAACGCACAATACCAATACATCTGTCAATCCTGACACAGTCTACTTCGCGCCCGCAATAACGGTTCATTAGTAAATGATCGATTTTCTACAGAGCCAAATGAGATTTCTGCAGGCTCATTGATATCCGCTTAACCCGCGGGTTAAATAACACTACTTTCAGAGAAGAAGAAGAAGAGATATATAGAGAAAAAAATGGAAAGAAACCTTGATAAATCTTCAGGTTCATCACTGGCCCGCTGCTATATATTCACGCTTGATAATACACCATGCCTACTATCATGGACCCCCCTTGGCGGGATAGAAATACCCACATCCCAGAGATCTTTTCCTATGATGAAAGACTCGGAAATTGAGCGGCCATTCGTTGGCTGTCGAGCAAAACGAAATGGAGACCGGATGCCATCAGTGGAATCTTCATAGAAATAAGAGAAATTAGTTTATGGTGTCTTATATATATTGGGTACTTACTATGTCGGCAACGGATTTATATGTACACTGAGGGATGACTTAGTTACAGTTAACAATTTACTGTTACCGACAATGAGCTATCAACAATCAGCCATGGAAGTAGTGCATCGGGTTCCTGGCATCGTGGGTTGTTCGACATACGTTATGCTCGCAGCGTCACACATACACACAGACACGCACACACATGTACAGGTATATATCCCATATAAAAATCTAATCCTTTACCCAGGTGGAAGATTAATCACGAGATCCGTTAAAAGGCTAATCACCCTTACCGTTTAGCGAGCATACTTTAACGCCTGTTTCTTTCAAGGTATCTAGAACAATCATGTAATTCGTGCAATTGCTAAATTCCTCTGCGAATTGAGACTCTAACACGTACTAATCTGTATGTAATGTAGACGATTCCATTTTATTGAAGATTTTTATGTTCTCTGATAGGCATTGTTATATCACTGGTGTTTCACTTAAAGTAGGTATAACGAACCCTAACTGTTTTTATGACAGACTTTTTGTCCAGATCCGGCTAGATATGCGTGACACTACGTTAATCGTTAATTAAAATCATTAAGCAAGAGACAAAGTGGAGTTTGATGCATTAACGGAGGTAGAAGAGCATCCAAGCGTACAACGTCCTTCTAATTGTACCAAAGTAATGAATACGACATCGGTACTCTCGCCATGACTAACTAATTGCGACGTGGAAATAGCTGAGATGATCTTAGTGCGAGAAACGTCGAAGCGTTTGGACACCTGCCGGAGAACGTACGAAGTAATCGTGAAAATGGAGTAACCGAACGTCTAATACTTATTCCCTTTTTTTTTTAATCTATCGTTAACCACGTCAGTTTGTTATTATATAGGTATATCGAACAAGTTACAAAAGCCATGCCACCAGCAAATGGTGTTGCATTCTGGTCTACAAGAGCTTCTATGACTACATTGCGGTTCACTGAGATCTCAGGATCATGAGAATCACCAGATCCAGATAACTCGTAAAGCATGGATCCAGATAACTTGTAAACCATGAACCAGCCGTTCAAATTGATTCGATTGGCTCACGAAGTAACGGAGAACAATTGACCAATTGATTAACAATATCCAAGAGGATCTTCCATTCTGAAGATCTCACGCTTGCGGAACATCCATCAGAAGCTTGACAGAATTGCAATCTCTTTATTTTTACAGAAATCGTTTAGATAGTCGCTCATTGTAGCATTGATCCACAGTCAGAATCTTATCGAACAATAATTCATTTAGGATACTTAAGTATTCAACCTTCATACTTATTTCATTGATTGATCACTCGTACATTTCTCAGCAATTTATTTTATTTTTTTCTTTCTTTTAAGTTCCTAATCTTTATGATGGATTAAGTAGTCACTAGATTCCCTAGGATATCACTGTAACGGTATACGTTCAGTCGAGCGGGATTATCGTCTCTGGTTTGTTACAGGCTGTTTCCACTTCTGACATATTTTTTTTTTATTATACATAAACCATTAAGATACCAGCAAGTGTATATCTGCTTGGAACCTGGACAATAGAAGGTTTTATGGTAAAACAAGAAAAACTACTGAATCGGCTTGTCACAAAATTACTAAAGGATTACAGTCAATTTATCTCTATGATAACAACGACAATTGGATCTATGGTAACTTTCTGCATGCATATCCTACAGATAGAATTACATACCAGCTATACACCAGAGCACATAAGAATTACCGATTTCCTTTTTACCACTGGTTAAGATAATAATACTAAATCGTTCGACACGAAGAATTCCGTTCTTCGTCCTATTGCCATGTATCGTGCCAGGCTTCGTATACCGATCTTACCTAACCTAACCATAGAGAAAGCACTCCTCCCAAGAACGATCTTCACGTTTAATTCGTACTTAGGCAGAAGGGTAATCGACCGAAATCCCGGAGTAGCGATTATCGCCAACCGATTTCCTGCTCGCTTGAACCACGCGAATAGCGGATATCGATTCGATTTATCGGTTTGCCTACGTATGCTATACTCACACGCATATACATATATATAAGATATAGAGAGTGATCAATCGGTAAACTTATACCGATCCGTACCACATATGGCGTTTATATTACCAATATGCTTCAGATCTATTCATTTTTTTATAGATAACATATCCAAGACACGCCTTGGATTACGTACAGAATTTACAACACGTAACAGCCTGGCGCGTACGATGCATCTTCTGAACTTAACGCATACCTTGGCCAATGTTAATTACCCTGGGATTCTAAGATTGGATTAACAAGAGACTAGTCACTGGCTGACTTTTAATTCTTACACAGTCTGATCCTGAACGCACAGCTATATCGCAGCACTGCATAACGGATACGAACTTGTAAATCAAGCCAAATGCTCCAATAGCAATTCGCAGGAAGCCATTTCCTCGACTACCGTTTCTTCATGCCGACCATGCATGACCAAAGAGGTCTGTTCCTCGGGTAAAAGGTCGCATATAATTTGAGGCATCTTTATATGCTACGTAATGACAGTCGTGATGCTTGTTACTTTTGCCAATACAGTAACACGCTGCCCTACGCTGTATTACTAAATACACAAAATTCGTAGTGGCGAATTTCGAAGTCGAAACTGTCTGACCACTTTTTGTAGCGACACTTTATGTTTCTAATGGATTCCAAAAGCCTCTGGATACTCCTCTTCCCTTCTTTGTTCCTTTGTTCTTATTTCTCTTTATTATTTTTCTTTCTCTCTTTACCTTGCTCCATTTCTCTTCCTATTCTTCCATGTAACTCCTCTCTATCTTTCCCTCGCTTTCTGTCTTGTGCTTCTCGGCCCAGGAGGCCATAATTATGAATGCCATTATCCTAATCTCGGGTTTATATCGGCTGCACTTAAGCGCAACGGTAACTCGCTCCCATCCTATCCCTTGTGGAGTGTTCTGTACTGCCAATAGGTTGTTGGTACTCTAGTAGTATCAACCGTAGGAAGCCAGACGAGAGTACAGAAGTAGAGGCAGAGAACAACAGACTGTATACTTGTGTTAGACGATGAATTCAGCATAAGTTAACACCGATCTTAATTGCAGTTATATGCAAATTTCAAGCAGACACTTATATGCGCCCAGACTGTGTGGATCCACTTTTCTACAGGGTCTAATGTTAACTCAGATATCCCGTGCGAACATTGTATAACTGCGCTTTTATATGCTTGCATGGTGGACGTATATTATTCTTGTGGATATATATTATACCTAAGCCATTTTGTTTTCGTGGTGGTCTCAACTGTCTTCGTTAAAGAAATTTTAAACGATCGTTAGCCCCACTCTGTCGATTTATTATTCTCGTAAATTCTCACCCTGGTCCAAGGTTTATTCTCATCTCTGTATTCTCTATTCGTTTAAAGTGAAATACCACGGCTTTGTTGTGTTAAGATATCTCGAAAATAATGCAGCTTTTGTCTGGCAAAATACGCACGTGGCTACTTCATGCGCATGCGCAATAGACTGACAAAGAGCCAATTATTAACGTATTGGCTTATGGCGGTTTCTTGATGCTGACAGTAAAAAATTTTACACTGACAGAGTTTAACTGAGTACGTATCTTGATGGAAATTTATTTTTATTAATATACAATTTTGTGGTAGGTCAGGATTTGTTTCATATTAAAACACCAATACCCATTTACGCGTTACTGATATGGTTATGTGAAAATTGACTCAGGTTCTCGATACGACAACAGGATCTTGTTTTGAAGTTTTAATCCTTTTTAAAGAATCCCAACACTTGTGCGACCCCGAGGAAATAAAATATTGCTCTTATTACATGCATATAGAAGAAAATCGAATATATAATGAAAAAAGGATACATAACACGTGATGGTCCCGTACGAGGAAATGGCACAATAATGGCGTAATGATGGAGACCGCCACTAGCAGATGCAATACTAATCTAATTAATAGCTCATCTCGCGTAAGATGGGTCGAGTGAACGGGTTACGTAGCCTGCGGCGACACGCCTACCTTCTTCATCATCCAAGAGGAGCGTGAACGTCGTTATTCCATGTTATACGTAGGCGTATTAGGTCAGGTGGATAAATCTGATCCCCTTTAACAGTATCGCTTATTATTTCATGCGTTTAATCCAAAAATATTGGATTTCCGTTTTACATGAACCATCTTAATTAAATTATGTTTCATACGGTCATCGGTCCTTTAACTAGATAATATTTGATCTCATATTCAAGAAAATCTTGATTGTATATGATGTTGCTTCTCCAAGCGGGATAGTCATTGCCATCGGGGATGATCTTTTTGCGATTTAACGGTTGCACGACTGTTACAAGGACGAGCGAGGTCGCTGCACGTGCATCTAGGTGGGGATAAGAAAGTCGTTCGAGGACGTAGAGGAAGCTTTCCAAGAGGATATCTATGGAAGGACAAGTATTGATAATTAGGAGTGACGTAATAGTGAGAAACGAATTTATTAAAAATTCTATTCTTATCCTTAACTGTAATATTTCATTCCTAGAACGTATATACCGATACCTCAAAGGATCTCGTGGCTGGAGGTCAGTGCCTTATCCTGATCCTGGATCCTCGTGGTCGGTCGTGAAGTAGCAGTAGGAAGTTATGCATCTTGTAAAAATACAACCCACGGTCCTTCCTGAGAACGCGCCCTAACGATCTCAGTATAGTTGGACGGCCTTGCTTAATGTTTTGTAAAACAGAAAGATACGTTCATGCTTTATGCAGACCTCAGGTTAAATTCATCCTCCATATACATATATAGATATACTTTACGGTAATCAAGCCGTCACGGAAAGTCTTTCCCTATCTCTAATAATTGCCACTGATTATATATCCGCGACGCCCTGACGAGCATTGAGAATCACGGTAATCATTATCGATAACTAATAACAGATCGCACGATAGCTAAATGCAAAACTTGAATGTATTCACACGGTAGCTTAAAAAGTACATACCGTGAATAGTACGTAATATCTGCAGACAGTAAATCAGAATTGAAAGTATTCGAAGATTTGTTAAGATTTTCAATTATATCTCTTTGCTGCTTGATTGTAACATAATTTTGTTCTTTTTCTTACAGATACGCTCTCGTCTTCTGGCTACTTTTATTCGCGTTTTGCACCGTGGAATCACTGGTAAACATTTAATTTATGACGATATTAATATACTGTACACTATATATCCAGCTTCGTTGTACTCAGTAAAAACTTTTAATCCTCAGGCGTCTAGTACACAAGGTGCCAGCGACGTCGAGACGCCTATAGAAGATCCCGTTATCGAGGACGCTACCGAAGATTATTGGGCAGGAAGTGGCTCCGGTCCAGATGAAGATGATTCTCTTCATAACGAGACAAGAGAAGCTCTAACGCACGAAGCAAGCGACCACGAAGCGGTGAGCGATTCTCTCCCAGAACCTCCGTTTTCTTCTGCACGTCAATTTCCGACATAACGAGCCACTTTAGATAGCGTTCTACGTTCTTTACGTGCAATGATTCTAATGTGACCATGCGATTAGATTAACACGTGTGAAAAAAAAAAGATAGAGTTCTACCTTATCGACCGCGGTATAATACTGATAGTAGAAACTTTATGGCATATATAAGTGAATAAATTACACTGGTTTCTTAATTATGTAATGCGTTATGCGCGAGATACGCTAATACCACTTGGTGAGCACGTGCCGTGATTTTTTTCTATCGAGAATACATTAAAGTTGATGTCATTCCGAAGATACAGATTGTAAACGACATTCCGGAGCGAAATTAATTATCAACGCCTGCCTTTAATGTATGGAGCTAATTCAATCGCACTCTGTTCTATATATGGCACAATGCACGTGCTACAGTGCATAATAAAGCCAGTCGCCAAGTCCTCGACTCACAGTACGTTTCCAAGTCCCAGCGGTAATCACAGGCATAAAATAAAAGTCACGAGCGTAAAGTCCATCCGTTTCGCACGGACGTCCATTAAAAAAGAATAATAAAGAAAAGCACAGTCGAGTCTTAAGTATCGAATAATTTCTCAATTAAATATATACGCGAGTAGCCATTTAACGGTAGTCAGTCAATTTGAAATAACAGAACTGTTGTGGCCATGAAAGATGATCAATCCGAGAAAATGATGCGTCAATTAACGCCGTGAGGTTGCCGATATGGAAGGAAGAGAGGAGAAAAACCGCTCGAAGAAATGGACCAAGAGAATAGCTGTATGGCGTTAACGACCAAGAAGTCAGCTTTTCCAGTTATGTATTCAAGATGAGATATATTCAGCGTCCGTTTTATCCAAGCCTGAAAGATGGAAGATCAGGTGAAGAGAATGAAAAAAGATGAATATCAACAAGAGAGCACATGCACGTCCTACCTGATACATTTTCTGGTCATCATACGTAAATGTATATATATATATATATATATACACACATATGTCTACTCGGCATATAATATATAGCTATACAGTGATAGAGACGCTCTTATCTCACGAAGCCGGTTTTACATCCTTGGCTGCATTTTGCGCAACTAGGTGCATTCACCTATCACACATATGTCTACTCGGCATATAATATGAATATCAACAAGAGAGCACATGCACGTCCTACCTGATACATTTTCTGGTCATCATACGTAAATGTATATATATATATATATATATACACACATATGTCTACTCGGCATATAATATATAGCTATACAGTGATAGAGACGCTCTTATCTCACGAAGCCGGTTTTACATCCTTGGCTGCATTTTGCGCAACTAGGTGCATTCACCTATCGGCACGCCTCAACTAATGACTTTCGACACCCCAACCACGCGACCGTTAATGATCGCATGATCGTACGTGGGTGTCCTCGTCGTAGTACGTGACGTGTCAGATCTACGTGATCGAACTTCCTTCGATATAATATTGTAAATATAATACCTGCTTCCCATATACCCACCGTGTCCGTCGGTATGACAGGTCGTGACTACTCGCCATGAGAAAATAGAAGATTCTTGTTCTAGTTCTTTTGAATATTTTTCTTTTATTTTCCTTCTCTCTTTCTTCGCTCGTTCCCTCGTTTTGTTATCTGGGAATAAACAAGCAGACACGACACCGAGTGAGAATTCTTAGGGACGTCAATCCGAGTTCCTTGTGTATCAAAGTGAATGAACTCATAAGGAGTTGGTCACGCGCGAATGCGATTATCCTTTTTATTAAAAAATTTTTTTCTCGTCATCATCATCATCATCATCATCATCATCATTCTATGGTCGCTTTGACTGGTATCGACTGTACTACTGTGGTTGTCAGTGACCTCTTGACGTAACTTTTACCTCGTGACGGTCGAGCCGACGTGGGAGAGGTCACGGTCTGAGAAAGTAAACGAGATGTCGCATCTTCTTTTCTCTCTTTTTCTTTTTCTTTGTGTCGCAAGATAAGAGAATCGTGAGGTTACCTCAGGAGCATTCACACGGTATATACCCGGTGCACTGCATATATTAGATGATCTTGAGATTTGATTTTAATAAAGTATTAACTTTGTCTTTTAGGTGGTATACGTTGGCGAGGGTGCCGGATACGTACCTGTGCCCTCTGTGAGAAACAGACCCCTCACAACCAATCTTCAAGCCCTTCAAACTCTTCAGGGTCTTCAGGGCTTAGCTGGTGGCGGAGGAGGAACTGGAATTGCTGGCGACGAGGACTGGCGTCGACATCCTGAAACGTGGGATCGCGAACACAGGAGATACAGACCCAACACCACAAGAGTGCAGCGTAAGTTTATGCATGGTAATCAGCAGGTGCATACTGGATGAACGTGGAACAGGATCACCCTGGGAAAAGATGTAAAATGAAAATTCAGTGAATATTAACCTAGCTGTGAATTCTCTAGATTTTTACATGAATATCTTGTCCGTTGGTAGCAGTTGGTATATATGTATATATATATATCGTATATAAACCACAGGGTGGTTTTGCACTATTGCCAAATTTTGTTAAGTTAGGTTAGTCTATTGATAAATGGCAGTGTATCTGCTTATTAACAAAAAGATATGAACAAAGTAATACAGGTATATGAATAGAAGAGAAAATTGTGCAAGTAAATAGTAAAAATTATCGGTTCGAATCTTTACTATTATTTATAAGTTATACGTCACACAATTCATCAGAGATCGTGATATCCTTGGCGGCCATATTGAAATTCGACAATAGCCCTGAACGGTCCTGTATGTACAATATATATATATATATCCAGAGGACGTTAAACGATGAAAGAATAAAGGTTTGCGCTATTGCGTTATTAATGCATTGCGCAATGACCGACCATCTTACAACAAAGAGCATCGAAAGCTTGTTCGAAAACAATCGTTACAATTACAACATGGAATACGAGCCCGGGATTGCGAAGTATTTTTTCAACGGAGCGTTACGGCATTGCGAAATTACCAAATCATTAGAGAATTTGGGCTTTGCGTTAATAAAAAAATATTAATCTTCGTCTCAATGATAATTCATTATACGATTAAAATGTCGTTATTCCATAAGAATTACGGCTTACCGTACGAGCAGGGACGAAACTGATTCCGAAACAAAATGGCGAGTCACTACCGTTAGTCCGGCAATTAAAACGGTGTCGGAAGTCGTACTGCTGCTGACACTGCAAGTCCGGCGCACCTCACAGTGCAATTCAATAGCAGCATCGAGTGTACGGAAAGTCGAGCAAGTTAGATGAGGGCCAGGATAAAATTACTAGACTTTATATAGTACGCTCTATGTTATGCATATGTAAAGCCAACTAATGTATATAGATATATTTAACACAGTGACTACGTGGTTCAATGAAGCCATAAAGCGAACTTGATTACGGGAAGTTCTTTCATAAACGACAGTCCCCGACTTACGTGGATTATCAATTGTCTTGAAAACAATTAACTTTTATATGCCCTCATTGGTTATAAATATATTCCACACAATTTTCAAATATACATACAGATCTGCACTTGACTAACGAAAATTGCAGTACCTTCGAACATTCAAATTTTCATCACAAGAAAGCAGCAGCTTGTTGTCTCTTGAAAGGAAAGAAAAAGACTTAGAAATGACTTTCACGTTATAATTTTATCGAAGCATGGATTTGACTTTATATAACGAGATTTTCTTTATACATATGATATCCCAACGTTTTCTCGCACGATGAACACGTATACCTCGTGCACTGCGTTTAAAATTCTAATGTATCTAGAGTTTCGTATACAGATTTATGTTGGCTATACTCTATACCATATAACTTCTATATATGAAGTATACTGTATCCTATACTGTATTGTATCATCGTTCTTTTTTCAAGTGTAACTATCGTATCTATCTTTGCTGGCGTAAGTCACGTCGTTACGTCGAAACGGCACATACCGCGAACCACGAAGATGCCGACAAGGTCTACTTTCACTACTCCCCGATGACCGGGTTTCTGTTATTCATAGACCGAATCTCAATAGGCGATATACCCGTGAGATAGTTGAATATTGATAAGAGTTATCATAACCTTTTTTTTATTGTATTACAGATATCGAAGCCGAGTGCCAGGACGATTATATGAAGATCAGAATTGGCTTTAATGGTTCCTTCGCAGGACTTCTTTATTCTGCTGGTGCGTATACTTCTCAATTGAATTTATTTTTGATAGTTGCTATTTTTTTTTTTAATTAGGATCCTTCAAACTTCGACATAACAGCTGTGTCAATTAAGGATACACGGACGTTCTCCGATCAGAAAATCGTGACTAATCAGTCAATGACCTTAGTCGTATGGGATCCTGACAGCTGATCGTTATAATTTTATTCGAGCAGGAGCATCATTCTTGATGACCTTCATTCCGTTATATAAGTCTTCCTCGTCCTCCTCTTCTTGTAACGAATATCGATGGAATTTCCTGCCCTCTAGCCCAGTTCATAAACAGCCAGGAATCATTATGGCACAGATAATGATCTTATATGATCTTCATCTTGTCAATACGCTATAGTTATATATATATATATATATGTACGTGTTTTATGGCCAATCTTATGGCTGGAGACGTGATCCTCAGCACGTGTAAACTTTTTTCTTCTACACTACGTGCAGTCTTATGGTTATTTATCGTACAGATACTCAGATTCGGATATCAGTTCTTGATCTTGTTAATGACAATTCCTAATGGTAATTATTCCTTAATTGCAGGCTACTCTTATGACCCTGATTGCATGTACGTTAACGGAACGGGTCGAGACTACTATGAATTTTATATTCAGTTAAACAGATGTGGCACCCTGGGTGAGAACACTCATCATCAAGACAATAGGAAGAATCCTACGGTATGTAAAAGAGAGAAGTGACTGTATTCTTTTAGATTTGTATTATCTTATTTATGAGTGTATATATGCTTTATTATAATTTCTTACAGAAAAATCTCATGTGGAATACCGTAACCGTACAGTACAATCCTCTTATCGAGGAAGAGTTTGATGAGCACTTTAAAGTGACCTGCGAGTACGGTTATGACTTTTGGAAAACCGTCACGTTTCCCTTTCTCGACGTGGAGTGAGTTTTCTTTTGGGATTTTCTTAACACAGTTTTGTGTTTCAGTAAAATTGATCTTTAATTAACAAATTTTTTCTCAGAGTCGCCACGGGGAACCCTGTAGTTTTTACTTTGCAACCTCCTGAATGTTATATGGAAATTAGATACGGATATGGTACGACTGGAACTCGCGTTGCTGGACCAGTACGGGTTGGTGATCCATTGACGTTGATCATTTATATGCGTAGTAAATATGGTAGGTTTTTTGAATTAATAATAAATTATTAATGAATTATTGATTGTAGTGTGTCTTATTGATGAAAATGGTTTTTTTTAGATGGCTTTGATATTGTAGTCAATGATTGTTACGCTCACAATGGCGGTAACAAAAGGATTCAACTAATCGATCAGTATGGCTGTCCTGTCGATGATAAATTGATCAGTCGATTCCGTGGCTCCTGGTCCGAAAGTGGACTCTTTGAAACTCAAGTCTTTGCCTACATGAAGACTTTCAGATTCACGGGTTCTCCGGCGCTCTACATAGAATGCGACGTACGCATGTGCCACGGAAGATGCCCGGTAAGAATGCACTTATATGCCTTCAAAAAATGTTTACTTGATATTCATAATTATTTTTAATTTTTATATCTTTCATCGAACAGAGTCAACCCTGTCACTGGAGAAATGCCAAGAACGTAGCTAAACGTTCAGTAGACGCTCTGGAGGGTCCAACAACAGCGGCAACGAGTCTTTCAGAGAATGTCAATTTGTTCCAATCACTTCGAGTTCTTCAGGAAGGTGAAACGGACACGGAAACGGCATTGTTTCAGAATTCAACAGTTGGCAGCAGTGAGTAGTACTTTTTATACGGATAAGGTTATACCTTTATACATTAATAAGACATTATATACGTTAATATTTGGAAAAATTGCAAACTAGTATTAATATTTTTCTTAATTTACTCAGGTACGACTGAATCCAGCGGTGACAGGGTCTGTTTACGATCCACGCTTGTCAGTACAGTAATTGGCTTAGGATGCGGTCTGCTCTGTATAATGGCGGGCACTTTATTAGCAATGTGCTCAAGAATGAGACGGGCTGCCCGCGATAAATTACTCTCGGATAGTATAAGCTATATGACGCACAAGGGTCGAATCAATTAATGTATCCAAGTGATACCGACGACGCCAGTTTTCATATCGAGTCACGTAACGCATGGCCGTAACCGACGGGACCTTAATGCGCATGCGCGAAGGATTTGGTCAGAATGCAATACGTTGACGAATGCGGAGTTTGACTCCGTTAAAAAATTATATTAATATTTATGCTAGGCAATCATCCATGTAGCTCGACGATCCAAATACTTTTCTCTATCTTTCACTTTCTCACACCGGAACCGTTGAATCCGTTCGTTTAAAAAGGACCAAGGATACGAATCAAATTTATACATATGCTGTGATCCTTGTTAAATGCGATGCTATGACGTTTATAGGAAACGTTAGTAGTTGGGCTTTATATTACACAGATCTTCGTGAAACGCCATTATTCGGCATGTTCAGGAACGCGTAATTGTTTACTGCATTCTTCAATTTCACTCGTGCTTCATATCCTGCTGTCGTCGCGCGCTGTCATTAGATGCTGTCAATTTCTTTTTAAGTGTAATTCCAGTACACCGGTAATGCACCTGTATTAAAGATATGTAATAGCTGAATACTCAACCGGTACTGACTTTATATGTAACTTGATCGTCCTTAACGGCAACCTATCGTTAAGATATCATTACGGATGCAATAAGTATGCGTGACATGTTGATGGGATTGCAACGGGATCGCAGTCACTCGGTCACATGTATCGATTCGTTCTAACTCGATGTTTCTGAATGTTCTTGAATGATGCGCTTGATTTTACAGGATATCTTTACGCTATATTATATTATACTTGAATTGTAAACGCTGCATAGGGATAATCAGTGAAGCTTTTACGGTAGACAAATGAAAAAGAGAAACATATATATTGAAAATGGAGAAAAACTCGTTTTTTTAGGGCCAGCGAGGATTAAGTAATGTTCTGAAAATATTGTGGACAACGCTAAAGTCTAATTTTCTTTTTTTCAATACTTGTTAGACTATACTATTAATTTGTGTGACGTTACGTGGTGGTTAGGCGTACGTTTTTTTTTTCTATTTTAATTGAAATTTATTGTATTGGATGTTTTGAATATTAATTTCTCCTCCTGGTCGTTTTCAAGTGACTATTCAACGCATCACATAACTTAATATTCTCCGGGTTACACATACCATATTAGGATACTTTTGTTTAATTAACTACCTGTAAATATAGATTACTAGAACTGTACGATTATATCATATTTATAATTAAGTTCGAGTGTATCAAGATTTTCAATAAACTATAGAATGATCGCTCGATTTTTTATTTTTTATTTTTAAATGTTTTATAGGATGAATTAAAGAACGAGAATACCATGTGCAGAAGTTTGTTGTAAAAAAGGGATGTATTATTAAAGCAATCTGAATTTATTGGACTCTAAAGGGACGTGGTAAATACTCCATTCTTCCTTATTACACTATTTCCATCTTTCTCTGAATAAAGTAGTCTGAATGAAGTAATACTAAAGATAAAGCAGCAGTACGTATTCTCTCATGATACAAAACCATTAGGTCAGCCGACGATTTTCGTCGAAGTTTTCAAAGATTAGCATCAGACGGTAAGAAAAATCGAAAAATAGTACATTGTCGATAAAACGGTTTCTTCTTAGCCGACATAATACTCTGCCGACACAACAGTTCTATTATTCTAGATAGATGTAATCGGACATTAGCTTAGTTGAAAGTTGAATATGAAATATATCTTGACGTAACAGTTAAAATTAGAAAATTATCAGTTCAAGTATGCAGCATCGGTATGTATATAATTTCAAAAAGGATAATTTCTCGTTGACGCCATGATGACGTCATATAATGCCTGATAGTCGACGGTGGCGCTACAGAAGACGGGAAACTGTTTTAAAAAAAAAGAAATCGCGTATACCGTCTAGGTGCCACTAAGCTAATCCAGGGTTGTGGTGAGTGGTGGTGAGTGTTGTCGGGTGGGCAGTTTTGTAGTTTTACCTGGCGTGTGAGACTGTGTGGTACGTGTGTGAAGCAGTGACGGATTCGCGGCTCTTGGAATCTCGTCCTGTCGATGTGCTTGGTGTTACCCGTCGGATGACGAAGTCTAGGAGGTAGTGGCAGCGGTGTACGTGTGCGATGGCTACGGCGACCAAATCTTGAGGAAGCCGAAGATCTCAGACACCGTTTGCCACGATACAAAGCCTGTGCTCCGTGCAGCAAGAAGTTCGCCTTCGGGACGGGTGAAGGAACAGAGAAAAGAAAGAACGAAGACAGGATCCGACGTGAGCGGCCTCCTGGTGCCCTGTTTTCGGATACTGAAGTTCCCGTTACCTTCTTCACGAAGAACGGTGCATCTGGCTGACGATTTGGAGCAGAAGAAATTCTTAGAGCAGCAAATTAATGCTGGAGAAATAAGCGGAAAAAATATATATGGAACCACTTGAATGGCGATCGGTGAATCTTTAATAGTCTGGTGCTTCGAGCTATCGTAATTGAATCGTTCTCGTGTACGAGGACACTCGTCTTTGGCTCTGACCTGTCCAATTTTTTTGATCAACCACGCTAAGCGTCACCGCCCATATGTGATGTGTGCCGTATACGCTACAAGCGAATGAGTAATCGTCATGTACTGTCAGGACAAGGGCTCTACGGCCTCCAAGAGCAAAGAGGGTGAGTTTAATAGACGTAGGATTTAATAGTTTATTTTTCTGTCATCTCTTTCAATCCTATTATTTATACTTGTTCAGTTCAGTTCCGAGCATTCTTTTTTCAAAGAAGTTGCTTGGTTCATGTTTTTTGCAATATTCTTTATAGTTGTCTTTTAATAGATTATTTGGAGATACTGTTACAGCTGTGTTATAATTCTACGCAATGTTTTTTTGGCGTTCAGGAGCTGTGACAATGCGAGAAAAGAAAGGTGGTGCTCTCAGCAGGGTTCAGAAGCTCAAGAAACGACTAAGTCACAGCTTTGGCAGGCTTTGTGAGTATCTGAGATTTTGGCCTCAGAGAAATCCTAATATCTTATCATTGTTAATTACTATTTACTCATGTTTATTAAAGATTTACTTTGATTAGTTAAACAAATATTCATATTTGCTAAGAAGATCCTAACAACGCAATGTGGAAGGTAAGGGGAAGTTGGAGGTGTTGACAGGGGAAAAGAGAAATAGCAGACAATAGAGCAAGAGGAGTCAGACACATATTTGCTCTTTTTGCTTGATATGCATTGAACTGTAAAATGCATAAAGGCAAATTCCAGTGTTAGATAAGCAAAATTGAGCAGTAATAGAAAGTCCCCAGTTTTGTTTAACTGAATTTAATGTTGTAGTCATAAATAGCCGTACATATTTGATAAGGTCGCAGATAATTTTTTTTCTTTGCAATGAGCAAGGAGATACACGTGCGATATTTAAGAAAGACTTGTCATTCTACATAGTCTGGCTATCGTTGTTTTAGCAATATCAAAGGAGGAGGCTGATGAGGTTGCACACAGAGGTCAGCTACCATACAATGGTTATTCCGAGGAGTTCCTAGACCGTTTGGAGCCAAACGGTAACATCCCCGCTGACAAAGACCGTCGTTACGGTAAAGACACACCTTATTGCTATTTGATATAAAGGCAGACTGCTCTTTAAGCCATTGCCAAGACAATGGTCTCTGTCATGTACACTTGTATAAGAGCAAAAGGAGTGAAAAAAAGAATAAGTAAAGAATTTCAATGGCACGAAGAGTGTCGTACCTCATTTATCAACGTATTTTTCCACTAGCTTCCTGCTCTATCAAGATATATCACAATCTCGAAGTTATTCCTTGTCTAAAGAATCTTATCTATTATATGAATACCCTGCAATGAAATCTTGTTGGTCAGTTAACCAACAAACCAATAAAAGAAAGAAAGTTCTGATCCAATTCATTAACAGAGAGCTGCTAACTTGTAAGGGGTTTTTTCTCGACGGCCAACTACGTCTGCGTAATCTTTATCTGATAGACTTATTCCAATAATTAAATGAATCGATATGAAGTTTATCAGAGTAGGGCTTGATTCGATTTAACTTTAGCTTTACTAGAAAATCGAGTCATTTACGACCAAGATACTTGATCGTCATACTAGATTAATATTGATATGTACGATATGATATCAACAAAACAGAATGGTCAGGCGTGGGTGAGCACGAGAGAGTTCATCGGCAGCTATCGGTGTCGAGCGATTCAAAACTCCTCGACGAGGATATACGAGAGGAAGCCAGGGTCATCCTTAGACCTCGGCGTCCACCACGACCAAAGTCAGAAGTCTTTCTTGGGCCGGATCCTCCACCACGGAGAACGAAGAGATTCTCAGCGTTTGGTGTAGGTATACCTTGTACTACACATTAATGAGCTGTACCTTTGATTAAGGATTTATAACTATTTTTTGTATTTAACGAAGAAATTAGTCTTCACTATTTGCATACAATTTTTATTTTCCAGGGAGACTCGCCTTTCGGTAAATCAGAAGCTTACATAAAACTCGAGCAGTTGGGCGAGGGTTCGTACGCCACGGTGTTCAAGGGTTTCAGCAATCTGACCAATCAGGTGGTCGCTCTTAAAGAAATTAGACTGCAAGAGGAAGAAGGTGCTCCGTTCACTGCCATTCGGGAGGCCAGCCTGCTCAAGGATCTGAAACACAACAACATTGTTACACTCCACGATATCATACATACTCGTGAGACCCTTACCTTTGTCTTCGAGTTTGTTAATACTGATCTCTCACTGTATATGGAAAGGTATGGCAGTGGTGGCGGTGGATTGGACCCACGTAATGTCAAATTATTCCTTTTTCAATTGCTTCGAGGATTGGCGTACTGCCACCGTAGGTAAGACATACTATTCCTCGGCTTCCTCATCCGGTTTTCTAAATATATATCATACCCTAGATTCATAAATTGGAGACTTATATTTGAATGGGTATTAATCATGTTCCAGGAGGGTGCTACACCGGGATGTCAAACCGCAGAATCTTCTTATCAGCGAGATAGGAGAGCTCAAGCTTGCAGATTTCGGATTAGCCAGGGCTAAATCGGTACCGTCGCATACTTATTCCCACGAGGTCGTCACTCTCTGGTACAGACCTCCGGATGTACTCCTGGGTTCAACGGAGTACTCGACCTCACTAGATATGTGGGGCGTTGGCTGTATTTTTGTAGAAATGCTCACAGGCATACCGACCTTCCCGGGTGTGCGATGCACGTACGATCAGCTCGACAAGATATTCAAGGTCCTTGGTACACCGACTGAAGAAACTTGGCCCGGAGTTACGCATTTTCCTGGATACAAGCCGCATAAGCTGGCTTTCTATCCCGTGCGCAAACTCGGACTATCGTTTCCTAGACTCTACGACATCGCCGAGGGTGACTCCATGGCCTCCTCTCTGCTCCAACTTAATCCGGATAAACGGATAGGTGCTGACGAGGCACTTCGGCATCCTTATTTTGCCTCTCTTCCTAGAAAACTATACGAATTGCCCGATGGTAAATGATTTTATATATACATATATATAAACACACTTCTCTTCTGTTTTTCTTATCTTCCAATCTTTCATATCTCCCATTGTTCTTACAGAAGTGTCTATATTCAGTGTAGAAGGTTGCCACCTTTACACGGAATCGAGGCAGACCTACACGGACTCCCGTCACACGGCCCTCAAGACTTGAGGCTAGAAGTAAACCCTATATAAAGTATAAACAAGAAAAGAGAAAAAGATCAAGTGTAAAAGCTAAGTAAATACCCGCCCGATTGGCGTGTTATTCATCGCGCCGAAGAAGACGCTTCTACCCCATACTCCGTACCCCATAACCAGTGCTTCTATATCAAGGTACTCACCTGGACATTTATTTCTTACTCTATCGCGCTCTCTCATTTATTTAGGAACGCCGCTCTATCGTACGAAACCGTCAAACTGATGTTTTCAGACGTAAACGAACGTAGCTTATTCAACATTTCATACACAGTAGGACCTTCGCTATGTCTCGTGTATCTGGCATCTAAAATGGCTAATAAATAATCCTCACGAGAAGGATTATAAGGAACATTCAGAAAGATTGGCTGTCAAAACTATTTATAAAGAGGGACTTGCTAGAGGTACTATTGTACAGGACGTAATGGGGTATAGTGAATTTTTAAAAATGTTTCGGACAAAACGCATTTATTAAGATAAAAATAAGACAGGGGTTAACGGACGATGGGGTATGGGGTGCAGGGGTAACAGGTACAAAGTATGCACGACCCATCCTTGCACTGCGTCCAAATACTAGCTTTAGACTGAAACCAATCAAAAGAATAATATGAATGAAGAGAAAGAGAGAGAGAGAGAGAGAGAGAGAGAGAGAGAGAGAAGACGAAGAATTAAAGAAGAGAGTACTCTTAACGAGACCACCGTCCCGAGTCTCCAGATCCCAGTAGCCCAGTACCAAGTTGTGGGATGGCGGTAGCTGGCTAGGCTGAATATATTTAAAATAATTAACTACGATCTTAGGTAAAATCATGGAAGATCTGTAGCGCCATGAAGCAACAAAATGAAAATTAGAGAGACACACCCATCGCGTAGTACGTAATTAAGAGAAAAAGTAACGGTTAAGATAAAAAAAATTTTTTAAAATAAGTAAATTAAAAATAAGTACGTCTCTCGCACGCTTTTTGATAGAATCCAATCGAGTTCTACTTTCTCGCTGATTCAACTTATTTTAATTTTCAAAGAAATATGAACATCGACTCCTGACATTAATTCTGCTTATCCGGGATTACATCTTTTTGTGATTTAAAATCTGCAAGAGTCCTCTCCTCTCCCATTGAACTAAAAACTAATTTCGTAGCTAATCCTATTGGTTCTAAAGGTTAAAGGGCAAACCTGAATCTTTGCCAAAGCCATTCCGCGCGCGATTCTAATCGTTAACTTAATTCATTAATTAAAAGCAAGCTTTATCGAATGTTTTAAAATCCTTGTCTTTTAATACAAAAGAGTCCCTTCCTTCGGAACCTCATACCTTATTTACGGATCGAGTTTAATTTAATGAAATAAATTCAAAAAATCCCTCAGCTTTCTCGATAATGACAATTTACTTAGTATAATTAACTTTTAAATAATCATTTCAACGGTACAGTAACGTCCCTCTAGTTAATTAATACGTATAACTCCTTAAGCGTTCGAACGAATTGTTCAAAATCCTTTCTTCTTTTCTTTGCTTTTCTCTTTATGTGTCATTATATCATCAGCTCGACCTAGTCAGGCTATATTGCTGTGATCTTTGCGAGACAAAGTCTATGGATCAGATGCTGACGATAATCAATGACAAACGTGCGTTACAGGTCTTCCAAATTGTGTCCAAGCCACGATGACTATTACGATAATATTACTCCCTAGTACGATTACATTTATACCGATTTTTCAGCACACTTAATAAGAATATTGATGACGCAAAGAGAGAATGGGAGGGGGGTGGAGGGGTTGCAGAAGTGCAGGGAAGAGATTAAAAAAAAGCTGCGAAAATATTACGAAATAGCGAACGAATAATAGATGCGATTTACGAGCGCGTGCGCGTACGGTTACGCGAACACATAGAATGTTCCAGATCCTGAACAACGGATAAGTGTTGAAAAAGTTGTCTTTAAGACTTCTTATGCGAAAGAAGTTGTCTCTTAGGCATCTTGAAGATAACTTTACGATTTACGTGTTGTCTGGAAGGATTATTAAAGTTAATAAATTTGTCGAATGTATTATTTGAATTGGCGAGACGCAAAGACGGTAGGATGTATATAGAACACCAAGTTCATAATTATCAATGACACTGACGTAGATGAGCTGAGACTAATAAATGTGACTTTGTAATAAATTGAGATGCTTGCTATCGGCACTTCGGATAAAATACCAGTGTCAATTTTTGTACGTTGTTTCGCTTAGGCTATGTGTATAATTATATTTTGTTTTGTACTTTTCTCCCAAGAAGTCTTTAACCATCTTCCATCCTGTTCATTCCAGTACGATGCGCACGGCTTCTCACGTGATATTTACTCCAATTGAAAAACGGCTTGTGACAATGACTTTTATGTCGGCCGTCGATCTTACGTTTCCCTTGATCTTATGTTTGTTTGATTTTCTTTTTTTTTATTATATTTCCTCTTGATCTACACCTGCTGAGAGATTCGAGGACCAAGATGATATTTCATATTTGAATGGACACCTGCGGCTTTTTAAGTTGTCGTTCTGGTCGCTAGTCTTGAAGTTAGTTACACCGCGAAATAATAGTTGGCGTTAGTGTTGTCGTTAAAAAAACATGGCGTTGTTGTCATTGATCTGACAAGAGGATATTTCTATTTTTATTGATAAATGTTACTCGCTCGAACGTGTCCCTTATATTGTGCTTTAAGTCATTTAAAAATTAAAAGAGTTTATTAAAGAGCACTAATTTGGCTTTAGTGACATGTCATTTCAAGAAGATCGTCAAATCTAGTTAAAAATGGCTAGTTTTGTTGGAAAGGTTAGGAATGAATTACCTGTCGGTGCTATCAAAGGTAACGTCACCTCCAATATCTTGGGTACGCCCACGTATGAAGACGTACTTAACAATATGTTTACGACGGTCTTTTTATTTTTAGTGGACAGTGCACTGTCATATGAGGAAATTGCTGAGAAATTACTCAATGAAAAGCTGTTGCTGACTGCTTTGGAGCTCCATGCGGAGTTATCCGAGGCGGGAAGAGAGCTGCCAATTTTAAGGGATTTTTTCTCGAATCCTAACAATTTTGAAAGCCAAAATATCAAACCTGAACCGTACAATCCAATGCGTATGAACATTTTTATATATCAATTAGTCTTTGTCTTGATACCTATGTATTATTTCTTCTTACTAGTAGAACACAAGTCTTGAAGATTTGACTGTAGAAATATTAATTATTGACATTCATGAGTTTATTCAGTTAAATGTTGGTTTAATGTATTTAATATTCTTAGAATCTATTGCATATTAGCCAGGTCCTCCAGTCAAGTCACCTTAGACTCTCTAGATATGACAAGGTATTCTGAAGATGGCGGTGGGGTCGATGAGAGAGTGGCAATCCTTGAATTTGAACTGCGCAAAGCCAAAGAAAGCATCTCTGCACTACGAGCGAATCTGACTGTAGTCACTGGTAATGTACCTAGTTAAAATATGGGAATGGATAACGATATTATTCATACATTTCTCATCCTCGTTATTTTAATGAATCTTCCTTGTACAATACAGAATCAGAAAATACAACACCTGATAAATCCTCTGAGAAACAAAATTTAAATGACCTGCCAATAAAACCACATGAACAGCGAGCTTTGAATTTCTTGATAAATGAATACCTGCTTGGTCATGCATACAAATTGACTTCAATTACGTTTAGCGACGAGAATGAGAATCAAGATTTTGAAGATTGGGATGACGTAGGTTTAAATATTTCAAGACCACCAGAATTATTGCAAATCTACAGAGAATTCATAAAATCCAGTGGACATGAGAGACGAATGGCTTCTGCAAGTGTTGCTGTACAGACCGATCCCGTATCTTTTGAACTAAATGATAATAAGGAAAAAGAAATTACGAAACTGGTATGTGACAACATTGTCTTTGTCATTCTAAATATCATGTTTTAGATATTTTTTTGTAGATGGAAGAAGTTGAGCGACTGAAGGAGGAAGCTCAGGTTATGGAACAAGACAGGTCAGAGCTTCAGGAACTTCTTACAGCAACACGTATAACAACAGACGTATTAACCAAAGTTAGAAACTTCTTCAGTGCGTAAGAAGTATGAGTCAATATTATTATTAAGGATTCTGGCTCTCCTGCACTTTCAGGACGGTTTGGTGACAATAGAAACGACAAATTCGAATTCAACAACACCAGATAAGTTCGAGCTTCTCGAGTCTCCTCCTCAGGACATCTCAACCACTACTCAGGAACCCGAGGAAGAGGATTCTGCCTCGGTAGCTGTCAGTCTTGGGGAAACTGATCCCGGCGATAGAGAATGGACAAGGCTCCAAGTACCTATACTAGACGTCACTGACAGTATAGCTGTTCTACCGAATTCTCCGTCTAGGTAAAATACTTACATTGGCAATTTCAATTCATAATTATACTTTAGACCGTCTTAATTAAAATCTCGTAGATACTTGCCATCAAGCTTCAAAAAGGAAGTGTTAGCACTCTGTATGATGACTTCGACAAGCTCTGCCAGAAGCATCATTGAAGAACCTTTAAAAGAAGGCATTAGTAAGGACACCGTTACAGATATTTTGGCTTATTCATTGCCAAGAATAGTACCAAATGTTATCCTTAATAAACGGGAAGAGGTTATTCCGCTGATTCTAACAGCGATAAGGTTGCACATGAATGCAGCTGAAAGAGAGAAATTATTACAGCTATTATTTAATTTAAAGAAGAGACCACAGGAAGAAGAGAGGCGAATCATATTAGCTGGTGAGTTGTCATGATAACTAAAACTAATACCTATAAGATTACCTTTATATACATGTCCTATAAACAGGACTCGTGGCGATAGCGAAGCTACGAGACGCGCAGACAGAAGGCGAAGAAATCATCAATCAATGCTGGGAGCAATCTCAGCACAAACATCCGGAAAGAAGATTACTTGCTGCTGAGTGTTGCTCCAGTATAGCTCCATACGCCTCGAGCAATGTCAGGAACTCATTAATCCTCTCAATGCTCCAGCAGATGCTCCTGGAGGATAAAGATCCTGCTGTACGAGCTGCTGTTGTCAGAAGTCTAGGTCTGCTGGTTGCCTTTATGGATGATCCTGATAAATATTTTCAGGTATCTTATCGCTTCTATCATACATGCTTAATATTATATACTGTGTATTTTATCTTTGGGATTCTTAACAGTGCGAGGAATTAATTCTTACTGCTCTCGAAGATGTCTCATCCTTGGTTGTCGATACGGCCACTTCTGTTTTGTTACCCATACTCGCTCAATGGGCGTTGTCTCTCAAGAGACTACAATCTCATTTACTACCAAGGATTATTGTCAAATTAAAAAACCAATTAAGATCATCAACACATCAACAACATTCACCGGCAAAGGATAATCGTTCGGATGCTGACAGAATACAAACGTCCATTGCTGTTTTACAGTGTCTTGTGCCACACACTGTAGTTTGTGTAGCTGATGCTGCTATTGTACATGAATCTATTCAGGAAGAGGAATCTCAAGATCTACGTAAGTCAAAGTATTTATTAAAATTCACATTTTATGTATAATCGTACAGTTATAATACAGTACATATGTAATAAATCATTTTAGCTGCCTCATTCCTCACTCTTTGTCGGATGAATTTAATCAATCCCATAGTCTTTTATGACGGGGAAGTAGATGTCGTAGCGTTGTTGAACACCTTTTTCGCGAATGCATGGGAAAATGATTCCTGGCCGGAGCTGGAATGGCTCACTGAGAAACTGTAAGTGCTTCATAATTTGTCTTTACCTTATTTGTAAGTTAAACAACGTTTTTAGCCGTATTTAAGCGTGTATTAATATTGCGTATCTTTATTTATTCGTGTATCATTTTCAGTATCCCGGATCTTGTGGAGATTGTTAAATCTCTTGAAGTCAATCAGGATGTGATATTCAATGCTTTCCTCACGTATCTTCAGTCTCTTTGTCTTGGATTTGGTCGATACATTACACAGACGCGGGTAACTAAGCGTAGATATTGTACTGTTAGGAAAACGTTAAGTAACATTTTATTTTTTTTACTTCCTGGCATTCATATGAATTTACAGATCCAGCCTGTATTCGCTTCTGAAGTTAGCCAATTGGAAAAGCAATTGACAGCTTTGACGCCGGATAAGGGACAGATGAGTTTAACATTGTTTCCAGCATATCTTATGGCAGTCTCTACCCTGGAAGTCAAGCATGTTGTTGAATCGCTGAAGAGATTCATAGTTGCATTGTCGATGAACGGCGTTAGCATCGTAAACCTCCAGGTCGCCGTTGTAAGGCTTTGCAAGCAGCCTAATATGCTAGAACATATTCTTGGTGCTTTATGGGACGGTTAGTATTGTTGATTGGTATTATTTAAATAATGAATTAAAAAAATAAAAATTGTTCCAGGAGTCGTTCATCAAAGACCTAGTGTTAGATGCGCTACAGCTGTCTTATTCAGCGCAGTGGTGGCCCATGTTCCTGAGCGTTTAGCAAATGCTAGGATAACACCAGCCATTGTTACCCTGGCTAGTGATTCTGAAGTGTAAGATAATTTTAATTCTGACTTTTCAAAATGACGAAATCTCAGGAGTTATTGAAAAACCTTTTGTGTAGTACCGTCAGAGCAGCAAGTATACCAGCACTAGGACGGTTAGCTACAGAGTGTACAGCGAGAGAAGCTAGGGACAAAGCTAGATTAACACTGGAAACCATTGCCAGGGAACCTCAGGGTGTACCTCCTTCCCTTGCAGTTCCACTCGTGTCCACCCTGGCTACCATTGCTCCTAACTGTCCCCAGAATTACGTCGAAGATGGTATATTTAATATAATACAGTAGTCACTGATTAATATTGTGTTGGCACGACTTTCAGGTGCAATAAATTTTCATTCCTTTGTGTTTCTAGTCATTGCCACACAGCTTGCAGGCATCACTGCTTCGGCACTTCAGCAGCCACGTAAAACAGACCTGGTTAACGCACTTGTGGAAGCCTATTGTGTCCTTGTCTACTGTCCTCTAGGTTCACAGTGTATAAATGGAGTTCTTCTTCCTGGTCTGAAATATCTAGAGACTCTAGTCAATCAGGTACTACCTCAACAGAAAGAAGCAGTGCGGTCTCTGTTAAGAGAAGCTGAATCTCACCAGGAATTGCCAAAATTAATGGAGAGGTTTGTTCAACATCATGTCTATCATTTTGATCTTATTAAGCATTTCTTTTCAGAAGTTCAGATAATATTATTTTTTTTATACTTACAGAACTTCGTCAACCAGCTCAGGACTCTCCTTGTCTATGGCTACAGCTAATGTTGGCCAGGGTGTCGAAGACATGCGTCAGAGAATGAGCAAGATGTTCCAACAGAAAACAAACTCTTCAAGCATGCCAAGTATGCCCAGTATCTTCCGCAAAAAGTAAATAGTGTGATCGTCAATTGCTTTACTAAGAGATCATTAAAAGTAGAAACAAGTGGACTTGTTTGTAATGAATCCTCTAGAGAGGGTATGTATTATTTTGATTTGTATTTTTCATTTTGGTGCTACAATTTATTCTTCGTACACGTACTTAATTGAAATCTCTTAGAACTAAGTGTATCTAATTCTGTACCGACGTGTACATACGTATTAGCATAGTAAGCACCTTTTCCAATAATTATAAATTAACATTTTTAATGATTTCACTAAATTAATATTAACCACTGTTATCAGAGACCCAGTCTAGATTCTATATATTGTATTGTAATTATTCACAATAGCAGTCAGACTGCTTATAAAGATTTATAAATTATCCACCCTGCATCGACTCTCAGAATCTAACTGGTGAAAGAGGGTAATGTCTCATTTTGTCACTTATAAGTATCTTAGGGGTCAGATTACCCCAAAGGGCACGTATATCATTATCTTGAAAGGCATTAGAGAACCTTGTTTGTAACAGGTTCTACATTTCTGTAAGAGATGGCGCGACATTTATCAAAGATGGCTCTGCCACTTAGTGTTTAAATGACCGCCAAAAAGGGCGCAAATTTGAATTACCCGACGATATTAGTATAGACTAGCATAATATTTAAAGATCTTAAAAGACATGGGCCTAAGATAAGAAATGACAATGAGGTATACGGAATACAGTGTTATTTGTATATATATGATTGAACTTGACAGTAAACTTACTGGTCATCGTAGATAACTTTTTACTTCAAATTGTATTTCGATACTGAAATTTTGTTTCTAATAATTTACCTATGAGATGTTATAGTATCAGAGAAAAATAATATATATAATAAATAGTCAAGGAGCAGCTCTTTCAATCGAGCCAAAATATACTTTGAAAATACAGATCTATGCGAATAGTATATATATACATATATTTCTTTACTCGTCGCATACATATATACACAGTCGCATACCCGCACGTAATCTAATTTTACTACAGATGTATTGTTACTTGGCAATGAATAAATTTTATAACATATTTATTCTTAAAACGTATGCATTCGTTCCGAAGGCTCTGGTCTTCTTAGTAAATGTTATCATCATGTAGTAAATATTAATGGAATACTCATACACATTCTTGAGGAGGATTTTCTTTCCTTTGCACTCTTGAAATAAATTTTTTTAGGACACGCGAGAGGACACAAGACAAACTGCATTTGCATACTTGTATAAGTACTCGTAGAATACATTTTCTCTACTATTTACATTTCTTATTATCTGAGAGGTTAGGCTCTCTCCAAAGGGAAGATTAGAGCAGCAAATAATTTGGTTACAAATTAGTGTAACTTCAGCTATACAGATTCTCATTACAGGGAATGATATTATTTGCTGTAATTACTCCTACCATGCTTGGCAATAATCTACGCAGGACTCAATTGTGTTCCAATTAGTAAAGAGTTGGAGTTGCTTCGTTGGCCTGTAAAATTGTAAGGAGTTACTGTGGCTGTCAATAGACACTCTCAAATGGACTTCTTCCTCTTGGTATCGGTGCAACCATTAAACCAATGGGCAAACTCTGGATGAGAACTTAAAATCGCCAAAATATCATCTGGAAGAACAATAAGTTGCAAAGTTTCTTCATAAACTGCTTTACTTTATAATTAGCTTATGCGATATCTTAATTACCTAAATATACTGTCTCGGCAGAGTTATCTGTCTGTGCTTGTGAGAAGATCCTGTCCGACTCTTCTGGTTGAAAGTGAAGGGACAGTCTCAATGCTTTTCTTAATTCCCTATTGGTCAGTGATCTCGTTCCATTTGAACTGCATACCTGCAATATTTATTAATTAGTTTCCTTAATCAGTTAGTGCAACATTTTTTGTTGAATTACCTGAAAGGCTATATCTATCATGTCAGGGACTGTGTTCGCGTCAGCTATGACCAATACTGTGAAAATATATTCCTCCAGGTCTACTTTTCCACGTGAATCCTAATAAAAGAAAAGAATAAACTCTAATTACAGATAATTAATTTGCAAAGTCTCGGAAGACACTTGAAAATATTTTGTACTCTGTCGTGAATCCGAAAGAGATGCTGTGTCGATGGTTCCTCAGGATCTAGTCTAAGTATTTTGGTAAATTCCTGGAGATCGACATTCTCACCAAATCTTTCTGTTTTTGTCTGAACCAGACACTCCTCAGTCTTTGCTTTCAGTAATCTGTTGGGCATATATTTTTTTCATTCCTTATTCTTTTTAAGAATATATGCCTTTTTTAGATATAAATCACTAAAGCTTGTTATTTACCCAAGTTTATAACGAAGCTTATGTGCTTCTATGATGGCTGAAGCATGTGACAGATTAAGCTGATGAGCCTTGCTGATGATTCTACAGTCATCGTAAGTGTAGTCTGAGACAGGAATTTTTAGCGCCCTAAATAATCAATTGATGTATGAAAAGTGGAATAAAGTTAAGTAGATTGAGAGAGAAAATTAACTTACTCTGCCATCAGACGACGAACATTATTAGCGTAAAGCTTAGGATCAATTTTCTCAGCTTCGCTGGGTTTGTACACTGGTAGGAACTCAATCTCACAGCTACTGTTCAATTGTGTTAAGGTGAGCCAAAGTAATTTCAATCTAAAATATATCATTTTCTATGATTAATTGAATATTTTAGAGAATCCATGCGAGATATGGATATCCACTTACGCTCCAGGACCTTCCCAAGTCCATGTGACAGTATCCAGCTTATTAGGATACCTAATACAAACAGGCTGAACTGGAACTCCCGGGTAGAATGCTCCAGATTTAAATGTAATTAAACATGAACGATTGGTACAGGTTCCCTCAGGGAATATCATCACCTGTCACATAAAAAGAATCATTCAAACTTAATACAATCAATAATAACATTTGGAATTTTCAAATAATTACCTGTGGCCAATCTTCCTTGGAAGTGGCTCTTTCAATGATCTCTTTTATAGTATTTTGCCTGGAATTAGGATCCTCTCTCCATACGTAAACTGGTTGTGTATAGTTGATGAGTTCTAGCAATGGAAAATAATGTCATTAGAATTAAAGTATTCAATTTTGACTATGATTGATATGTCTTATGCCAGTTGGTGCTGAGATGTGAATCTTGTCAGACAGATTTAATTATCTGCTTTTGTTTTAATGGCCCAGAGAATCTATGGTGAATGGGATTGTAGTTATGAGAATCTTTTTTACAGACTGTTTATACTGTTACTACAGTCTACAAATTAGACGGAACTGGTCTGAACGTACTTCCAATGAAAGGATTCAATCCTGATTCTCGTCTTACGATGATCGAGGGGAATCCTGTTACATAGACGATGCCACCATCGATGAAAGTGGAGTGTGGGGCCACCACAAGAATAGGAGCTTCCATCCTGGAAGCTTGCTTTCCTCGTACCACAATCCTCATGCCTCCTGCCTGGTAGGTAAGTCTTCCCAGGAAGCACAACCAGGGTATAATTTTTCTGTAGGTTTTTAAAAGTTTACTTAATGCTCTTTTCAGCATTCTTAAATTTGTCTACCAAGAGAAAGAGAGAGAGAGAGAGAGAAAGAATTTGACTAAAAGACTAGGACAAATTTTTACTTAACCAAATACAAGATCTCCTATTTATTTATTTTTATTGGAATTGCTGTAGTTAATAATTGCCTTCAGGAATTATTTTTATATGTTAGATATATTACACAATAATGAATAAATTAATTGTTACCATTATATATCTTTCAATGTACAATTATAGATGGAAATTTAACTTCTTAACGTGGACTGAAGTTGGTGCACCCGATACTTATATTCATTGATTCACCCTCGATCAGTTAATTTCTTGTTAGTTACAGTTAATGATACATCCCATCCACCATATATGTCATAATAAATCTGTATATGTATATAACATTTATTATAAATTTTTGTATTATATACACGTGCGACTCTGTCGATAATGCATCGACATATCGTTTTGATTATACATTTCTAGATGTCGCTATATACGTCGAATAATAGTAACCTAAAATTTTAGTGGATAGAATAAATATTTGTGAGAACAAAATTTATGATCTGTACAAGTTATATTCTTAAACAAATGGACATCAGCATCAAGTAAAACGTGTGGAAATACTGTATTTTTGGAAAAGAAACCAGTAGCTTCAAGGAGGGCAGAGGTGTCTTGTTTTGTATCCAAAAAGATATGAAATTGTTCCTTGACAGTGGTCAATACTGCTATGACAGCTTTCTAAAAATTGCTCAAACAATTCCCTCACTATCTCTGAGAAATAGTTTGAACTAGTATCGTGATGATTTATGGAGCATGATAAAGGAAACTTTTGTGAAAAATTATCTAACGACCATCGCAGTTGCTAAAACTAAACTTGAAGAACTCTTCGTTCTATCCAGAGTTTGCAAAGAAACGCGTGTGAACCCCCTACTTTTAAACACACGTATCATTTGTCTAGTGAAAGCCTCAGCTGCTCCATATTAAAGTATATCAAAATATATGATAGAATATAAATAATAGAAAACACAAAGTAAGAATTACCGATGCCAGCAAATAAGTATATGCCAAGTAGCCTAAGCCTGTTTAAGATAAAGGGTATACACACACACGAGAATGCCTTTCTTGAGCAAATGTTGAAGACAGTATGTATAAACTGTGCTACTACAAAATTTTTTAGAGAATTTGGATAATAGTCTTCAACATATGAAATAAATTAAAAATGATAAAGTAATGGTGACTCATACCTTGAGACACTGAAAGTCCATTTTTGTTTAACATTGAGGTTTTAAGATGGATTCCAGCAATATGAGTGAAGAGGACATGGATTCGGTGTTACATGGAAATTTGTCAGGCTTTGAAAAGGGCACAAAGGTCTTTGTGTCAGACAGTGAGTGTAGTGACGAAGACCGCATACTGGAAGTGTCTGAAAATGACAGTGATGCTGAAAATGATATGGGAGTTACTAAAAGTGTAAATCCAAATGAAATCATAATGAAAAGAGAACCAGGAGCAGAGGTATGTAGTCCTGATTCCAATACAACAAGTACTCGTATTACCAAAGGAATTAATACATTGCGTTTACCAGAAGTAAACGTAACATCTCCATTGTGCATTTCCATCCTAGACTCATGGAATCTAATAATTCCAGAAGAGATAATAGACAAAATAGTATTAAATACAAATGAAGAGATCGCCGAGAAGGCAACAAAATACAAAGAAAGAACAAGGTACATCGCTATGACAAGTAGAGCAGAGATAAGGGCGTTCATCGGGCTCCTCTACATGTCCGGAGTGATGAAGGAGAGTCATATCAGTGTCGAGGAACTGTGGTCTGATATGTACGGACCGCCAATATTCCACGCGACCATGACACTCTCGCGATTTCGATTCCTGACTGCGTGTATCCGATTTGACGAAAAATCTAGCAGAACCTCAAGAAAGATGACCGATCAATTCGCAGCGATTCGTGAAATCTGGGAAATCTACGTGAACAGTTGCAGGACGTACTACAATCCTTCAGAATACTGTACCCTGGGTACTAGCCTCCTAGGCTTTAGAGGACGCTGTCCCTTTCGAGTCTACAAACAGAATCATCCTGACAAGTGTGGCATCAACATCCTGATGCTCTGCGATACGAATACTAACTATATGGTCAATGCTATGCCCTACCTAGCGAGTGTCGGCAAGTCCGCAGATGAGGACAAGAGAGTATCTTATGTAAAAGCCTTGACAAAACCCATTCATGGAACCAATAGGAACGTGACCATGGACAAATGGTTCACATCGACATTACTCGCGGATACGCTGCTGACCGAGTGCAAGCTGACGATTGTAGGACCTCTTAAAAGGCGGAACCTAGAATTTCCAATTCCATTTGTCAGTCCAAAGAGTAGGGAAGCAGGCACTTCGTGTTACGCATTCGACAATGAGAAAACGATGGTCTCTTATATCCCAAAGAACAATAAAACCGTTATACTTTTATCGACGATGCATAAGGATGATGCGAGTGACGAGGAAACAGGAAAACCGAAGATTCTGACTTTTTACAATCAAACGAAGGATGGTGCCGAGCACTTTGTCCAGCTCTGTCAGAATTACACCACTGCAAGAAAGACAGGACGTTGGCCATTAAGGGTCTTCTACGGGATGCTGGATCAGAGTGCCATTAATGCCATGATAATCTTCTCCATGGCAAATCACGAGTGGAAAATTGACAGGAGTAATACCAGGCGTATATTCCTCAAAGAATTAGCCCTGAGTTTGGTGAAGCCTTATATGACTGAACGTCAGAAGATACCCACGCTGAGGAAGGATCTCAAGCTAATAATCAACAGTATGATTGGCGAGGATGATACTCCCGTACCGCAGATTATACCCGGTGGTAGTAAAAGAAGATGCGGCCTCTGTCCTCGCAAGAAAGACAAAAAAACTGCACTGCAATGTCAGTCGTGCGCGAAACCCGTGTGCTTAGATCATCGAGCTATGATTTGCATATCTTGTGTTCATATTAACCATATGAACTAGGTTTAGAATAGATATTATAAAGTAGATATTAAACTTCTATTATTATTTCTATCTAGAAATTATATAGAAACTTCTTATGATCTGATCACATGGCTACTGTACAATTCTTTAAAGTGATGCTGATTTCATTTTTTAGTCCTCATGGACGTGGTGTACAATTACGCACATAACGTGCAGCTACGTAGTGAGAGGACCAGATTAAAGGACGCGGTGACGAGTACAGTTTATGTCAAGACGCCATGTAAAGGTGTCTCTAGTCTATGTATAAACTAATAAGAGTTCAGGTAGCAGTGTACAGATTTACTGTTTAAATAATTCATCGGTTAGTCATAGAACCTGCAAAGAGAAATTTCAGAATATAATAGAAGAGTGTCGCAGTGCTTGCTGTGGAATATTTATCTCAGAAGGGTACGTCAATCATGCATAAGAATCCTTGATAAGTAATAAATTCTACAAGATCTATACAAGTGTGACTCTCTATGCCCAGAAAATCCCCAGATATCCCAACAGGTATAACCCACTTTCATTCTAATATTCAAAATCCTCTATGCACACGTTTGCCCAGGCGTCATTTCCTCATTCTTCACATAACACTAAGTCATACATATTACGTATCTAAGCAGGCTGAAATTGGGTGCGAGGACTCCCGCAGAAGACCTACTTCCAAAAAATGGAATGCTCCCAGTTTCCGCTTTGGCGACGATGCTGGGTCCACCGAGGTAGACGACGGGTAGAGCATCGAAGAAACTGGAATGGGGCGCCAGTGCCAAAACCGGAGCGTCCTTCGGCGGTGCCCGTTCGCCTTTCACCTTCAGGTGGTGGAATCCTCCGCAGATGAACAAGGCCCTCATCACCCAGCACACCAGCACCCTCATGTCTCTGTTATTGGGCAAGGACCATGACCATGACCATAACCATAACCACGAGGACGACAATGACAGAGAATTAACAATAATGCTATCATCGCAACCATCATTATCGTCATCGCCGTCATCGCTGTGCATTCGTTAGTTGTTTTTATCTATACATTAGCAAAATAAGCTTAGCTATTCTTATCCGCTCATTAGCAAGGTTATCGATTCCTAAATAGATAAAAACAATCAAATAATTCCTCATATAAAGATAAAATAATTTATTATTCGCATTATTCCAAACGAGCTGAGAACTCGAAATATTATTTTGAACGGGACATTATTTGAAGAAATAAGCTTAGCTTCAAGTGTACCAATGAAATGACTATTGCCTTCAAGCGTTATCGATAGAACTGCTATCAGGAACGATCCTGATGACTCATTTACCAGGTGGTATACATATATCTGCAAGCTCACGCCACTTAAACTTTCGACACGTTCCTCGCCTGCTCGACTAGATAAAACTGCTGCCTTTGCAATTAATGACATAAATTACCAGGAATATATAATATAGCGTATAATCTTGGACAATATCAGCAATAGTGAACTACGTACTAATGCATGCACGCGCTCTATAAATAAAGCAATTAGTATATTTATTGTATATATAATTAGTGTATATATTTGCACGTCTGTACACACATAGGTGCTCATGACATATGTACATATATTGTCAGTATCCCTTGTGGACTTTGTCGAAAGTTTTGGACCGAGTGTACAAGTACTTGCATTAACAAATGAAATGTAAGTAGTTAAAAGCATAGCAGGTCAGTTGAGAAGGAAAGAAGCTGAGGAGCGAGGACATTCACGTGTTAGAGAAGGAAAGTGTAACCCTCATTTCTTTTAGGTCAAAAACTCTTCACGAGAATTCACCTCGTACAATTATCACGCTTGGGGCAAGAGCAAGAGGCTCTCCAAATGAGAAGTCCAAGGGACTCCCAGAAACAAGACTAACAATTTTCAACGTAATACTTACCGACGCCAACCAGTGAGTGGAGCTCGACGTAGATCTTCTTCAGAGAGACCATGAAGACCTAGACAAGCTAGAAGCCAAGCCATAATCACCAGTGCGGTAATGGCTGCCAATCTCAATGGTAGTAAAGCCACAGTGAGGAATGCAGTCTGCAATAGAAGGAAACAAACACTCCTGATTAAAGAAACTTCTTGATATCAACTTCCTGGTAGTTTAAATTCACATTACGTTCTTCCATTGCTCATTCTATCACACAGCATCCTCATATTAGTTTGTGAACGCATTTCTAATTTTTACCTAATCATCATTCAAATACTCGTAGGAGTCAGCTGTACAATTTCTTTTGTGAGCGACAAACTTCCTACTAGGACTCCTAGGTCAATCATGTGTCAGTTTATCTAATGGAATGTATCATTGCCAGCGGCTATCCTGGACCTCGGGTTTCTACTTAGTAACGTGTACCGTTCCTCTAACGTTCCGTTCCAATCCGTTACGCTCTCGGAAAGCATAGTGCAACAGAGAAAGAAGTGGAGACAGACCGATGTAAATATAAAGAAATATTATGACGAATAAGTGGGAGAGAAGATCGAGGTTACGGCCACGTCCGCTTGCCAGCGTTCTCATTTACTCTTGGAGCATCGACACCGGCACGATGTCGATGTCTTCCTCCCATGAATTCAACGCTGAAAGTAGAACAACGCCACACGAGAGAGTAGACGTCGGTGTCGATCAGCACTTCTAAAGGAATGGCCACTTTGTGCAGTCAGATTGTTTATCGATGACAAAATATACATATATATTTCTGAACAAAAGATATTAGCCAGATTTTGGATCGAATATTAATGACCAATGCGGAAACGGCCTACGCCATAATAAATATATGTCTCGCCAAGGTCTTCTGGACGTTTGATCATCGTCTTATAAATATCTTATGTATATGCTATTAGGACTGTCTCTTGCATAAGTTCATGATGTGGGAACTTAAAAAGGGACCCGGAATCAAATATTCATTTGATACAGTAAATATAGTCAGGACTATATTTTGTGATTCATAGACAAACTTTCAGCTGATTCTTGTCTGCTTGTATGTCGTCAGCATGTCAGAGTGGCTGCCTAAAAACTGTGTCAAGGAATTCGGGAAAAAGCAAGGACACTTCCGTTACACTGAAAGCCTCGTTATGACTGAATGATTCAAAAGTTTTACTGAGTACGAGTACATAATCACCAGAAATTTAAAATAGGTAAAACTTCCAGTTTATAAATTTTAATAATTATTTATATAGCGAGTTCAAGAAAATTCGCTAGATATTGCTTGACGAGTGCGTGGATGAGAGATACTACGGCGTCGTTGTCGAGATTAAATAAACAAGTAATTTTCTCTTGTAGGTGCGGAGGAACAGAGGCTACGTTATTTTTGAACGACCTCGACAATGGCACCGAACAGTATTCATCTTACAGTTTGTATATGTCTAACGTAAAAAGTGCCGACCATCGTAGGATTAATCAGCAACTTTGAAATGGCTGGGACGTCGCTTTCGTTTCTTTCTTGGTATCGTTTGCCACCACCTCTCACTGTCCTATGTCTTCAGTAAATCTTAATTCATTAGAAAGGATCGAGGTTTAATACCTTTAGACGACGTCGTTGATTGAACACGTATAAAATGCTTTTTTACAGAATGCAAGACGTTTGCGTGTCAGCAAGTCACGCGCTAATTTTTCTATTTATTTTGTTTTTCTTTATTTATCACTTTTCTACTTTAATGTAACTGCTAAGAAATAATAATACGGCCTGAAGTCTATCTCTCTCTGTCTCTCTGTTAATCTCGTTGAGAAGTGTAGAGAGGGAGAGAGAGAGAGAGAGAGAGAGAGAAAGAAAGAAAGAAAGAAAGAAAGAGAAAGAGAGATGCCGTCAGAGCATCTTAACTGTATTCAGCAAAATCACGCCTTCCTGGAGATTGATGTTAAGATACTTCATTGGTCAATAAAAACTGGTGGCTATGAATTTTATTCAATCAATAATTTTTATTGCATAGAATATATTTATGCTTGACGGAATTTGTAGGTACAAAGAATCAATCACGTAACTCACTGCAGCTAAGGATGCCGTTAAATAGCTAATGATATTAGTGGGATTGGAAAATGAATTACTGAGGCTTCGAAATTCAATTGACAAATATACAGGTTGCCATGTTGTATACACACCTTACAAGAAACAAGTACTGTTAGTGTTTACCTGTATTAATTCTACATTTTATCGGCGTGTTACGTTATGTTCTTTCTGAGAACTAAGTATCTATTATCACCAATTAGTTAATAGCTGTCGATAACTCATGATAATTAGTGCACTATTTTTTTAGGTCGAATTCAGAACAATGAATTAAGAATTGATGACCCATAGGCTTATGGAGACGTTAGATGATTATAGTATTTGTTGCCTTCCCAGGAAAATAGTATATTACGATACGAATGCGGTAAAACTTTTTCTCACAAGTCAAAAATGGTATGAAAATGAGGGTTTTACGCACGGGAAGCGTACGTAAAACTTTGATTTTCGCAACGATATTCTTTTTTTAAATTTTCTTACTAACGTTCCTAATCCATTCTTTTTTACTTCCTATAGTGGCTTCATCTTCACTAAGAACATTTGCCAGTAATGGTCCAAGTCGATTAGGTAATGCTTGTCGAATTGAATGAGAAAACTCGTATAACTCAGTTTGTCGTCCTACATTATCTCAGGATGATTTGAATACATTGGACCACTGGACGTAGGAAGAAGCGGGAAAGAGCAAAGAATGCGAAGTGAGTAGGCCAAAAGATATCATTATTCAAATTAAATTGAATTGAATATTAAATAATAAATACTCAATGAGAACCGAGAAATTGGATGTGGAAAAGAATGTGTATTTTGTCAGCTTGTTTTACGCTGATAATAAAAGAAAGGCCTTTCGAAATAGTATGTACACACGTGCGCATTCCGTACGTAGCAAATTAGCGAAAGAAGGCAATATTACAATTTATAATTTATATTGATAGCAAGCGACAGAAAAAATATTTTCCATCTTTTACCGCATTCGTGATTCTCTTTAAGCACGTTAGGAAACCATATTCTGACCTTGAGCTTGTCGTAGGTCGTGTCAAGCTCGAGCCGGTGTATGAAGGGGTTGAGAATATCTGCAGTAAGAGATGTGTTATCTCCCACGGAAGTTCCCGTTACCTCCTCATGATGCATTCTGCCGTTCATTTCCTGCATTCTCTTGAGACTTCTTCGTAAGCCACACAAATACTAAACCACTGGCACTTGACACTTTACTCTCACGTCAAGTCCTAACACCCAGATGCGGTTTCTTTCTCGAAGTAGAAGTCACTTAAGCTTTTGAAATGTAGCCAGTATTATATCATTAATATATGGCTCGTAGAAGCAGACACATATTGCTTGATAATAACGTGCAAACTCTTTTCTGACAGCTGTCAGTAGGGGGAAAAACAAAATAAACAAGCTAGCGAATACGCACACTACTTGCTCATTTACCCAAGTATGTAAACACGCGTGTACACGGTTCAACTGACGAATACTCAAGACCCGGAAGATAACGCAAAGAGGAAAACGGAAATGTAAGTGGTTCTTCTAGCAGGAACTGTACACGCGTATCAGGAAATGATACACCAGGCTACGTTTAAGGCTCGCAGAATACACGATACGGTTTTACACAGGATAACAAAGGAGAATAAGCTAGAGCGTAGAAGAAGCACGAGTCCACTCGAGTGGAGTCGAGTCGATTCAGGAGCGACACTCCGTACGATTAAGCGTCCTCCTTTCCACTGTCTCCGTTTCAACCCCCACCAGATTCGCTCAGCTGTCTGAATAACCTCTGGTCCCGTTATGTTCCTGGCGGGGGTGGCTTACGGGTAGCTGAGCAGAAACCATTGATCGAAGCGTTAACCGATTCTAAAATTTGTTTGAGCACCCCTGAAATTATATGCATATCCCTCGAGACCTTGCAACCTTCTGCAACTTCCTGACTATTAGTCTAGTAAAGTATGACTTGAAGTATGTTTAATAATTCAAGGATTAACTTAGATGATGTTATCATTTTATTCTTAGCATATGAAAAGATTCTTAGTATTAACAGTTTAAATTTTTTACGAATGGCGGGTAGCAATTATCTGGTCTCAAATTGTTATCTTCTGTAGATAATGACTCTAGACGGCAATCCATAACCTAAAAACTGACTGCAGACATGGCGAAGGCATTGCACGTGTGTTTGATTGGGTACTTCTCCCAGCTTGAGAAATTGGACGTAAAATGGAGAGATTTATTGAGTGTCATTGATAAGCCTGTTAACAGTTTAATTAATTATTCAGAACAGCTCCAATTAGTGACCAGGTATTTAGTTCTTGGAGTTGTTTGGCCTTTGTTTATCTTATCTGTACATAGTATAAGATACTCTAGATTCTTCTTAACGTTACCGACTGAGTTAAATATCTTATTTCACAGTAAAGAGGTTGATAATGCAGAAATCTGCAGCGTGGACGGACTAAGAGAGAAACTCATCTTTAAGATCAACATGGGGATCGAAGATGAAATAGCCCTGGTGCTTGATGTTGTCTCACAACTTAATAACGCTAATCAGTCGTTAAAAAATAAATTAGACACTCTTGAATCAGCGAGGGACAAAGTTTCTTTAGATGATCCATCGTTGCAATATCTGTTGGACGGCTCGCCATTAAGACCACGTTTAAATCTTCTCTTGGAATTTGCCATTGATGGTTACAAATTCTATGACCAACTGTATCCTTATACGCTATTCATTGTGATTCTTAAACAACAAGATTCCGTGAGAATATGTTTCCTTAACTAAAAGTTCAGTTACAGGAACATCAGCACATGCATGAAAACCTTAGATTGCAAATATCCTAGGAGTCTCGAAAATCTTTCAAAATCATTAATTCAAAATAATCAAAGACGAACGACTATAGACAGTACGTAAATTCTAATTAATTATGTATCATTTTATTAAGTCTCCATAAATTAAACTTCGAATAATTAATATTAAACTTTTCTCTTTCAGGAATACTGGCATTCACGCAATACTTGGAACAAGAGAGCATTCCTAATTAACTTTAGCTATCTACACTCAAGTATCCAATTCACTCGTGTATAATGAGGTCTCCAATATATGATGACATAATTTTCTATTTATCTATTCAATAAATCGATCGTAGGAATTCCACGAGTATTTTATAATATTAATAGATTATTATACCTTCATTAGACTATATATACGTCATAGTAACTAGTGATGGATGCATTCAATTACCAAATGCTATTGCATACTACAGATCATAACATTGGTTATGCAAAAAAAAAATTATCGACTCTGCTGATTCGTAACATGCAGATTCGTTCGTTCATTTGGTAGGTCGTCGGGTCGACGAAGGGTTGGCGACGTCGAGCGCCGGCGCCTAATATTGATTCCGGCGTCATCTCCCAAGATCCAAAAGTTACAACTACGAAGTAGAGAGTGCTGCTACAGTAATCAACTGCTCCTCGCACCTCAAGGAGTTCCTTGCGCGTTTCTTCGCATTCCCGACAGGTCAGTCGCGATTTACAATACAATATATTCTGTGATCTACATAAAAGCGCTCTAGACATTCTTGTGACTTTTCATTTAATCAATAACATTTCATGATTTTAATATTACATCTTTGTCCTCATAACGTCCCGACCTCTCGCCGCGCCCTTTACCAATGCATTATAGAAAATATTCTGATCTAGACTAGAAGAGTTTAAAAGCGAAGAGATTTTTTAGCAAAGAATGATCCTCAAATGCCTTATAAATCCTTATATATTGTTTGGTCTCTTAGGATGGAGTCAATGAGCGCGCGTTGTGGATCCCTTATTATCTGATTCCTTGGATAGACCTACAAAAGAATTAAAAAATCAGAAAGAAATTGTTTAAGAATTAGATAAAATGGCAAATACAGCACATCTGGTAAGGCGTCAAAGCTCGCGGGACTTGAAGCCACAGAAAAGCGTCGATCGCTTAGAAATGAAGGAGATGAGGGGCCGATTAGTCGTAGACAATCACAAGAATATATCCAGTGGAAATTATGGGGCCACTAACGCAGCCTTTGACGACTCCAGTCCTAATATGAAGGTAAGACTTTTATGAAACTCAATCAAGAACCTGTAACTATTTGGGATAATGAAAAGATCTACATACTACATACTTGCCCCTTTTTTTAAGAGTAAATCGGGAAATGTTGCGACTAATAAAGGGAACAAACTGGGGAGCAACGAAGAGAAAGCAACGTTTAAACCGGAAGCAGGTGAAGATGATCGTGAAAACTGGGATAGTAAATTGACCTTCCTTTTGGCTACTGTTGGATACGCAGTCGGACTTGGAAATGTCTGGAGATTTCCTTATCTTGCTCAGAAAAATGGTGGTGGTGCTTTTCTTATTCCTTATTTTGTAATGCTGGCTATCGAGGGCATACCGATTTTCTACCTGGAGTTAGCTATTGGGCAACGACTTAGAAAAGGTGCTATTGGTGTATGGAACCAGGTAAGGGAAGACTTTGTTATTGATTTTATATCTATATATAGCTAGTTTCTTTGTTATTTATTGTTAAATTATAACAGGTCTCTCCATACTTGGGTGGAATTGGCGTGAGCAGTGCTGTAGTATCGTTCAACGTGGCACTGTATTACAATACCATTATAGCTTGGTGTCTCTTTTATTTTGTTCAAGTAAGTCGTGCATCCTCCAGGAGGCATCATAACAGTTACTCTTGTAGCCAAGTATTACATATGTTTTATTACTGTTGTGTAACTAGAATGATTGGTTTTCCAGAGTTTCCAGTCGCAACTACCCTGGGCTGAGTGTCCTAACAAGTATTTCCAAAATGGTTCCTACGCACCAGAACCAGAATGTCTTGTGAGTATTGCTTTAAATAAATAGTCAAATCTACAAGAATGGATATACAAAAGTGATTATTCAACAGGCAAGCAGTCCAACACAATACTTTTGGTATCGAACAACCTTGATGATATCAAAAGACATCAACACTCCGGAAGCCCTTAATTGGAAAATTGCTCTAGCTTTGGTGGTAGCCTGGATCCTGGTTTATATGTGCATGATCAAAGGAATTGCGTCCTCGGGAAAAGTTGTTTATGTCACTGCGACTTTCCCTTATATTGTTTTAATAATATTCTTCTTTCGGGGTGTCACTCTACCAGGAATGTCTGACGGTTTGCGTCATCTCTTTACACCAAAGGTAAGTTTTTCTTCTGGGAAAATTACATGAAACAAATCAAGATATGAGATTCTCTTGCTTTCAGTGGTGGACCCTGACTGATCCGGTTGTCTGGCTGGAAGCTGGCACGCAGATATTTTTTTCACTTGGTCTGGCCTTTGGTGGATTAATTGCCTTCTCTTCTTATAATCCAGTTAATAATAATTGTTATCGGGATGCAATAATGGTTAGTCTGACTAATTGTTTCACGTCGATGTTCGCTGGGATTGTTGTTTTTTCCATAATTGGTTTCAAAGCCACTATGGTTTACGAGCAATGTCTAGCTGAGAGAAATGCTACCCTAATCAGTATATTTGGACACGAAATGGAACCTGATAAGATTCCTATAGCTGGAGCCTTGATAAACGTAACTAATGGAAACGGATCATTGGGCAACCTAATAATGCCAGAGTTAATCGAGTGCAACCTGGAGAAGGAACTGGACAATGTAAGCTATTGAAAATATATTTAAAAGTTTCAGGCATTTCGTGTGTTGTTATACATTGAAAATACTGTTTTAGTCAGCTTCCGGTACAGGTTTAGCCTTCATCATTTTCACAGAGGCGATTAATCAGTTTCCTGGTGCTCAGTTCTGGTCGGTTCTCTTTTTCCTGATGCTCTTCACGCTAGGTATCGACTCACAATTTGGCACCCTGGAAGGTGTTGTTACCAGTATCGTTGACATGAAGCTATTTCCAAATCTGCGAAAGGAAATACTCACTGGTGAGTAAGACGATTATATTCATAGTTATCCTAATTAGACAGATCAATCAAGATCATTTCCATCCACGATTCAGGAGTCATCTGCCTCGTTTGCTGCATTATCTCCATGGCCTTCGCCCATGGTGCAGGCAGTTACGTCTTCGTACTTTTTGACAATTTTAGTGGAAACTTTCCGTTGCTCATCATAGCCTTCTTCGAATGTATTGGGGTTTCTTACGTCTACGGTCTCAAGAGGTAGACGAATATGTCGTTCAGGATGCGAATTATCCATTGATTTCTTTAATTAAAATCTATTGACTTTATCATTTCATACGCATTAGGTTCGCCGACGATATTGAACTCATGACCGGTAGTCGCCCTGGACTATACTGGCTCATCTGCTGGAAATATTTGAGCCCCTTAGCAATGTTGAGTATCCTGGTAGCTTCCTTCGTAGAAATTGCCGTCGATGGAAGTGGATATCAAGCTTGGGTATCAAGCAAAGGCATCGCCGAAAGGCAAGACTGGCCATACTGGTCTTTAATACTCATTGCCGTCCTGATCCTTGCCTCTGTACTCTGGATCCCAGCAGTAGCGATATGCAGGTACGATATTCGTCACTGACTTTCTGACCATCTGAAAAAAGCCTACATGCTTCCAATTATTAAAATATAACTTTATCTCACTCTTTTAGATACATGGGTATTCTGATAATCGACGATAATGAAAAGGCTTGGTTCCCTGCGGCTGATCTCAAGGAGTTTCACGGAATCATGCCGCACGAAGTGACACCTGCAGAGACTCTGCTCTTCTGTATACGAAGCGACGGCACGGAAGGACTGTGCTGTCCTACAGGAGGTTCAAGAGATGAGGATGAGGAGGATGAGGATTTAACTTAAACATGAACACCATAAGGATCCTGCTGCGCTAGAATAAACGTAAGCCATCAATATAAGTAAGTAAGATAAGTGAATAAGTCCCTTAAAGCGTACAATATTATCGGAGGAGCTTCCGCCCTGGTCAATATTATCAAGAGAACAAGAAAAAGAAAAAAATAAGATACAAATAATAATTGTAACATGGCGTACATATATTACGCAATGTCAGTCATTGCTAGGTGCTTCATATCATACAGTAACTCATCATAAAATAACTTCTAGATTGATCCCTATTCGACATTCGTGAAGGGCTTTGTTTTATATACCTTTAATTACCGATAGTCCTTCAGTTGATGTATTATCGATTAACGATAAACAATTTGCGATTTGCGAGAAGCTATTAGATTTATGAAGAGAAGTACGTCTATAGAGTAGGTGCCGTCCATTGGCCTTCTAAGAAATCGTCGATCTATCCTTCTATATTATTTTTTCCCCTTCTTTAAATAAGTCAAGTTGCACTATTAACCGTGTCCACGCAATGTCAAATCGTTGCTAAAAAATAATCTGAAGAAATAAGAGAAAAAAATGTAAAAAAAGTGCTGAATAACTAGGTTGAGAACGAGGACATGTCATTAGATGCAACTGAATGACTTACACGATCGGTTTGCCTAACCATCTTGAAAGTATAGGAATAGAACTAGAGAGTTCGATAGGGAATCGATCGGGTTAAATTGGGGAGAAAATATCCGACAATAAATGTGCGAGACTCGTGAATTTCAGACGCTTAGATGCTCAGATATCTTGATAGGAGACTGGTATGTGTCATACGATGACATAATTCATGATTAATGACAATAATATTGTTGTACGATATTCTGACAATAATGAATTCCCAAGCACTTGTTACTGGGAAGCTATGTAAGGACAATAATAACGCGTCATATCTTGATATTTTCTGTTGCACCTGCACTGCACATTTTGCACATTCACAGAGGCCTAGAGAAATCTATGACAAGAGCGCGTATCTTAGTGTGGATATTCGAGAACCCTGCTGACCGTGTGCGAATGTGAGTGCTAGTCGAGAGTGTGAATGAACGTGTGAATGATTGCACATGTGTAATACCTTAGTGAGAAATTAAAGCGAGGTGTGAATGAAGTATAGCCAGTGCGCACATTCATATGCATATCGATCCATCTATTTTGTATGTGCGCTTTGTAGGATGGTTTTAGCTCCATTTTTGGGGTCCTGTATTTATTAGGAATCTGTAATTAAGATTGATTTAGGACGTAGCACATATAGTAAACGGATATCCTATGTAAGGTAGATTCTTGGAGAGAAAGCAAGAAGTTAAATATCTATTGGACAATGAAAATTTAAAATTTAGATTGGATAAGTCAGAAAGGATAGAATCAAATGAAGCAACTTACTAAAGATTTGAATCGATGCCCTTTATGCAGGAGTTAAGGGTAAGAACTTACGTAACATGCTAAGGATACTCTGTCTGAAGTCTTTGGGTTGAAATTTCCCTTCATAAAATATTCAGACACGTTTTGCAAATGTTGCTGAAGTATAATTAAATTGTTGTAACCTTTTGGGTGGTATTGGATTGTTAATGGTTTTCTTATGAGGAATTAATTCTGGCGGTATATTCGAAATACGTGTTACACCTATACAAAGGTATTCGCTAGAGTACTCTCGTTGTTTTTTGAGCGGATTGCTCGCTCTTTGTATGTTGATTAATCAGGTTTTACGAAAGAAAGAAAGAGTAGATTATATCAGATTGGATTAGATGAGGTGGGATTAGACGAGACGATTCTCACGTAACTCGTAAAGATTTCAAATTAAGGGTCGTGGAATTTCTCTGTGCATCTTGTTGGCACAAAGCCTTATGCAAGGTCGACAATAATGAATCATTGGGATTTCGCTTTTGCGAATATAATTAAAGTCATTCTTTGCGACTCACGAAAATGCGATATATCAATATTCCCAGTATTTCAAGTTAATGAATGTTTAAAACATATCGTGATTCATATCAGTGTTCATCGTCATTTATATCTCACTCAAGAGAATAAGTGCAATGGCCGTTTTTAACTTTTTATTTTTCTCTTGTTCTTTAATTTTGATCAATGAAAATTTACTAGTGTGTATCGTGTTTTGTTTATCGATTTTTATTAGTCATCTGTGCCATCTACTCTACATTCTTTTTGATTGAGTCATTAAGATTTTCCAGCGTAAAAGAAAGACGGAATGATGTTCCAGATATCTAGATAAATGGGTATTTGGATATCATATATCTAGATAATCTCTCAATTATTTAATCTTGTTATATGAAGAGTTATCTTACGGTTTTAGATATCGATGTAGCTTGTGCAATAATTATCAATCCATGAGACAGATGATATATCAATGAAATACTCTAGATATATACACTGTAGACTTATATAAAATATATCTGGTTATATTATGTATACGCAAACACACACTGTAAATATATTGTTGTCAGTTGAATGTTGAAATAAATACCGTGCGTGAATGTTCATTAGCTACTTTCCCCCTCCCGTTATTTAATTTTCATATGCAATTAGCTAATTTCCTTTTACATAATTAATTATCTACCGTAGATATACTGTAGACACATATTGGCTCCTTGCTGAGGGGATGCCTTTCGTATGATACAACTATACTTTTTCGGTGATTAAGAAAATCGATAAAATGTCTTGCAAATTCCTTATTATTTTCATGTACTTCAGGATGTTCTGCATACTCATTCAACTATAAAAATCAAGTTTTGTATATTATATGACTGTACAAAATTGAATAAGGTATTTGTGATAAAGTAGAATGAAAAACTTACTTTCATCCAAATACATTCAGAAATTTCTTGATTGCATTTTTGAATTTCAAAAGTCTGTGGAACCATGTATGCTATCATATAAATATCAGAACATCCAAAAGCATACTTGTGACCATGTCTAAAAGTTACGAGACTTTTAAACTCTGCCTGAATTCCAGTTTCTTCGAGTATTTCTCTTACAGCAGCATCCGAAATGTTTTCCCCTACGAGATAAATTGTTTAACCACATACATACCTATAAGGTGATTGTAGTTATTTACCTGGTTCAAGATATCCACCAGGAAGTTTCCACAAGGTAACAATAGGAGAGTGTCTCTCTTTAATAACTAGGACTTCATTGGTATTCTCTCTATAAACAAAAGCTCCGACACCAAGTAATGTATGTGCATAAGGAGGTACATTACAAAATTCATCATCAGAAAGCCATCGATAGAGAGTGACATGGTGCTCTCTTGCATTATGGAACTTGAATCCATTCTCAGTGAGAATAGGAATCCAAGAAGCATACGGTAAACTGATTCGAAACCATATAGTGCGTTTCTTTTCTTTTTTCCATTGTTCAAGGGATGCTAAATAATTACGAAATGGTATGAAAGTTCGTTATCAGTTCGTGATAATTAAGGTGTCTAGTCATCTGACTATGGTTCTCTGAATCCTAATATCTAATCTTTACCTTGGAGACGTTTTAGAAATGCAGGTAGTTGACATGGTTCCACATCAGAATCGACTGTTATTCCGTCATAACGATCGCCATGCCCTTTAAAAGTTATATCTACCATTCTGTTTGAAATTGTTGTCAAGCAAATGCGACTATCTTTTAGAATAACAATATGCTTAGTTGATAATTTAGAAAGTCGAAGGAAAAGTGAAGTTGATGTGTTTAACATTGAAATTTTCTAAAATTCTGGGTCACAAGAGTGTTTCTAATGAGTTGTACTGTCATGTTCTTATGAACTCTGTACCATATTTACGCATCAAACTTATATAATTATATGACTAAGCATTATCGATTGAGTTCTTATCAACTTATCGCTAACGAATGAAAACGATTATACTTGATGAAGATAACTGATGATAGCTATTATAATAATTAATATGCATAAATATTTGTTGAACGGTTTGTCGCTTGCATTGTTGGAGGGCAGCATCTACTTGAGACTAGTGCTGCCACTACGAGGAAATATCTAAAGGTGGATGAAAAATTGTAGAAAATCAACTTTATGCATAAATTTTACCAAAAATTATATAAAACGAGACAAAAGGAAGTACAGTTGAAATATTTATTCTTTTACTGTGAATATTCCACTGTCATAAATATCTTATTGTGTAAGAATCATGTACACCAGTATTAAATACTTACAAATCTAATTAACATCCATATACTAGGAATCTTGTGATTATAAATCTAACTAACATGCATATATTAGGAGATTATTAACTTATTGTATTTCGTTTAAATTTTCTATAAAAATACGTGATTCATTCAGTCACCTTACTTTAGGTAGCATCATTATCTATTCCAAGCCACTAAGGTACAATCCTTTTCCTTGGACCAAAACTGTTCCAAGTTTTGATACGTCTTCGCCTTTGGTGAGTTGTAATGAAGTGCTTCACAGAGACGACAGTAGTGTTTAGACGCGCTACCAAAATACCCATGCTCGTTTATCACTTTGTAGTGTCTTCTCCATTGGTGGAACGTAAAATATTCATCATCATGCCTATGGAGGTAGAGTAGATACGTAGCTAATACTGCAGGAGATGCAAAATCCTCAACATGAAGATAAGATTTTGGTGGTAAGAGTTTCTCGCATTCACTTTGTGCAGCTCCCATTATTATTGGTACTGCCCATTTATGATAACCATGCCAAAAGGTTTTCTCTGTTAGATATTCTTTACAATTGGAATTTTCAAAGGCTAAATAAAATTTGTATGATTCTAGAACAGTGCAGTCATTGTCAAAGTGGCCAGGACAAGCATTGATATTCCCTTGCAGACAGTGGCCATAAATATCAAGATGATCACCAAGTAAGTTTTTTAAATGCTTTACGTAGTTCCATCTTCCATTACTTCCACCACAGTTACTTCCCATTATAGCGACCAGATTGTTTTTCTTTTTAAACATATCATAGAACTCTGTCAAGTCTACATCAACCTGTCTGTCTATCGTCCTACCATATGGTACTGGTACATCACTGTCACTTCTATAACTCATTGACCAGTTAAATAGACCATTGTAATCTGTAAGTTCTTGGTTGCCATAAAGAAAGGTGTGTAATGGTGATTCATCTGTTAAGAAAACCCATCTCTGCAAAAGATGCATTCTTCTTGGCATCTGTTGCCTGTTTTTCATTCGATGCAAGTGAAACAGAACAGCATCAGCTTTTTTTAAATCTCTAGAATTATAACTTAGTTGACATTCCACTGAACAATCTAACCATGGAGAATACCTGCATACACCATATAATTACAAGTATGTTAAGATTTATCATAGAATCAAATACAAACAAGTATGTTTTCGTAGAACTAACATTTTACTACTGAACCTTCTTAGATGTCTTCGTTCCAAATATGAACCGTATTGCCATACAAGAATGAGATATTTATTTGAACGTTGACTAGCTGGAGGATATGTTCCATTGGCAGCCAGAAAGAGCAACTTACCAAGATTAGACATATTTTCAATCTAAAGATAAAAGAGGATTAATGAAAACTTCTAGGAAATATTTCAAAACAGATGAGAAATATTTTAAACATACCTCCTCGTTTGTATACTTTTTTTTTTCTATCTTGTTCAAGTGCTTGCTTAATTCATTGGATGAATTTCCTTTGTGATTTAGTTGAATACTATATTTCAATTTATTAACAGCCGTGTCGTATATTGTAAAATACTCAATGAAAAGTATATAGAGAAGTACAGAAATCACAGAGAGAAGAAGCAGAAGCTTCAACCCCATCGATACATTAACCATGGCTCTCTAACTCACTAATGTTTCGAATTTACATAACGCAACACTAGCCAGTCTATTAGTACAAGCAATTAGTGTTCCTCTAGTTGACGTAACATCGATTACAAACGAACAGTAATATACACTCTGCTCCAAATTCCGTGTTATGTTGGTTTCTATGATATTTACGACCCGATAACATTTTTTTCATTTAATGCGACTTCTTCGCCCGTTACGGTGAGTCTCCCCCAGGAGTTATCAAGAACGTATAATTTATCATAATTTAGTGCGCGGTGGAAGTGATTCTCTAGAAAGAGACGTGGGCGTGTAAGGTGTCGTGAAATGAAGAAATTGAAGGAAGTCGAAAGGTGGATGGTAGACTGTTAAAACGTGTAAGAGAAGGGAGAGAAGAAGGTTGAAATAAGAGAATGAAAATGCTCGTAAAGAGGAGAGAGAAAGGATATCATGCACTAGCCAGCAAGGTCGTTCTTTATAACCGCCAGAGCCGATTGTTAATTTTGTTTCTCTTGGTTAGCCATGCAAAACCGAGTTTGTAGCTCCGTTATTCCTGAACGCCTACATAGATTTACAACGCTTTTTAAGTTCAACCCGATATGGTTGCGTCGATTATACATAAAAAGAGAACATCATTTGTAGAATAAATCTGAGATGAATACTTCTTCAGATGTCCAGTTAAAATTATTCTGTTTTGGGTTTAGTTCCTGTGAATTGTAGCAAGAAAATATTGAGAATAATATTAATCTTTTGGCTCTGCTCTGAGATCTTTACTTTTTTCTTCAGGCGTTTTGTATCTTTAAAATTATTCCCGCTACTTTATCGGATATCCTAATATAACAGTGTTGTCATGTTACCGGAAATGAATTGTTTCTTCTATGATTTCCATTGGACGATTGAGCTGTTTACTCGTGTGAGTTTCTTATCGTGTACTTATCTTCAGAGGTTTTATAATCCCGGGTGTTGTTTGCCGGCTCGCGTAGTTGCCAGTAGTTGCTTTCGGAGTTTTATAATGTTAACAGCTGGAAGAAGAGTATGCGGCGTAGTACTGAAAGGTAATACAGGGTGTTCCGAAATTACCTGACCTACGGGGTACGGGGGTGTTCGGTCCTTTTACCCGTACATTCTCCTGCTCCTCCTGCATATCTACCCGTACATTATCCTGTACGTTTTACTAGATCTGGAAGGAACTAGAAAATTGAAGCATATCCCTATACATCCAAAAACTTGTTATTGCACTTAATAACATATTCAGGTTTAGAACTGAATACAATGAGAGTATTCCTAAAAATATATATATAATGTTTTACTCGTTATTTAATGTTTATAAAATTTAGCTTCTTTCTTCTTTGCAATATTTTTGTTTGTGTTCAGCAATCGTGATTCCTGAGGAAATTGATGCATACGCATTCTGATTGCGCATGCGTATAAACAGGCTCCTCCGATACTAGCGGCTCATATTCCGAACTAAAATCCGGAATCCCAAACGGCACTTCCATTTCCGCTGAGTGCCCAGACTGGCCTAGACCTGAAAATAAGACCATGGAGCCACGTGTTTTGAGAAAGAAGAAAATTAACAAAATAATTAAAAATGTTAAGGACATAAAGTCACCTAAGGATCATGAAGAAGAAGTTAAAAAAGTTGCTATACGGAAACCCGTTGCCGCTAAGAAAAAAAAGAAGCTACAGGTAAGCTAAATTTATACTTTGCAATTGAATCATTAGACGTTATGTGTGAAATGATGAGTATTTGGTTAAAGATTGAAGAAGATGTTGCAGAACCAGTAGTGGCACACAATGAAGATGTAGGAGATATTACTCAACTGAAGTTGGATAAAAAACAAATCCATGATGCAATAAAGGCTGTGTTTGCATTGGTAAAAAAACGTGCTGTAGAGAGTGCAACTTTGTTTAAGGCAGACCATGAACCTATTTTCATGCAAATAAATTGCATACGGATACCACAAGTGGCAACAAGACAACTCAGGATGTATGTAACTATTCTGTAACGATCGAGCTATTAGAGTCCTTGAAATGCTTATTTAATCTTTATCACTGCAATTGGCAGTAATGCTGCTAAATGCAATTCAGCATTCTACTGCAACCAGCAGTTCTGCTGGAATAATAAGAGTCAATCACTGTTCAAATATCCAGGCTAAGTGCCATATGTGCTTAAATTTTTATTATTTAGTACTAGTCATTAAATAACAAAGCATTGTTTAAACATGATTAAATTTACAATACCAATGGATCCTTATGAAGTGTCCATGATTAAAAACTATCGTATGATTATACATACCATAAATATCTGAATTTGTTATGTTAGCCACAGAAACACTGCTCTTCTGCTTTTGTTTCAGATTGTTGCCACATAAATTAATTACAAACATGGATGATGTGGCACTTTTTGTAAAAGATCTTGAAAGAGGTCGTAAAAGGGATTTTGAAACAACAATAAATCACTACAAAGATATGCTTGACGAACATGGATGTAAAACAATTCTGACTGTAATTCCAATGTTACAATTGAAGACAGAATTTCGGCAATTTGAAATGAGAAGGAAACTACTTTCCATGTATGACTATTTCCTCACAGATGGCAGAATTGCCGGGCACGTGGCAAAACTTCTTGGCCGAAAATTCAGCACGAAAGGCAAGCTGCCAACCTCCATAAGAATCGACAGCAAAAATCTTATGGATGAAATTGATTATGCCCTACGAAAAACTTCTATGCAATTGCATTCTTTAGGCAATATGCATATTGTTAAAGTGGGGCACACAGAAATGACTAAGAAACAAGTTTTTGAAAACATTCTGGCTGTTTGCAAGAAATTGGCAAAAAGCTATCCTGGGGGTTGGGATAATATTCGATCTCTAAGTATTAAAACTGGACGTTCTTTGGCAATCCCCATCTATGTTACCCTGAGTGAGTTTTATTATATATTACAACCTTTTTACTAGTTTAGCAACCACTTTTATTTTTAAACAAATTATTCCATCACTTTCAGAAAGTATCAGTCAAGTTGAAGTACCTGTTGTACCTTCGAAGAGGCCAAAGGCCTACAAACCAATTACTGGTGAACTTACGACCTTCACTGGAAAAGTTGCTGTCACATTGGAACCTGATGGTGATATTACTGTCAAGAGAAAACACAGTTCTCTTGAAAAGACTTTAGAGAAGAGTGAAGACGCTAATGAGAATGATGTTATTACGAAAAAGAAAATCAAGAAATAAACACTAATGGCGCAAGATTTTTTTTAATAAAAAGTTTTATTAAATCATTTTGTCAATCATCACTAACCCTGTTTTAGGCATAGTTGAAATATGTTTAATATAAAATTGTTTGATCTTTCTTTGATATACTTTGGTAACTATTTGCTGGAATAATTGCATTTGTAGATTGAACTGGTGTTACATTATTGATATTTGGTGTGTATAGCTCAGTATACAAAGCATCAATAACAAGTTCAATTTCTTGCAAATTTTCAAGGCGTTCAACGTCTTTGTCTCTACGTAATTTTGTATTTGGCAACTTCCTTAATTTATGCACTTGTCCAGGATCCACTGCTAACTCTTCACAAGAAATTTTTAATAAACTTTCCAGAGTCAGATTGTTTTTTGGTAGATCGATTTCAATAAAGTCAGGGTCAGATGTATTTGCGATTCGCACCTTAAGCACCAGTTCTGTATAAAATAATGTATGATAAATTTGAGTACTGTATAGCATTGTAAAATTAAGGATAGTCTTTTACCATCTTGACTTGAATTCCCTGAATGATTATGATAACTTGGTATCTTTTCTGACAAAATAGTTTCAAGACCAATAGTCAATGGAGGATTTTTAATATAATTGGGCACAAATCCTGGTGTGGTGACTTCTTTCACATTTTCTAGTTTATCAGTAGAAGCACCCAGGAGTTCCAGAATTTGCGTATTCGTACAAACAGATTCCGGTGTCTCACCACTAACTGCAGGAATACTCTTATCTGCTCCATTCATTAAAAGCATAACTGCGACATTAAGATGTCCTCTTTTACAAGCCCAATGTAAGGCCGTCCTGGAAAAACAATACCAATTGAATATACAACTACTGGTTATCAGGCGGATTACAAAAACAGAGAAACTAACTACTACATGGAAAAAATATGTGACATACCATCCATTAATTGCATGTTTCGCATTAATATCCACATTCATTCGCAACAGTTCCTGAACAGCGAGTGTATCCCCAACACAAGCTGCTTCTCGTAACCGCTGCTCCAAATCTCTGTTCAGTTCCATATTGAACTGAAGATTGTCAAATAATTGAGAAAACGCATGTCAGCGTTATCTCATTGTTGAAAGGAGTTGCCATTCGTACCATTTAACGGTTACTTGAACCGTTGAAATTGAACTAGCATCTGGCCGTGTCGCGATACTTTCTTGTTGCTATTGTGCTGCGGACAATTTTGGATTTTTATTTTCATTAAAATATGAAACTCTCTGTACTGGACAAATACTTTAGTGACACCATCTATCGTTGTAGCGCGACTGTTCGTACGATTCATGACTCCTTTATGACTTTCCACTCTATGCACTTTACGGTCCCAGACTTAACGCCGTAATTGAGTCCTCCCGAGAGTAGCGGTTGATTGACGTTTTGTTGCATTTTGTCTTCTCACATTCTCTAGGTGAATTTTGAGACTCTTTTGCCTCAACGAGGATCCTCATCAAATCATTGGGAAAGAAACGAACGAGATGGGCGAAGATTTCAACGGAGGTAGGCTTCAGGATATAGTTATTTGCTTACGGTTTATTAACTGGCTGTTCCACGCTCTTTATCGTTACGAATGTCCCCCAAGTATTGTGCCTAGTAGTACAATGGCCGAAGCGTTCGTGCCGAAATCGTTCAAAAACATTAGACGAATAAAGCATTTTTATTCAAATTTAGCTATTCAGTATCATTAAATTAATGTGAATGATGAAATTCTTTGTTTATGGAAAAAACTAATAACTTTTTTCTTAGATTGCATACTGCAAGTTGTAGTACAGAGTGATATTTGTCATGGGTTATGCTGTATGTTGATGCTACAATTTATTGTTATTTGTTTGCAGATCGTGAACGTCAGGATCGTGACAAAGAACGTGATAGGGATAGGGACAGAGACAGAAGACACAGATCTCGTAGTAGGGATCGTAGGAAGCGTTCTAGGTCACGCTCTAAAGAACGCAGAGATCGTAAGCGTAGTACCTCACCCAAAAAGAACCGCAGTTCTAGGAGGAGAAAGCCATCACTCTATTGGGATGTACCACCTCCAGGATTTGAGCACATCACTCCTTTACAGGTTTTTACTTTGATATATGTTTGAGAATAATGAATAATTATTAAATTGTTTATTGCACATATTAGAATCTAACTATGTTTCTTGGTTAAGTACAAAGCGATGCAGGCAGCAGGACAGATTCCAGCTAACATAGTAGCAGATACTCCACAAGCTGCGGTGCCAGTTGTTGGCAGTACAATTACACGACAAGCCAGACGACTTTATGTTGGAAACATACCCTTTGGTGTAACTGAGGAAGAGATGATGGAGTTCTTTAATCAGCAAATGCATCTTTCAGGACTTGCACAAGCTGCAGGCAATCCAGTTCTTGCCTGTCAGATCAATTTGGATAAGAACTTTGCTTTCTTAGAGGTAATACATATTCATGGATATTTGGTTACAAAAAATGTGTTTGTACTCTGTTCATATATTCTCATAAAATTTCATTATGTTTCAGTTCCGTTCTATAGATGAGACTACACAGGCTATGGCTTTCGATGGCATAAACTTCAAAGGACAGAGTTTAAAGATTAGAAGGCCCCATGATTACCAGCCCATGCCTGGAATGACAGACAATCCAAGCATGAATGTACCAGGTATGGTTCCCGGTATGTTACCCGCGTATCTTGGACACATTATTTATGGGCTTTAAATAATCTGAATTTTCTTTTCCTCCTCTGACTCATTCTAGACTCACCTCATAAGATCTTCATTGGCGGTTTACCCAACTACTTGAACGAGGAACAGGTATGAAAGTTGACAGATTCTCTACTTATCCCGTAGAACCCTGAGACCGTTTTCCTGAGTTGCCTATCCCGCTCCACAGCCAGATAGCCCGGGTACGCTTAATCCTCATAACCTCTCATCCTCTCGCAAACTTCCTCTCTGTAAATTCCTTCTACAACGAGGAAGGAACAAGAGGACCTAAATGAGAAGCTTTGCGAGTTGGAGCAGAATCAGTATGAGACTGGCCATTTGTCTGTTTGGCTTGGGATCGCAGTACCCTGAGAGTACGAAGCACATCCTTATCTTTTTCTTCCTCATCAGTGCACTGCGATGACCTAGCCAAGGATTAAATCATGAACCTAGGTATTTAGCAAATCTAGCGGAGGGTACATCAGACACCCTCTTTCGAGAATATCTCCAGACACCTCCCAGAAGATGACGTTCACGAGTTCTCCAGAGGTACGTATTCGGGTATTCATCGGTTTTCAGCGTCGCGTAGGGTATCTAGCTAGCTAGTTAGACCACGATCGAGCCCCTCTAGAACATTATCGTCAAGAAGATGACTATGACAGACGCAATAAGCGAATTTTAGACTACGTATGACCACGGTGACGTTAACCAGGACGTAGCACAACGATTGTTTATGTCGTCACTGACGGTGACGAGTCTAGGGATGATCAGGTTAGCGACGTTACAGCATTTAGGTGGGTGGCGCGACGTCGTGGCAGTCCTTTTTATTCTTTTACAGCCTTTCTAGGCACTCCGGAGACCCATCCCAAGGCCTACCAATATTTACAGTAATCACTTTTATATCCCTCGTGTACTTAGGCGGATATCAAGGATATCAACGCGTTCTTTCAGGGCATTTATATTAAGAGTCCTCTCGAGGAGATGTTACGTCATGTGCCATATTCCGGACGAGTCCAACAACGTGGGGAAGGTAGAATCCTCCCTACCTTCGCGACTCGATTCTTTTTAGGTCTGCCTTTCTTCGTTTGCTTTCTTATTAGCGCGAGAATTTTGGAAAAATACCATGGACATTTTTCAGGCTCAGCCCGAACTTCCAAAAGCTCTATCGGCGATTTATTATACCACACGATTATTGATTATTCGGATATGTCTTATCCCGGTCATTTGATACATTGCATACACTTTCTATACAGCGACTACTCCAACTTTTCAGGAATATACTTTTGTCCATCTTGCAGCTCTTTTCTTTACAGGCTTTTTACAGGCTTTTCCCGAGTTGTCTACGTATTCGAGAGAGTGAAAAAAAAACTCATTACGTGTAGAGGCCGAACAAATGAGAATAAAAGATTATTTTTTTTAGCAGAAAAAAGGATTAAAGTACCGAGGCTGAATGAATGAAACTACATAGTATGATACTCTGAATGAATAAATGAATGTATTGCATTGAAATGAATGATTCAGTGTGTTCGAGAGAGTGATGTATGAAATTCGTGATACAGGGAACAAAAATAAAAAAAAAGGGAAAATCGTTTGGTTAAAAGAAAATATAAAGGAAGAACATGGACTGATACCAGTGCCCTTTCTCCCCATTTCTTAGCTTAGGGTCGCGCCGATCAAAAGCATTCGCTTACCACTACCACTACTTCTACCACTACTACTACTATTACTACTACTACTGAACATGACAAAATACCACACTCTATGGAGAGAGGCTAGTCCGTTTTCTAGAGGCAAGTACCTATCTCATTTATCATGTCTCTTCGTACCTTGGGACAAAACGAATTTGCAGCCCAGCTGGCGAGGCATTTGGAGAATCTGGATCAAAGAATGGCTTCCTAGTTTACGGTGCGTTTCCTAAATTCATTGATTTAATCCTTTTATCCATACATTCATTCATACATCCCATGGTCCACTCATTTATGTATTTATCCATATCATCCATATACCTTATTTCCTGTCTTCCTTGATGCTGGATGATCTTAAGAGTGCGTTATGTCTTTTTCAATGTTAAACTGTTAAAAAATATTGAACTGTGTATACTCTAAAAGTCGTTTAGATCATTGGACATGACCCGCTCTTAGTCACCTGTCGTTAATTTAAAGCTTTCCAGTGTCTGACCGACAAAATTATTAAGGTATCATCCTTCTCGTCCTTGTGTAAGTATAACCTCTTAGAATAATAGAGAATTTTCAGGTGAATTTACAATGTGCAAGAGTCCAATGGAATCTATAAGCTGCGAGGACCATTATCCATGCAACCAGTTGCATTATATTGTCAATTAGCTTTGGACTATGTGATACACTGGACCGCTGTTAGACTGTGTTTAGATTGCTCAAAATTTTTGTAGAAGCTCAAATATGCACTTCCTCAATGAACCTTTTAGAATGTACATTTGATTTTGTAATATTAATAATCTTATAGACAGAATGTCTCAGTCTCTGGTGTATCGTATAGGTCAAGCACAGTTCTAGTAGCTAGAAATTTTAATAAAACTATAAACGAAATTGTTCAATATAATCTAAGCGATTGTTAAACGATACAGGTGAAGGAGCTACTGATGAGCTTTGGGCAGTTGAGAGCTTTCAATCTCGTCAAGGACTCAGCCACTGGTCTCTCAAAAGGTTATGCCTTCTGCGAGTACGTTGACGTCTCGATGACTGATCAAGCAATCGCTGGTCTTAATGGAATGCAACTTGGAGACAAGAAACTAATCGTACAGCGCGCCAGTGTAGGAGCAAAGAATCCAATGATCGGTGCTCAGGCACCGGTGCAAATTCAAGTTCCTGGCCTCTCCATGGTCGGCACCAGTGGACCTGCTACTGAAGTTCTTTGTCTTTTGAATATGGTCACACCTGAGGAGCTTATGGAAGAGGAGGAGTACGAGGATATCCTCGAGGATATTAAAGAAGAGTGTAACAAGTATGGCGTGGTACGTTCCGTCGAAATACCAAGACCCATAGAAGGTGTCGATGTTCCAGGATGCGGCAAGGTAAGCGATCGATACCGTGATTCATTGATACCCATAATGCACGTTTATTTAATTCGATTTCTCTTTCTCATTCTTTATCTTCTCCAGGTCTTCGTTGAATTTAACAGCGTGATCGACTGCCAGAAAGCACAGCAAACCCTGACAGGACGGAAGTTCAATAACAGAGTGGTAGTCACATCGTATTTCGATCCGGACAAATATCACCGTAGAGAATTCTAAATTTGCATAATCCTTCGCTCCCACCCACTTTTCATACCGATTAACGGATAATCGATTATTTGTCTAAAGTCTACTGTTTACTATATGTATGTATACCAGTGAGTAAGTAATTCACGAGTGAGCCATAACGAGAAGTTCGATCAGCCATGAAGATTAATGGAATTCGTGAACTGAAGAACGTTTTATTTTAAATAATAGTGAGCGACACAGTTTGCTATTTCGAATCAAATCTTTTGTTTTATCATTCACACGCATGCTCACTCGTTCGCTCACTCGCTCGCTAACTAACTCACTAACTGGATCGCTTAGTCCAATTTGAAACATAAGTCAAGATTGAGAAGAAAGTGAATAACTACTAAAGGAATGTATGGAAACAGAGAATGAATGATTGCATTATTCGGGCCCTGAACTTATAAGACAATTGTACAATATACGATAGAATTTAGGCGTTATTGCCGCACGACAGAGCCCAATACACTCGCTAATAAATGACACGGTCCACTGCTAGACACAGGGTGCAGCGATTCGGGGCGATTAAGTAATTAAACAGGAACGACACACCGTATTAACGGGCACTAAACTTGAAAAAGGACAGCACTAACTATACGGAAATAAAAAGCCCTCTGTCTTTGTAAAAAACAAAATTAATACGTCATTTATTGTATTGGATAGAACAGATTTCATCTCATACAATTTTGGGAAATGAATCGAATAGAATGATTGATACAAGTATATTAAATAGAATGAGGTCAATTAAACCTCGTCTTGCATGGCAGGTTGATAAGCACGGGCGTCGTTTGAATCCGCTACATCGATGAGGAATTTCTTCAGAAGTGCGTAAAGTACCCCGCCAACTATTAACATTCCTATACCTGCGACAAGAACTATTGCCCATGCAGGGATGGCTGTGCCTCCTGAAATAGATTCTCTAATTATTAATATTCTCTTGCATTGAGGACATTACGTTTTCTTCTGATATTCAGATTTTATGATTCATAAGGACTTACTGTAATAATGTCTGGTGATGGTCTTCCTGCCACGAAGAATCTTACGTCTGGCTTCTGCTTCCTCCATGAAGATGCCCATTATCACTATAGACATTTGACAGGTATTAGGAAATTGGAATGAATATTTGCTTCATAAAAATGACGACGCCTCATAGTGCGATTGAACTTACACAGCCCTATGGCGAGGTAGTACACGATACTTTTTGTTCTCATTTTTGATTCCTTTGTCGTTGATTTAAAAAAAAATAATTCTTGTTTTTTTTAATGGAGTTTTTTAAGAAACACTGGGCCTTGCCGTATGCACGATGGAACGCGTAGTGAATTTGTGATTCAGTACGCTGAGATAACGCGATCGTGATAACGAGTACCGTAGAAACGGACCTTATCTTCTCTGACACATCAGATAAAAAACTAGATTTTAGTAAAGACTGGATGTCGTGCGCAAAAGGATATAGTAGAGGATGTTACGTATTGTTAGTTTATCAGGATTCTCTTTTAGGATAGTTTTTTGATTATACAATCTGTTTCCAGGCTGTTCAATGATTAATCAAGCTATCCAATTGTCGATTATTATTGATAATTAATATAGAGAAAGTAGAACAATCTGTTCCTTATTATACATTATATTGTAAAGCAATGATACGTTAAACATTTTTGCTCGGGGTCTTTATACATATTTTATTGTTAGGATTACATTTGCTACAATCCCTTAAAAGTATACGTACAATATGTAGATTTTTGACGAAAGTTATGAAAATTAGGTTTTGTTGAACGTTAATTTATTAGATAGTGGCACATTTTCGAACTGTTACTCGACATGATATCAGACCCGATTTCTCAAGATTCCACGATTACAGTTTTGTCTCGTGTGAAGTTTCCACGCATTTTCAACATGTAGAAATCATCCACGAGCAGAACCGAGGCTGCATCCACCATAACGGCGAACTTGTCTTTGATTTTGGGAGTTACTAGTAGTAATGTTCCCGGTACTACAGTATCGGTTTCTCTGTCGTTCCTCCTTCCTTTCGTTACTTACGCCAGCAAAGAACGGATTGTTGTTAGTTTTCCGATAGATAAAATAACGGAATTGCGGGTTCGCGATTGGCTGCGTAAGTTACGCGTACTATTCCCTAGCCAAATTTGCTTGATTTCCAATTCCAAGGAAAATATGAACTTTTTCTCGAAAGTAATACACCATCAGTCACCGACAAACGATTTTACAATACATTGATTTATATAAAAGTCAAGTTGAAAATATGACGATGGAGTGGCTATTTAAAAAAGTTCCCTAGCTAAATTTGTTCTTATAAATTTATATAAACAAATAACTGAAGAAAATTAGTTCGATCGGTCGTGATGAGGGGTTAACTATATGGAGCTCTTGTCTGCAATGATTGTAGAGGAACAGTATCTTCTAGTATCTAATAAGCAATACATAAATCTACTATTAGGAAATAGCTCCTCTTGGACAATGTACGTCGCTCCATCTATGAGCGCGCAATTTGAATCAAACGAGTGAGTTGCAATAGCCCCATAAAGATGGCTCTATCAAATTACTTTACGGCGTGGTAATTTTCAAATGTGAATGATCATTACAGCCTAAGCGCTTTTTTTTCCAGTAAATATTTCTTCATCAGAAATACGTATTTTTGTATTCTAGTCTTTTTTTACTTCTGAAGCACAATTACATACAAACAAAATGTATACTTAGGTTATATGATAATAACACGCGTCTGTCATGCAAGAAAAAAATGACTCATGCTGATCTCAAAATCAAATATTCCACTGCGGTATCATAAAGCTCAGATAATTATCATTAAATTTTAATGTGACTTCAAAATGGCAGAGTGGCTAGACCAAACTTTCCGTGAAATCCTGCGAGACATAGGACGCGATATAAAACAATATTCTAATGAAGGTCTGCATTCAGTCATACGGTAACTTCAACACATTACATTTTCAATCGTACAGAGAGAAGAACAGTGGCCGGTTGGCTCAAACAAATCGGCAAGGAAATACAGAATAACGAGGATCGGCAAGCACGGAACGAATATGCTCGTTACATCAGATACATTGTTCAATCGGGTGCGGATTTGCCTGCGGACTTCTCAGCCATTTGTACAAACGATCTTGAGGAGAATCGTAGTAGCTCCACCACCTTGGTATATTCAGTATATTATATTCCTGTTAGACGATGTTAATATTGTTAATGAGCTTGTCTGCCGTTACTAAAGATAATCTGTTTAATTGTGCAAATAGAGAGGTCCTTGCCCGAGAAAGGATGTAATAGCGCAACTTGGCTCACGCGTAAGTAAATTACGTATAACGGTAAAACCAACTTCCCGTCACATTCAAATATATCAAAATCATTACGACCTGACTGCTTTATTATCATCTGAATAAAGACAGATTCCGAAGGTATAAAAGAAGTGTGCGAACAAGTAGCAAATGGCGAGATAACAACAGCTGCAGAATTTATATTTAGTATTACACCGTATGTGTCTGATCGTGCTGGAAATTTTCGGGAGATTCTTGATAAGGATTTAAATTTCTTTCGTGAAATCGTCGAGGATACTGTCGAACGTAGGGTGAGTTTATACGATGTTTACTTTTCATTCCTTGTTGAAATCCTTCGGGGATTCCCCCGGAATCATAGGGAGATCAGTACCTACTTCCGGGTGATGTGATATTTTATTACCGTTTTGGATTTATGGGGACAGGTACAAGATGAGGCTGACGTCATGATGAACACGCAGAATGATATAAAACAAAAGTTTCATAATTTAACCGATGCGATGCTCCAGAGGACTATGCGAATTCGACAGCGATTGTTGGAAGTAGCGCCAAGATTTGATTGGGCAGCTAATGGGAAGAATAAGGCTAAGATAGCCAAACTTATTACAGTTGTAATTAGAATGATGAGATGTTTATAGAATATTTTTAATTCATTTGATAAGGGGCAGAAACAGGTTTTGTAATTTTAGAAACGTAATGAGATGTCTGGAGATCCTCATGTTCTTGATAAACTGATCCATCAAGTATTTATGCGTGGTCAGTGGTTGAAGAAGGAACTGAATCGACTCCAGGAGGAGAATGGAAACCTTCAGAAGTTCCTCAACAAATTCCGCCTACTCGCAGCTGAAAGGAAAGCACAGGAGTCGCACATCCCAAAGTTGTTGTGTAAAGAGAAGAAGATTCTTGAGGACCAGTTGTCGAAGCAGCGTAGGACTTATAAAAGAAATCTAGAGACCATCGATGCTTTGTATGTTGAGCATCACAGATGCATAAAACCATCCACTAGTAAAAGCTCAGTAGAGGAAGAAACACTCGAATAAAGTGAGGAATACAAATATGCAAAACAAAGTGCCAATTTATTTATATTCTATAGATACATATATACAGACAATCTCGCAGAGATAGAACACATGGGGAGGCATACAGGTATACTATGTACACAGATTGATAGGTATACACTCTCATATACCTAGTAAGGCACATCAACAGGAGAAGATTTAAAAAGTATTAAGACTGAAACAGAAAAACTTATTTCTGCTGTCTCAATAAAAATTAGGTCGTATTTTCTGTTCAACATTTGTTCTGTCCAAATTGAGTTAGCAAGGAAGAGTACGTTCAGTGATAATGATTCTGTATACATGCCCTTAGGATGACTTTCTAGTACCAATATCACTGCCTAGGCTACTCGAAGCTTTAGATTTTCTCTCAGGATCCATAGCTATGGAGATAAATTCTTCAGAGATCCTTTTGTCAAGTCCTGTATAGGTGTGAGCAAGGTCAACTTGATCTTCGCCAATGGTTTGGCATTTCTTCTCGTTTTTACTTTGAAGATGTCTTTTCCTGTCATGAATTTGTTCAGGATGATGTTCACCAGGGTGTCTTCTGGGTTTCATACGCATCTAATATGAATAGTAATACATTAATCAACAGTTTCATCTTGCGGTAAACGCATTCACGTTATATTCGTACCATTTGTGATGATGGTTGATTAGGATGCCCGAGGTGTGGAGGAACAGCGAGCTTGTATCCCGGAGTCCCGATTGGTATACTTCCTGGAGGAGAAATCATCCCTGGGGCGGGATAATTTCGCGGTGGAGGAGTCATCGTCGCATACGGCGGCTATGTTGAAATTATGCGGATGAACAACAATTTTCAGACTTTCACGATAAATGCTTTACGGCTTAAATCAATCAATCTTAAGCACATCGAGTTTTTCTTTAAAGGTAATAGACTGCGGGTTGTGCTAACATCATACGAAACTTTCTAATGTGTCACTGAACTCTTGCTACTTACCACTCAATATCGCCGGCGCACAAATAGAAATCGGGATGAGTATACAAGTATACAAATAGACACGTGTACTAATAGATTACTACTACCTAGACAATTTGATTATTCTTACCTGCATCATCGGATGCATTGGCAGTACAGGCTGTAGCACGTATATAGGTTGATTCTTAGGAAGAAGATTCTGAGTGACCACCCATTGATGAACCATATTATGAGTCTTGAGTTTGCCCTCAGGTTCACTAGTTTCACTATTTGACCTGAGACAACTACAGAGTCTAGGGGTCAGAGTGACACAGCTATAACCTGAGATGAGAAGTTCGACGACACTGGCGATGAGCAAACCGATGCTAGCTTGAAGACCACCCCAACCACCTTCTAGTTCGACCAAATCATCTTCTTCATCCTGATATCAGTAAATAATTAAATTGATTTAGTTATATGATACAAGCACCCTGGTTCTATTTTGTTCCTGACAATTCATTAATCTCTTCTCCAGCAGGAGATTTCACGAGATTCCAGAACGCCCTGGCCTTGGCATTGAACTTTCTCTCAGTGATTTTAAAGAGGCAACAGCAGCTTAAGCTTAGTGCTTACTGCCGTGCGATTTGCTCGTTAACTTACTCACTGATCATCTTAATTGGACACGGTCTATGATAGTAATTGGCACGCGGTTATGATTGTGGTTACTGATGCATTCTGTACTAGGTTGTAGAATATATAATAGTATATATATATATGAATTCTTATGAGCAGAAATAGCTGTATATTAATTAGAAATGAACAATCACTCACTGGCAAACTCAGCAGAGTAATTTCGGGCACCCTCTGGGAATCTCTGACGACTGCAGTAAGGGCCGTAATAGCAGCCATGTTGGAAAGGGCCAAGGAAACTAAACTAGAGGCCAGATACGCCGTTGAAAAACCAGAGTTTCCCTTTTGAGACTTCTCCGTGAATGTGGTGATGGTCGCTATGACTCCAAGAGCACCGGCTACGAGAGCACCTGCTCCTGCCCAGAGTCCTGCTCCGGATCCTCCTAAAGAAGCTCCGTGCACCAGGACCAGAACTCCAAAAACCACCAGGATCACACCTATCAGAGATTTTATACTAGGATTAAAAGGGTTGCAAATTCAACGTGGGAATTCCTAAGGAAAAGGTAACTGAATTTTGTTACCTAGAAGAAGATGGCCACATGATATGAACATGTGCAAGTTCGAGTCAGTTTTTGAAACCGTTTCCTCTGTTTTTTTAGGTTCTTGTCCTTCTTGTGCTGCTTCATTCCTATAATGCTGCTGTCTCTGCTTCTCCGTAATGAGAATCTCCTTCGAGCGTTTGGACTCCTGACAACTGTCAGGCTTGGAATCGTTGGAATTTAGACTTCTGACAGTCGAGTCCTTCATCGCGGTCTTTTGCATGTTCACTCAATAAAGTATAAACGATAAGGGCTTGGAGAATGTGCTGCGTGAGCACAATCGACAACAATCAAACTTTTTAATTCATCCTCTGGTACATAATTTAATTAATAATCTCCAATTGGCATCTCCGCGAGTCTTTTTATCATTAAAACAATCGATCCATAAAATTAAAAAATTATATATTTTCAACTAATGATACGTAGCCTTTTAGAATCACTTAAAGTACAGAAAGCTCAAGTACAATTCGCAATATTATATGGTCCAATCACTGATAAGATTGCAGAGCTCCTTGTTAACCGATCCTGAAACACGAAAACAGTTTCATGTTCACCATAACATTTTATTTTTTAAAAGATCACTTCACTTCGATTAAAATAAAAAATCTGTCTCTCGTACAGTCTCTTTAATAACTTTTGTCTTTCTTTTTGTCTAAGGCGCTGCTAATTCATCACATAGTTCAATACTGTCAAGAAGATCGGATCAAGCAACCGAGCGAAGAAGCGAGCGACTAACTGAGCAAGCGAATGTCTGGATCGCGCCGGCACCCGGTAAAAGAGAAAATATCTGAGATCAACAAGAGAGAGGCTACGGTAAAAGAGCGAGTGGGTCGATCGGGGGAGACAGAAAGAGAAAGAACGTAAAGCCAAGATAAAACGTACTAAAGTGTGTCTCGTTGTACGTCTGGTCAGTCGCTGGGTACTTTACACTTTACACCAAGTGATATCTGCGTCCTCTTCTTGATTTTATATAAGTCTATCTCGCTTACTCTCATTATGTCTATCTGTTACAGTGCTCTTTCACTTAAATAAACGTCCATTGCACTCGTACTGCTAACTACTTGGCACATCTCGTGTTAAGTCCTCTTCGTTAGAAGGTGCAATTGCACGTGCAAAGTGCGCTATAGCGCAATGCTTCTACCACTGGAACGTAGTATCACGTAGAAGTAGAAACGCTAGTCTTTACGGTACATTTAGAGAAGATATATACAGTAAGGCGGAGGGCAGCAAGAAGGAAGGAAAGAAAATGAGAAGGGAAAGAAAGAAAGAAAGAAAGAGTGGAGCTGCAGGGAAGAGTAGCAGATAGACTCGCGAGAACATAACAAGCTAAGATGATTCTGCTGGCTCGCTCTCTGAACTTCCAGAGGTTTCTCCGCCTTTCTACTCAACTATTTATCAGAGAAATGCATGGTTACACGTTTTAAACAATTGCATCCAGGATGAAATACACAGCTGGCATTATTTTCACCTGCTGACAGAATTGAAGGGTGATCGTCCTCGATGGCTAATACCAATTCGATGTAAATTAACGCTTTGATATCTGTAGTAATTGATAATTTAATACTCTTACTTTCAGTGCTGATTCAAGTTATCAGATTTCAAGCTAGTTATCGAAAGGTACGCGTGCCGTTACCTCAAAGAATAATCTAGAAGGGTTTAACCAAAGCTGTATGCAGTATTGGTAAATGATACGTGAAGGGAACCGGGCCGATTTACTCAAGCAGAAAAATGGAGTCACAGAATCCAGAGAAAAAGTTCATTCAGGAATCTCGTTTAACAAGGATACCCTGTCAATAGTGCCCAAGAATTTCTGTGGCTGCTCTGGAATTCACGGGGACAACTTATGAGCGGCACGCGGCCGGAAGTTATTGTCGGCCACTTAAATAATTCATTAATTTATCGACCAAGAGAGAAAGTTGACTCTGGAGAAAAAGGAGTGAAAGAACGATGAGAAATATGTAATAAAAAAGAGAAAAGCAGCGAATAGCAACTCTTTTTAAAAAATATTTTTGGTTCACGGACCTTTAAATTCTATTTAACGTATCGATATATTGACACCCTGGATCCCTTTGGACTTCACTATTGCCTTCGCCTCGTAAAAGCCTCACCTTGTTTTCAATCGGCACAGATACTTTGTACTTGCTTGCCTTGGCCGAGCAGGAAAGACTGATCTCATCTCCGAAATATGTCGTATGGTCCATGCAAATCATACTCAGTCAGTCAAAATGATCTTCCTCAGTAAATACATAATAATGGCCATCTTTTACAGGTCTGTCTGAACAAGAGGATGAGGTCAAGGAATGAGGAAACCAAGAGGAGGATGGTATTGCCTGTGAACTAATGAAATAAGATGTGAATGAGAATGAGTGTAATATTCCTCCAAGGAATAACAGCCGGTGGAATATAAACTAGTCGAGGACAAGTTGAATTACAAATAGCCTTGTTACGGCATAGCTAAACGTAATATGGGTCGGTAAAGCTGGATGTATCGCTAACAGTGCTTGGGAACGCATCTTAATGAGCACCTAATATTCCAGACAGTCTGTCGCTTACGCATTAACGAAACGTCAAAGTGAACGGAAGGTGCCTGTTCCTCTATATAAATTGTTTCTCGGTTGTTCTGGATTGCGCAGCAGTCACGGAATGCAAAAGACTTCTGCGACTTTTGCAATCCAACATCACTTATTATTCGTGGGTCAAATTCTACACTGGCAACCTAGAATCCCATTGTTCTGCCTACGTGCAAATAATCAAGTGCCGCGCGTCCTCCTTAAGAATGACGAACAATACACCGTTCACTGGGTACCCATGAATATCAGCATCAGGAAAGGAAGCTGAATGTCCTTAGTAGAAACAATTTTATAGGGAATGTGGCTACCCTTGGGGTCGTAATCGTGGTATAGTATGCTGATGGTTAATTACATTTTAATAGTGGCGGACTAACCTTAGACGTTACAATGATCTCGATCGTTTACCTATATTCTCGATAATCTGGTATTCGAAGCTGTTAAGCAGTTTTCTTATCGATTACTTGTCTTTGACTATTTCAATGACTCATTTGCGAAATACTTGACACACCTGTCTTTCTAAGTGTCAATGATCTATGAACCTATAGCACGAGAGCGAGCTTAGATATTTCTAGATGCGCGAACCGCGAGCAATACTTTATTCTTCCTTTCACCAAAGTGGCTCTCAACCACCGAGTACCGTAGACATTCTACTCTCTACCATTTGTATAATGATACAGTATGTATACGCGCTATGTTTCATTATGGGATACACCACGTGTCTACATCTTTAGTCACGTGGAGGAAGAACTTGCTACATGCAACATTGCTCACAGTGTCTTGTTAATAACAGTTATTCTCGTAAAATTATTCCTAACTTACCGAAACGTGGCTGTTTTTCTTCTAGAAGGATCTCGCCGACCTCGTAACCGCCTGGAGTTGAAAAAGCTAGGCCTATCTCGAAGATGCTTCTCATGGTAGTAGAATATAAACTGTAAGAAGGATAATGGTCCATTTAAAATTATGCTTAAATATAAGGTGGCGATTTTTACCCTCTGTTCCATTGAGTATCTATTTGCTCCACGTCTATGGGTTTGATGCATTTAAGATCCTGGTCGTTGCCTAGGATTAGCATTGGAGCGCTTGTTATTAAATTTCTTGGTACTTGCGTATGCTCTCCGTTATTCCTGTAGATGATGGTTGCTTGTATTCCTCTTGCAAATTCTACGTAGACCAATAGCAGCCTATGTACCAATAAGGAGAGACATTAACTACGATTGTTTTGAAGTGAAAGCGTTTCTTAGTTGACTTGTTACTTCCTAGAGGATAATGGCGAATACTTATAGTATTGCTTCCTGCATTTCTTATTTTAATGGTCATGTCTTACCTGTGATACACTTTAGGATCTACGGTTATAAGCTTTAAGCATCCACCGCCATTATAGGAACACATGTTGTGGAATTCAAAATAATTTTTTTTTGGATTTGTACTTGTTTTCTCTATCGTGATTGATCTACCGTTTATGGTCAGGATCCTTTCTGCGGATTCGTAGATCTTTTTCAGGGGTTTCTCGCTGATTAATTCCTTACGCGTGAATAATAAATTTGGTACAGTCACGGAAAGCTGTACTTTTTGCTTGGATAGATTATAGAACCCATTATATTCGACCTGACGTAAATATGTTAAAGTTAATGTATGTTATATTATATGTAATATTAAAGCTGCGAAAATTGTACCTTGCCGTTGCAGTAATACTTGACTCCAGCGCCACGACAGAAGGATGTCCGGAAGGTTTCATTATCGTACAAAGGTACGTGAATATATAGGTAAGGAATCAGCTGGGCCCAGTATGTATCTTCTATTTCGTAGAATTTTTCTCCATTAAAGTATTCATAAGTCCATGCTGGCGCGAATATCGCAGCCGAGAGGTGACTATCTGCTATCATCTGCATAGCCTGACAAGAAATTATAATGTTATATAAGGAGGAAGGAAAGCAATTATTTACCTTATTCCTGGGAACAAGAAACTCTAACGTTATACAAAATTGTAATTTTCCACCTTGGAAACATTTCGATTTATTACCTCGCTTGAATCGAAACCGCCACCTCCTGGCGATCCTCTTCCATGAACATCCACTCCAACGTAGACATCCTTACTTCTATCGTACAAATCAGCTAAAGATTTACTAGATGCCAATCCTTTTTTTGTAATATTGTAATTGAGGTATATGCCGTCACACGCCAGGAAAAAAGCTCTGAAAGGAAGAAAATATACATAGCGAGTAAATTTTAGTTATAATGCTTATACTTTTCTCAATAATCAAATCTTAAGCATAATAATAGTTTTTTCATATTAGTTATAATCAACGAACAGAAACATACTTGTTTAAATCATTTAGTTCATTTTGCCAATGAAGCTTTCCCTCAATGGTCACACTGTCGTACCAAATTATTTCAGAGATTTCATTTGCTATGTGACTATTACTTGTGAGGTACCGTATAAAATATAAAAGCATCTCAATTGAGTCTGCCTCAATTTTATTCTCAATGTTTAAAAGCCATCCATCAAATCCATAATGTTGTGCAACGTGTATGAGAGCATTGGCAAACTCCCTGCACTTTTCCTCAGATACAAGTACTCGTTTCCACACTTCCTCGCCATTATTATTCTCCGTAATAACAGTGCCCAGTATTTTTACACCATGTCTATGAGCTGTATTAATCCATCCATAAGGCGGTATAGTGATTAAATGATGACTGAAGTATATAAACGTATCGATCAGATTCCAATGATAGAACAAATAAGAATCATAGGCTTGTGATCCATTTATAAATCTGTAAAAAACGAGAACTTATAATTATAATATTACACTAGATACAGGAAAATCAATACCGCCAAAGTAAAATTTACCTATCTTCCAAATAACCACCCATCATATCATGACATAAAATAGTCTTTGGCATAGCATCCCTCGATTCTTTTCTAAGAACTTCTCCATCGACACTTATTTGGGATCCACGAAAAACAAATTCTGCATTTTCTCTCAACTTCACAGTTTCCAGCCATTCAGGCAAACAATTTATATTCTTATAAAGTTCTTCTAAATCGACAATAGGCTTGGAGACTTTTGCATCTTCACTCGTCATTGTGCAGACTGCTCACTGAACATGTATGACAGTACTATTTATACTTAGTCATATCATAAACATAACAATGTAAATGAAACAGGATGAAAATAATATTGGATAATAGGCCTAGACCAGTAAGAGAGTATGATAAGAATACAATGATAATAGAAAACCTTACTGATTAGAAACAGCTAGAAAACAAGGTTATCAATTTTTTAAAATATAAATCACACATTATCAAGTGGAGAATAATGCAGGACATGATTAATGATGTATCTAAAATAAAGAAAACAGGAAATCATGGTAAGGAAGTAATGCAAAAGATAATAGTAATGTCGTGTGATAAAATTATTTTAATGCTGATAATAAAAAAAACAGATGACATACAAAGATTATGATATCTTTTCAATTATCGCTTTAACATATTCTACTACCTCTCCTTCTTCTTTTCCTTTATGTATTTATATTCCTTATAAAATAAAATGTCATATTAATTAACAATACAAAATATACCTTAACAATACATATACGGTACTACAAATGTCATGCGACTCGTGTAACTCGTGTATAGTCGTGCATTTCCGCTACGTTTAAAAATTGAAGATCCAATCAGCGTCTAAAAAAGAATTTGGCGAGTCATGGGTTATTACGAATGAAATTTAAGCCGTAAATGTCAATTTTATTCGATTGTTACAGCCCATTGGAAAAGACATGATATCTCACAAGTATAAGGTATACAGAGACAACTGTAGAATGACTGGAAGACGTACGAGATCGTGACTTAAATTTAAGGACAACGAAAATGCCAAAATTTACGATCCGGTCCTAGTCGCGACGATGGTCCCGTGTTGTGCTAAAACTTCCATGTAATCTAATGACAATTCTTTTAAAATCATTTCTCAAAGATTAAACCCTTGCAATTTTGTTTGCTATTCGTTATTGCATTCAGTCATTTTATTACGCACGCACACATGCACGCGTGCTGTTCTCGATGACACTCGTGCTGAAGGCTACAAATTGTCCTGGTTTATTAATTAACAATGGTATCTCTTAATCAGAGTTTGATGATAATAGGCCTATTCCTATTGAATAGAAAAAGCGGGGCCAGCAAAGGGAAATCAAACATCGCGCAACCCGGTTATCGATTGAATTTCGTTCTATAAATTGTAAACTTTTAGACAAAATTACTCTCTTCGACATTGTATATATCACAATCGAGTCTATTCTTCACGTAAAACTATGATATTGTTTTATTCCTTCTAGAAACCTAGGATTGTTATCAGCTACATTTGCACCGACTATAGAAACTATAATATCAATCACGGTCGATTTTTCATTCTAATCGAACTCACCTATCGTCGCTCTTTCATCAACCATACAGAATCCTTCTATACATCAAATTCTATTAACATTCTCATTTTTGTCTCTACGTACGTATAATGTTTAATACTGTATACAGATACATAACATACCCATTGTATATATCGTAATACTTCCTCCGGCCTATAAATACGTATTATGAGTATCGCGAATATATCTACATATATTTATGTACGTAAGTATATCGTACGTATTGTGCATATCGATTGGTATAGATAATCCCAGGTCGATGTATGTCATTAAAGTTAATCAATTAAAAACTAACAACGCATATCTTCATATCTGTAATAATAATGATAACTGATACGTTCGCATAACGCTGTTCTCCAGGATCACAGAATCTCGCGCGTTCTCATAGAAAACCTAGCTAGACGTGTCTAATTGCTAATCGCTCCGAGATTATCCTTTTCGCACTTTTCTTGAATTTTGTTAATTTTGATTATAACATAAGAAAAAGAGAGAACAACTGTAATGTTCAGAGACGCAAAGACATTTAAGACGAAGGCACGTTCCCGAAAGACGAGACTCGTTGCCTCTGGTTACTTTCTTAGAAGACTCGATACAAAAACCTTTCTTGCTCTTGAATAAGAATAATAAGATGTCATTGTGTTTACACCAGAGGGAGTCTGATATGCGAGGCAGATATTCGTTCGAGTGTCGGATCGAGAAGTGGTCCAGCGATGGATGCTCTAAATGAAGATCTTCTAGAAAGTTTCATCGATTCCTCGGCCCTGCGTCAAATCAAAAACCTCAAAGTCGACGTCGGAATTGTCTGGGGAATCCGGAACGCCAGGTATTTCAAGAGGAACGCCTGAATCCGGAATCCTCAGGGCGATGCAATCTCTTGGTGAACATTCAACACGACCTTCCGAACCGCAGCTGCATTCGACACAATTTCCCGTTGAGTGAGGAAGTCTCTCACCCTGATGATACTCTCTTCCTGAGAAAATAAATATATTAATTAATCAATAACGTTTCTCTAAATGATTAATCATTTAATCTGTACTTAATATAAAGCTAGTATATTACCCATCATTCTGCACGTCTTCGAAGACGTCGATGAGGACGATCCTGATTCAGATTTAGTTATTGATTCCGAAGAGGTCAAGTTTCTCTCTACTTGTTCTGCGGGATCTTCAATATTCTCTTCCGCTTCACCGGAAGCTTCAAAGCTCTCAGGTACTTGTGTACTTCCTGTGACAGATTCCAGCAGATCACGAGCCTCGCTGCTAGTCAGGATACCTGGGGAATCCGTGATCAGGCTATGATACCGCTGCCACCAGCAATAAACTTCACCAGCGACGCAGAGGCAGTGTGAGTTTGGATCTCTGACTGGTATCTACACCCCAAGAAGGTCAAGGTTCAGACAAACTGCAACCATTAAGCCTAGAGCATACCACCAATAGAACCAGACTAACCGTCTGACTATGAGAATAAGTATAGCCGTCGACGAGACACTTAGTCTGAAAGGAATCCTCGGTAGAAGCTTCCACGTCCTCATCCTCGGTGCTTACTCCGGTATCGACTTCCTCCAGAAAAAGAGCAGGCGATTCTTTAAGCGTTGCTGTAAGGAACATCAAAAGATTGAAATATATATTAAGCACACAATAGCGTCCTAAATTACTCTGTATTTCTTGAATGAGTAATAACTTTTCAGCAAGCTTTGTCATCTACTTGAACAAATGGAACTTGCTGATGACAGGAAGCCTATCCACTTCCCAGATTTCATTTACCATGCCAGCCAAGGTTTCTGCTTCGAGGATATGCACTTCTTATTCCTCTTTCTCTATCTCACTCTTTCCTGTTCTAACAGCGTCATCATCAGCGGCACTTGTACCACCACTACCACTACCCTGATACTGGCATCACTAGCTGCATGACTGCTACCACCACGAATGAAAGAGAGCGTGATAGCGTGAGTAAGTACAAGAGCATCGTAGGAGGATTGAAGGGGAGGATTGGTGGAGAGGGCCGTGAGAGGGTGACCGAGTGAGTTCTGGATCGATCCCTGAATTCAGCATGCATTGCACCCTCTGCAAACCAGCCAACGCACAGTATACTCTGTAAGAGGGTAGTTTACATTACATTAGTACATATATGTCATCTTGCCCTGTATAAGACCAAAGCGAATATCAGAGGTGTCAACATGGCTTAATCACTTTGTATAATTATGAAATGATATAATAAACATAATAAATTGGAGTTGCGACAATTTTTGCAAATTTTATCACATACTTTCTGTATCTTCAGCCTCAAATAGATTGGGATATAAGGTCAGGATGTTCACGTAAACCTGACCTCAATTTTCACAAAGTATTCCAAGTCGCAAAACCACCAGAATGCTATGAAATGCCTACTCACAATCATACCTGGTCAACACTCTGGCATATAGCTAGGCATGCTCCTGAAGATACATTTTTAGCTGTGTCCTTAGGCGGAATGTGGAGACACACCTCTTAGACAAGATATATTACACGTGAGAGAGTTGGTAATGGTAGTGGACCTACCTAGAGGCCTAATTAAAAATGCTACTGCTACAAATGAAGACAACAGAGAGTTGTATGAATTACTTTGAGAATCCTTCAGTATGTATTCTTGTGTACGTTACCTCAACCTACTTGGTTCTCGTCGCTCTTATTGCTCTCACTTTCATTTAGTCTTTTTACATCTTCTTTATGGAATATCAATGCAAAAAATAGACTACCTTTTCATCTTTATATGTATATATCCTCTCTTGACTTTCAAATATTTATTTTATTCTGATCCTCGTGCGAACCATCCATTGAGATTGCTTGATTTTATTCAGCATTCACTTCCTCTTTTGCTTGTTCAATATCATTCTGATAACGACACTTATTATTCTCCTGTGCGAAAAGCACAGCGTTCAGAGTGCCAGGCTCAATCGTTATTTATGACGGATAGCGTAGAAGCTATAAGCAAGACGTGGGTAATAATAAGTGAGTTATATCAGCCTCTAGAGAGAAACTCTAATTACTGCACCAATTGTGGCTCCAAAGTGCACCTGAGTTCGTGCACATCCTGTAGCGTGTAAAGGAACAATTCAATTTCAGTATTTTCTTGGTTAAGCTCAACCTGGTACGTATGATTAAATGAGTATGGGTCAGTGTAGGGGTATAGTGTCTATGAGAGAATCGATCCATGAAAATTGGATGGAGCTCCGATCGGAAAACAAATGAACGTTGCTCAGGGTTCTTTGTGATTAGTTATATCGACGTATACGAAGCTCTGATATTGGAGAGTTAAGCTGTGGTTTACACAGGACATCGTTTCGCCTAAGATTTGTTATCAAGATGACGAAACGTTCATTCTGATAAGACTAGTCCTGTACATTCCCTGTTGTACAGTTTGTCCAAGTGTCTTCAGAGTGATCATCTTAGAGTACTGTAAACTTCAGTTTGGCCTAGTAAAATGATTTAACAAGCTGTTCTTTCCCGCCCGTCCAAGTATTCGTTAACATCCCCAGGTGCTTCAAGCCTTCTGACGTGAACGAGGCTAACAGCTTCGCGCTCTACACAGCGTCAATTTAATTACGAGATTGGATCGTTTCGTTACCACATACTGCCGGCATTAATTTCCCTCGACGAATTTAATTAATGTCCATTGAAAAGTCAAGCTGGTATTAGCGTGGAATCATCGATCGGCTCGAGCTCCTCTCTTATTATTTTGTGTTCTCAGCCTTCGTTCAAGTGGCATAGGGATACAACGAAGAGAAGAGTACCTGGGAAAAATTTGTCATGAAAGCTCTTTTGCTACTTTGATGAGAATTTTCCATTTTTTTTCTTCTCTTTTGATTGAAATCCTTCAACCGGGAACGAGCCATCAATTTCGTACGTGCTTAATACAATAAATATGACCAGGTCGATATCCGATTTCTCAGCGAAAAGGGACCAACCGTTATTTCCCTCTGTGTTCAGTAATCCAATATGTATTAATATATTCCTGTATACCCACAGGACCGTAAACCTATATTGCTATTCAGTCACATATATATATATACACATATATTTATAAGCAAGTCCTAGAATTTCAAAATATGAGATACATCGAACTAGCAATACTGTAAATTATTATTTTTTTTTAGGTTCCCGTGATTTATGAGCAACTTTTGAGTACACAAAATTTACGAAAATTTACGTACACAACAGAAATCGAAGCTAAGCTAATCAGTAGACTGTTAAATCCACATTTAACACTAAATCGAGCATAAAATGACTAGTATGTTCCTTTGATAATTGTACGATAATATTTAACTCTAGTGGTCGATTGCTATGAATTCTCATAACTAATGTACCTTTTGATTGACGATAAAAAGAAGGAAAAAACATTTAATACATCAAGCGTGATAACTCGATGATCCTAGACTTACCGGCATAAGCATAACCAAGATGAATGAAAATCGCCAGAGCAAGAAGAAACGAAGCGGCTTTCATCTTTCCAGGATTTTAAATATTTTAACGTCCACTACGTGTAAATCTTGTTCTCCTTTTTCTTCGCCCGCAAGGACTCTTTCTGCAAGTTCAGCAATGTATTTCCAGGGTGAGCTTTACTAACTGTGATACACTTCTGCAAGCTTCTACGCGAGAAAGCTCGTAACAGTCAATTCACACTGGCTGCTGGGATGATCTCCAAGAGATGGTAGACATTATCCTTATCGGGATGTCCGAAGCCGACTGATTCCTCGGCCAATGTAAAAAGCACGGGAAAGCACCTTTCCCAAAGATGTGTGACGGCGAATAGTGCCGAAAAGCTTCAGGGCGCAAGCGCCGGATGGAGCTTTCGGGGATTCGTCCGAGCATCGTTCGAGTACACGCAGCTTTGAGTGTAAAGAGGTGCAGTATAATAATAGAGGAGTAAAAGTGTTTGCTTGAATATTATATGCAGATGCTCGTTATAAAGCCATTTGGTGCAATTATTAATTCAGTTAAATCCAATAGTACGTATTGCTCTGCAAAACAAAAAAGACTATACCAACATTGTAATTGAATTCTATTTGTGCTTTAAGCGAAGAATGCGATTTTGATAAATTCTATGAATATTTATGTTACCTCTTTTATGGTTTATGATGTATACATTTTTTTTTATGTCAGAAAAAATAATTAATTTGCCGAAACCCGGGATTGAACCGGGGACCTTTAGATCTTCAGTCTAACGCTCTCCCAACTGAGCTATTTCGGCGATGGGTATTTTGGTGTTCCCTGAGGACTAACAGCCATAATAAAAAAAATGGTGTTTTTAATTATTTAAAACGTGGACCTTCATTTCATACTAAACTTACTTTGGTTATACTAGTCTGCAGCTTCACTCTGCGTAATAGGATTTAATTTAGTCGACGTCGCGAGGAAACCTTAGAAGTGATAAATTTAATTTTGGCTTAACATTAAATGAAAGGCATCCCTTACCCTTGGCTCGAGCGAAGATAGTCGTAATTTCTGTCAACTGCTCATAACTTTCCCAAGATCGCAATTGCAGCCTCCGAAGAATGTGGATATGAACTTAGGATAATATATGAAAATTAGTCGTGCAATGATAAATACTTGGCAAAGTGTGGTACTGGAAATTATCAGATTATTCAGAAAATCGACAAATTGTATTCTTGGAGTTATCGGTAGTTTTCGGGGATCTTATTAAGGAGAGTCATTTCGGTATTGCAGATCGCTAGAGAACTCAAGTTTCAATGATTCGTAAATTGTATAGCTGATTACTAGTTTGTGGGAGAGATGCTAGATGGCGATGCTATTCTTTTTGTTATTGTCCGGTATAATATGTATGTATGTACAATTGTACACTTTATTAACAGAGTTGTATAGTATGTAAAATATGTCTTTGAAACATAGTATCAATTTTTATTGTTAATATAAATTATGAATTGTATGGGAAACATGAAATATTTAAAAAATAATTTATTTCCTGTGTGGAAACGTTTTTTTGATGTGCAATCTAAAAAGAAGCAGCAGTTGAGATGGATAGAACCTGGTGGATTTAAAACTAATGTTAGTGTATATAATTCTGTTACTAAATGTAAGGTTCCTTTAATTTTAAAAAATGAGAACTCTTGCACTTGGTACATGTGTGGACCAACGGTATATGATTCTGCACATATCGGACATGCTTGGTAAGAATATCATTACTTTTTATGTGTATTGTTTCATATATTAATATTTTACTATATGATTCTTGCAGTACATATGTAAAATTTGATATAATCCAAAGGATATTAACTGAGTATTTTAATATCCATCCTATTGTAATAATGAGTATTACGGATATCGACGATAAAATAATTAAACGGTCAATAGAATCTGGAAAAAGCTGGAAGGAATTAACAAGATTTTATGAAGAAGAATTTTTTGAGGATATGCAAAGTTTAAATGTTTCAAAGCCATATATGTTTTGTAGAGTATCAGAATATATACCACACATAATAAAATTTGTTGACAATATTGTTTCGAAGGATGGTGCTTATGTTACAAAAGATGGTAAGCTGTGTAGAAATTGGCTGTAAATAAGCTGTATATAGTTAAGTGATAAAAATGAAGTAATGTTTTTTTATAGGCAGTGTATATTTTGATACCGCAAAATGGCATACTTATGGTAAGTTAAATAAGCCGATGCCAAATGAATCCCATCCAGAGAAGAAGTCATCATTAGATTTTGCATTATGGAAGGCAGTGAAGGCAGGTGAACCTTCATGGGAATCCCCATGGGGACATGGTAGACCAGGGTGGCATATTGAATGTAGTACCATAGCAAGGTAATTCAATATTCTAAATAAAAATTGTATCTCTGTAAGTTAATGAAAGAGAAAATTGATTAAAAATTCATGTGATTCGTTAGCACGATTTTTGGAAATACCATAGATATTCATAGCGGTGGGATAGACTTAGCATTTCCACACCATGAAAATGAAGAAGCTCAATCCTGTTGCCATTATGATATTGAACAGTGGGTCAATTATTGGCTACACAGTGGACACCTGCATTTACATGGAGACACAAAAATGTCAAAAAGTTTAAAAAATACAGTCAGCATTAGAGAACTGTTTAATAAATATACTGCTAATCAGTTTAGAATGTTCTGTCTTCTGTCACACTATAGAAATGGTAATGGTTTCTTCTAAATTAAAAAATAATTCTTGTATTGTTTCATACTTTTTTTTTCACAGGTGTCGAATTTTCTGACATTACAATGCAAATTGCTGTGTCCACCCTGAAGAAATTCGAATCCTTTATTAGTGACTGTGATAATTTTGTAGCTGATAAACTGTGTACTGGAGACATAGATGAGTCGTTACTACTTCAGGTAACATATTATATAAGGTAATTAATATGTCCATAATAATATTTATAATTTAATTCTATCTATAGTGTTTGAGTGAGACTAAGCACCGTGTCCAGTCAGCAGTTGCTGATGATTTTAATACACCCTCTGCTATTCATGAACTCTTAAATCTTATTAGTCTTGGAAATAAGATGCTTCATTTGCCTAAGGTCAGTGTTGTTAATAATAAAAAATACGATAAAGTTTTAAATTTGAAGACATTATATGTACACCATTTATAGGATCCCTCGAAGTCTCACAGTAAATCGTCTATAGCAGTAGTTTCTAATTACATAATTTTTGTACTTTTAAAATTTGGCATTTCGTATTCTGTGAAATCAGACGCCAATGATCACAAGTTAAAAAGTGTCATAGAGGAGTTAGTAAACTTCAGATCTTCTGTAAGAATCAGAGCATTAGAGCAAGGTGTAAAAGATAAAGTTTTATTGACTGCGTGTGACACAGTAAGAAAAAATTTACTTATCCATGGAATTGAAGTGAAGGTAAGTTGATTTATTTATGACCTGTAACTTGTGTCAGTTTAGCAATTTATAGAATTATTTATTAAATTGCAGATTGTGATCTAATAACATTCTTTTGGAAATTTTTTAGGATTACAAAAAGACGTCCACTTGGAACATACTAAGGGAAGTTAAAATGATGGAGAATTAATGATAACAAAAATTTTATTATTAAATACACAATTGAAAATAATATACAGCTTGGTCATTCTTTAATCTGTAACGTTACCATTGGAGATACGAATTTTTTTTGGACTTGTCGCATCAGCCTCTAGACTCTTTCGCTTGCGTTCAGCTTTTCTTTCTGCTACTGTTTTCTTCAGGCCTTTCATTTTTCTTGTTTGTATACTATTCAATTTTTGCGCTCCTATATGTATACGTCCTAGGGTTGTGCCTAACGTGTTCTTTGATATATTCTTCTTCTTCTTCACCTAAAAATAAGTGAAAGTATGAAGGAATAACCAAAACCACTTATAAATGAAGTTGTACGTAGTAGAAAACATTGTTACTACTTACTTTAAGTTCCTTTGGTTTTTTGCATGCTTGTTTGAAAAGATCATCTGCTGCAAGTTTTGTACGCCTTATTTCAAGATCCATACGAGGTCCAATTTCTTCCAATTCGATTCTAGGAATTCTAGTTCCCGATTTTTTCAGTTGTATTCTGAAATATCACAGATGTTATACTTCCTGTAATAATTTCTTAAATTCTTTATAGATAGTGATTTATGTACCTGTAGCTTCGCAGCAATATCTTATTGTCAACAGCAGTGAAACTTAAAACATGCTCTAAGCCTTGCAGTCTCACTTTCCCCACAACTTCACGTTGAAACATATCGACCAATAAATTTCTTATCCTCCCAAATTCATGATTGTTCTCAAACACTTCTCCATTAAATATTAATATCGGTTTAGTACCCGTAGATATCTTTCCAACCTTGAACTCTTTTAAGCTTTTATAATTTTCAACACCAAATTCAACCATGTCTAACAAAGTATGCTCGAATACTCGACCCATCACAAGATTGTGAGGTCTTTTTTTATTATGTGAAGCAAACATGAAAAGAGGAGAGTTCAACTTTTGACAGAACTGTTCAATACGAGTGACATCTTCAAATGGTCTAATGTCATTCTTCTTTTGCATCATTTGTGCATCTGGCTTTTTTAGATCGTACTAAAACCCACAAGAATTTATTGTAAATCAAAGATACAGTCTATTACATGTATAAAATAAATCAGTGTATCTCATGACAAATGCACTTACAAGATCTTTCATACAATCAGTAACAAGCTGACTAGTCGAAGCACCTTTAATGCACAAAGTTTGCTTAGCATCTTCAAATAATTGTGGTTCCTTTTTCAAAATTGCCCTTTTTCCTCTATGTGAAGTAGGTTTTCTATATGAACAAATATGTGAAATTAAATCATAGAGGTTAACCGTTTGTATACTACTCAAAATTTATAAATAACTTCATTCTTCTACTTACACAATTCTTTGTATAACTGGCATTTTTTAAGAATATTTATTACAGCGTGTCTACTGATGTATTGTAATAGAGGAAACGCAAATACTGTATAATTCACTTGTATAAAAAACCACGTTGAAACCAGTTAAAACTCAATAGAAATGCTCACTTATGAAACTGTACACCGACACGTGCTTGTCTCTTCAGCGGTAAAATGCAGAATGGAGTATGGGCTACATAATAATAATAATGAACCACGCGAATTGCTCTTGCACTGTATTGTTATTGTTTTAGAATTCATACCCAAGTTTTGTATGCAATATATATATTTACTTACAAACAAATACAGTAGCATACTGTAATAGATTTTTCCTAGACACACGAAATTTTGTAGTAGGAGCATTATACTTTTATATTGAACCTCTCAGATCTCAAATGTTAAAAACAATATGTATTTAGCTATTCAATAGGAAATAATAAAGAAATCTATTTGATGCAATAGTTACAAATAGCAGAATTTGGAATGAATTGCGCTAAACATGGATTTATTGCTGTGCATGTTGGTACGTAAATTATGACAATTTTATAAGAATTTATTGTTATTTGTTCATTTAATCCAAATTTTAATAATTGTATTTTGTTTCAGGAGCAGGAAAACATTCAGAAACACTCAAAGATAAATATCAGAAATTATGTCGTGTAGCATGTGAAGCAGTAAGTTATATAAAATTTATTAGAATTTGATATGTATTTGAATATGCATCATCGAATATGAATGGCATGTTATTATTTGGATTTATTCCAGTATATAAAGCATAATGATATTATGTTATTAATTCATTATGCACTAGTGTAAACATAATTTTCATTTAGGCAATTAGTACTTTGAAATCTGGAGGTAGTGCTTTGGATGCAGTTTCTGATGCTACGGTGGTGCTGGAAAACTCGTCATTAACAAATGCTGGATTTGGTTCAAATCTTACAATTGATGGGAGAGTAGAATGTGATGCCAGTGTAATGGATGGCTTGAGTTTACAATTTGGTGCAGTTGGTGCAGTTGGAGGTATAAAAAATCCAGTTTTATTGGCAAAATGTTTGTGTCAACAACAAGCTGTTAGAATTTCATGTGGAAGAGTTCCACCTAGGTAATTTACATAAAGTAACGCATTTCAAATAGCCATCTATTTACTCTCTACAAATTTGTTTGAAATTAGTATTTTAGTTGGAGCTGGCGCACATGATTGGGCAAAAGAAATGGGAATACAAGTTCTCCCACCAGATAATTTGATATCCGGTATGTCTTGATCAAAGCTTAATATTTTAATAGAAGAAAAGTTTTATATAAACCATATTAAATAATCAAACTTTAAAACTATATCTGTATACAAAATGCAATTACGTAGTTGTAACATATTAAAAAATAATAAGTTCTTATTTTAGTAAAGGCCCGAAAGGTATACAAGCACTATAAAAGAAAAGTGGATGATCATGGAGACGAAATGTTAAAGGTATTGGTATACATTTATTTTCCCTAAACGCACGTGACACGTATTAAAAATTGTTCTATTACCCTCAATTTTAACTTTGCAGCAAGTAAAAAAAAGAATGGATACAGTGGGTGCAGTGTGTGTTGATGAATTTGGAAATATTGCATCGGCTTGCTCTAGTGGTGGAATTATCTTAAAATACCCTGGAAGAGTGGGACAGGTAGATAATTATCAACTTGAATTTACATATCAAGAACATTATAAAGGCCTGGTATATAATTTCTATATGATATTAAACCACAAAATTATTACTCAACACAGCATCGAACAAGTCCTTTAATAATAATTTCACTTTCAAGAAACAATATAACAAGAACCTTACTATCAAGTGGGATAAAAACTAATAGTTTACATATAGATTAAACATGTCATATAAATTATATATAATCGTGAGTTCAGGCTGGCGTATGGGGCAGTGGAGTATGGGCACAAAATGCAGATTACTCAGTGGGTTCAAGTTCGACAGGATGCGGCGAACATCTCATCCGCACGACATTAGCTCGTTCAGTTGCAGAAGCTATTTCTAAAACATCATGTCCTACAACAGGATTGCATCAGACCATGAAAAATGATTTTATAGGTAAAACATTTCTACTATATTCAAACAATATATAATCATCAGTGAACCCTCATGTTGAAGCAACACTTCATTGATTTTACTAAAAAAAAAGAAATTATTGTGCTGGTAGATTCAATGTTTTTACGTGGATTGGAACAAAAGCTTGGTGGGGTCATCGTTATCAAGTATTCATCATTGGAAGGATTTGGTGATGTCCTTTGGAGTCATTCGACTAACTCAATGATTATTGGATATATGAATTCTAATGAACGAACCGCCACGGTGAGAATTTTGTAATTACAAGGAGATCATCAAGTATTATCAAATGCTTGAACTCTCTGAACACATCGCGCAGTTGCTAAGTCTTTGACATAAATATTATGTTGATTTACGATGATTAGTGATCGATGATCGTTACTGACAGGAATAAGTGCACTTAATAATTTTTACAGAGCCGCATGTCGGTGTTGCCGCAAGATGAAGTCGGAAAGAAAGCAATAGTAGAAGGAGTTTGCTTCAAAATTACGCGAACGCTTCCTTCTGAAGATGTTAACTGATTGGTATGTTGTATAACCTAAATTTTCAGATTAGATAGATATAAATTAACATTTTTGTTAGATTAAGTTCTAAGAATGATTATTGAAAATTGTACATAAACAGTTCTCTCTTCGAAATTGAAATTTTCAATAAAAAAAAAGTGTTCGAGCTCATAAAAAAATAAAAGACATTTTTAATTATCTTTTTTCTTTTTCATTTGTCAAGGAAATATAAATATAAATTTATTTATCTTATACAGATGTATGCAAACTCGCTATTACTATAATAGTACTAGGAGTTAAGTCGTCACTTCCGCAAAAGACAATAATCACCAACAGTGACGTGTCATTAGTCAAGTCGGAATAGTTATAAAAAATTTCTTACACAGTGATAGCTAGTTTGATTAGAGTCTTTGTAAACATATGTTTTCTTGATAAAAATTTTGTTTGGTATAAATGATAAGAAAAATTCCGATACGCTTAACATTGCTTATACTCCAGAGATACATTGTTATTCTAACTGTACAAGATGCTCCACGTAAATCGATAAATTAATTTTAACTAATAATTAATTATTTATAATAATTTTATTGATTCTAGTTATGTTTTCCAGTAAAACAATCAAGTCTCCTAAGAGTTATTATTTCGACAAGGTTGACACGTATTACGATGATGACGAACTAACAACAAGAAATCATATGTTGCTCAGTAATTAATTCTAATATAATTATCTAGACCTCATCGATCAACCAGCACCTGATAGCAATTCCGTGTCTTTTTTTTGCTGATATATAAAATAATTAATAGTTATGTAAAATAATAATAGGCGCCTCCATAGTACCAAGTGTTGACCGACATAATATTATGATGTTAAATATTAATTGACGTATTCCACAGAAGTCGAGCTGATTCTTGGTATGAAAAAGTAACCCCTTTTCTAAATTTTAATAAAAAATAAATAAATCAACAGCAACGGGTCACACGAGTTTCATAAGTGTTGTCAAGTGTCTCATATATGACCCAAGCAATGGCAAAATAATTCTTTATTAATTCAAGGCAGTCTTCTTTGAGTTTTTGCTAAGATTTAACAGCGGCATAGCTATAATCATTAGCCGAGTAAGTGCTTATATAGCAATGCTCACTCTGTAAGCATTTCTGAATGCACAAGGTTAATAATAATTAAATGAACCGTTCTTAAATTCCCATTGAACGAGGCCATGCCGAAGATATATCGTACATATAATTCAATGATACAGTAATCGAAACGATTCAACTAGAATGCGGAATAATCATCGAAAAGAAAAAAGAGGAAAAACGTGTATTAGCGCCACAGTGACAAGACGTATATTTTATTCAATTTCGAAATGCACCTGTCACCGGAACTGACGTAATATAAACGAGTTTCACGCATTACCGATTATGACACGTGTGAATTTAAATAATACAAACAACAATTTATTCCTCAGGAGCATCGACGTATTCATCGACGGAAGACGGTCGCACGATGGACATCAACGTCTACAGTCAATATGAAGATATTTTAACAACTGGTTGTCAAGGAACGAAAAAAAAATGAATTTTGGCTGTGACGATAAACCCTGGATATATCAAGTCTTAAGTTAATGGATTACGGTGTATCTCTTTACTCCTCCTATGGCTTCTTCCTTAATTTCGAAAGTACATGACGTCACCGTATTACGCCAAGACATTCAGAAATCTTGGAAGTTCCTTTCGAATAAATTATCACAAAATTACATTAACTCTACTACAGAGTTCGCGCGACGTTGTATAAATCAAAATATAAAAAAGACCACAAATTCCGTTGCTAAAATTAGACAACAATAAGAGTATAATTATTTATAACATTATTAAGACTCTATACATTGTATAAAGAGTTTACTTTTGAATTCCGTGCGATAATTAACTATCAATATTAACCGACGAGGATACGTACAAGGAAAAATAGATAAGCGAAGAAAATTTTTCTCTATCAGCTCGATTGGCTTTCCTACGATGTTCCTGATAACGATGACAAATAATACTGCTTCGTTTCTGATAAGAACCGTACAATAAGCTCCCTCAGCGTGCGCACCTAAAATAGTAGAATTCAAAAAATTAACATATATCATTACCGTTCTAAGCAATTTGTTGTGTAACGTTGCTTCGATGTTAGTATGCTTTTTCTGATAAGCGCTATCAGTGTCGTTGTGTCTAGAAACTAGATGACAATTTTCGTTAATAGTTTTCCTGCGAGCCATGTACTCATTCAGGAGCTGATAAAACAGAAAAGACTCCATATGAAAGAAATCATTAATATAAATTTTAATTAAAAGAAAATCAAACCTAATTGTATTATGTCATTGTATTATGTTTTTTTGTGATAAAAGAATCTGTATGCGCAACCAAAGTAGCTTGTATTCGTATGTTTACTATGCATGATTACGCAACGATCACCTGCGAATAAGATTCTCGTGTAATTAAGCACCGTAAAAGCATTGATACCAGACAGAACCTTTTCTAGAGGTATAATGATTGACAAATGACTCGTTAAAAAGTGGAAGCACTAAAGCCTCTATCGTATGTGTACAATGTGTCCCCACACTGTTGTCATATTCGTAGTCTCCTGGTATCTGACGCGTTCTGCCCGTCGTAAAACGACAAAACTATCATCGCCAGCAGTAGAGCGAACGCTTTCCTCGAGTGAGGACTTTAAGCGCGACTGTCGTATATTTGGTTGATATCCAGGACTGTCAAATATTATTGTTGTGCGGTACTTGAGAGATTTTCAAGTATTGTCATTGACTGAAATCGATGAAAAAGTGCGTCGAGGTACAGATGCATCACGATAATAGCACTGCAGACTAGTTGGTATCAGTTGCTACTAGCACTACCAGGGGTACCAAAGCAGAAAGTACATAAAGACATAAGAGTGCCGGTTATACTGTGTAAACATAAGCGACGTAAACTTTGTGATACATACACTTGCGCCATCTGGACATCAGCTGTGTGAAGGATTAGAAATGATTGTTATAGTCAGTCGACTAGAGGGGACGTTGATCTTTTGAGTTCCGGTTTGTTGGATGACTTCCGGTCGGACCATCCCTTGACTATGACGTTATTTAATACATGGTAAATTTTGATTGTCGAGACTTTATAAATATTTATTAGGGTATTTTTCAAAATTGCGTTTATTTCTTTTTGTGGATACCGATTGCTAAATGATTTTTGATCAATTTAAATGACTATGGCGGAAGATGTAATTGGGAAATGTTTGTCTTATGGAATATGGCTGTTTTATACTTATCATGGAAAGCAGATCCTACGTAGCGCTTATACGGCAAGATACTGGAATTATCACGCACTTTCCACATGCAAAAGTGCAGGAACTTTTCCTCTTATATGCGTAGATATCGTTATGGTTGAATGCCCCTGTCAATCGGGAATTTGATGACTGATGAGACAAGATTGAAGTCAGTTTGTTGCTATTTTTGTAAATTTCAAAGCAAGGAATCACGTGAATTGAATGTTTGGTGTAAAACTTGGAAAGTGTAATATTGATAAAGATTATATAAAGATAAATTAGTTAACGCAGCGATAGTCATTGGCAATGTTGAGGAAAATATTTTTGTCAAAATTTGGAAAACTACTCGAATGAGATTATTTTTACTTTTTATCTATTAAACTGCATAAACTGAATGTTCTGGTAAGCATGCAATATTCAAACGAATGTTATGTCTTTGGGTTGTCAGGGTTCAATGACTTTACGATAATCAATAGTTTGCATTCTCGTTAAACGAAAGATTTGACCCTGACCTCTGTCGTTTGCGAATTTGTGCATTAACTGTATTTTCACGGTTAAGTCGAATATGTTTATATTTAATTTTGTTTATTCGATTCGATTAATATTCAATAAAGATTTGCATATGGTCATATTTGTAAATATAGAAATTCATACTGATTAAAATTTTAAGAATTCTTCAACGTTAGCACAATATAGATCGATCATCCTTACATAATGATGAGTCACTTTTGTGATATCTAATTACCTGAATTTTGAACCCGTTATAACTCAAAATCTTGACGCTTCTCAAATCAATGATCGATCGATTAAGTTTATCTGCACCAACAAATTAGTATAGCATTTGTCACAAAAAGTTAACTGGAGGTTATTTTTAACTAAAGAAAACATGTCCGCTGATTAAATCAGGAGGCAAATTAGTAATATGGCAAGAGTGCCACGTATTAAAATTTTTCATGCGATTGGTCGAATCTGAATGACATTTTAAAATAATTTTGACTCGGATAGCCCAATACAAAAATAAAGATGAATAAATCTTTAAAAAAATATGTAAAAAATCATTTTTGCGCGTATGCAATATTAAGAGTATAGTGTAAAGAGTGTGTAATATGTAGTAGATTTCAACAACGAACAGATACTCGTATGCCTTAATTAATGATTCTTCATATTTTCAGCTATTCCTGATCAAAAGGTCATGACAGTGGCGACCTCAGAATGGACGGTCACGATATTCAGGAACTGGTGTCAGTAAAAGAAAGTCTGACTGCCCTTGGAGGACATAACCGAATGTTAATTCATTCTCCATCTATAGAAGGTAAGTCTAACCTAAAGAAAGTTATATCCCTACAACAAATTAAACGATAATACTCTTTCTCTCTTCCTCTCTCTATATGTGATATATAAAATATATATCGCCCTGAAGAATGAATATAATTTTCCTGAAATCGCACTATCAGTCATATCCTGCCATTGTTAACAAATTAAATTATTCGCGAGCGAACATGCTGCTTTTTTTTTATCATCCCAAACAACCTGTTTTTATTATTCCTTTTATTTGGCACGGTCAATATTAATTTAGTGGAAATATTCGATTGATTCCACTCGGATCTCAGTTGGTTCGATTAATAATAATGCTGGAGTATGTGATGAGAGTCAATTATGAATCAAAAACTCATTGAGGAAAGTGGACTTTACGGGCGAAGAATTTCATAAATAAATAAAAGAATATTTGACTTAAGTTGCAAAATCTTTTTTTTTTCTTTCAATTAATAGTTTCTCGAGTATCAATAGTCGCTCGCTTGAATTCACTATATAATTTTGTTTGGTCGATAGTCCTGTAGACTCGATTGTATAAAGTCGAAACTATGAGAATATTTTAGATATTAATGTAAGTTATGCAACTGATACAAGCACGGAGTTTTCACTTGGATCTGCCGTAAAAATCGACGCGGAACGAATTTCAGGTAGAAGAGACACTGCTGGATAACCCAGGGAAGCCCCGTTCACATACATTCAAAATGGCAGAATGTCATTGCGCAGTTACCATAAGAAGTGACGTTCCGCCGTATAATACATGTCTAATTTGTATACATAATCAATGATTGTTTTACCAATTATTATTATTCGTAGTCGTATTTGAACTGTCCCTTTTTTGTTTGTTCAAAAAATAATCCAAAATTTCTTCATCAGTCGATACGTGTGACGCTCGTAGATACATTGTTTCGTATTCCTGATAGCATTGTCATGTGAATACTCATGCGACAGTCAACTAAAATCAATTATCTAATATCGTGACGAAGCCTTGTAGACAATAGATCCAAAGCAAATCAACGTTTCGAACACGTCAGTTGTTAGTCAATATTTCCAAAACGAGAGTTGGGCACGAATCAACTTGCACCGACCGGAATGACGAGAAGTGTGCTTCTATACAGAAAATAAATTCCGAGCACGAAATTACGAAACTGGACTAATACTGGAGTCACAAGTACATAAACTAGTGGTGTTCATTAGATACAGCTATTTGATTCTTATTGGAATAAATCGTTAAGCTTGATACTCGTAGTGTTTATAGGTTAACGGCTGAGCAGCTTTTCAAAAGTTTTAAAAAATGGTATCCATCGATAATCCAATGTATTTAATTGATATAAAAAGAGTTTCCTTGAGAATGATGCGTATTTCAAAAATTTTCTTTTACAATTTCATCTTTATTACGATTATTATTTCCATTTATAACGAATTCGAGGGGAACACGTTTCCAGTGACCGATTGTCTGCGATCAATCAGTTACGCACCTTTTTGTCCGGCTGTCATTATTATAATATTCACAGTATGCATCCTGTATCTCACGTTACTTTTCATAAGTAAAATAGACCAGACGCCATTGACGAATGGTTACACGCATTCGGACGCGCGTCGCGACGTCCAAATGGTTTTCAAGAGTAAAACGCGTTTTGTTCGTGCAACCGGGTAATTCAGCCACTTTGTAAGTTCGTGACGGCTGCCATTTGCAAGACAAATGTTTGTCAACCAATTAACCGCGCGACGCGAAATAAAAATGCGAAACGCGTATAGACTGGTACCTAACTATATTATAGATACATTACATCACCGATAATAATAGAAAATTGCGTATAGATTTATTTTAATTATGCCTTAGGCATAAAGCAAGACTTACATGATCCTGGAAAGTGTCCAGGGATCCCATATCTCAATTTCCGTGTATAACGAACCAGGAGTATAACACGCTAACGCTTATGCATTTGTTTGTATCAAACAAAGTGACATAACGTAACACATTAAAAGCCATAATTCCAAAGAGCTGCGTCATTTTCTAATAAAACAAAAATATCATTTTCATAACCACGCTTAAAATTATGCGATTGCAGTACACGGAACTTCTAACCTACCAATGAGCAAATGGTAATATATTCCAAGAATCTTAAGAAGGGAAAGTTCGGAAATTCAAACAAACCGCCAAAGAATCCCGTGTAAAAAAATCACTAGACACGCGTGCGCACGTGTAGCCAACGTGAAGAAAGAAAAGAACAAGACAAACGAACGTGATGTTGACGCAGTAGTATATCATAATCTGCGAGGATTAATTTTATCTTGACAACGTGTACTTCCAATGTTGAAGAATCCTCTTGTTCAAGACTCACGTAAAGTACGTCTGAATGATTATAACGAGATATTACGGATTACAATAAGAAAAGACAATCCGACATGTCACAGCCAACTTCGTCGTTCCGCGCTCCGTGTTCCACGCTCCAGTAACACGCGAGGTCTCAATTGCATATTGCCACTTGCAATTTCAATTCGTGCCAAGATGCAGCGAACCGTGAGGGAAAATTTTCTTACTAGGCAGAAGTAGCTGTGGTAACGATAATGTCGTAAAGTTTCATTTACTCGTTTCATATGGATCGACATAACCTCCAATGCGTCTCGTTTAACGTGATTAACGATCTTTAAGATACTGGCACGATCATCGTTGTAATCATTCACTGCACGTGGCCTCCTTAGGCAGAAATCTTAGCGGCCTTTTCCACGTCCTTTGATAAGGATTCATCGTCGAAAGAGACTCCTCACTGTTTACCATGACTCCGGGTTTATTATCTACGTACTCCGTAAACATATGTGAATGCGTAGTGTATATATGCCTGCCATATATATGTATAATGATGCCTGGTGGTTTTTCTTTCATGTAAATGGGAAAGTGCAGCCTAGTGCAGGTACGGTTCACGTGATACGTTTTATTGATAACCTGAAAATATTTTTTTTTTTCGAAAAAAAAAATAAAATTTAATGAATCACTTTTGTTTTTCTGTGTTTGGCGTAATAAAATGTCAGAAAATTTCATGCCGTACACGTTCTATCCGCATGACAAATCGAAGGATGCATCTGCGTAGAGGTTGAATTGCCGCTGTATATAAGTTATAATAAACTTACAAGTAGATGCTCAGAAGAGGTCAGATGATAACCCCTCTCGAGCATCCCGGATTGTCCCGGATTGAAAGACACTTGGCGATGTACGAGGACACGAGAATCGGTTAGATCATTATTGGAGGCTGTTTAGATAGCGATGTTTGAAATTTTGATGGCGGGGGGAGAAGAGAGGGGTTATTTATGAATTTTTATTTTTATTATTACTTTGCTTCGGTTAACGTAAAATTATCTTATTTTGTTTTGGCGTGGTATTGCTCATGGAGGCTGGAATAATTTTTCATCATATAAATTTGAAACAGTGCAACGAACATTGTTACTGGTTGATACAACGATTATTTGTGTATCTTTACTATTTCTATTTTGATCTATCAATTTTATTGTGGATTTTGTGCGACAGTCATTGCTTCTAATATTAATTCGACTGATAGTGCATGACGAATGTGATGCTAAAATAGAAAAGTTAAAAGGGTTATGTAATTGATCAGATATAGAGTGATATGCAAAATGATGAAGTTCTATGTGGTCCTGAACTATAGCGTTTGAACATTGTCTAATATATATACACGACTTTTTAGATATGGATGTAAAAGCTGTATGTACGCGCGGTATACAATGGGCAGTAAAAATTGTTAAATATTTTATTAGACTTTGGACTTTCGTATATATCTTGATGCTTTTATTGATATTGATAGGTATCACCGTTTGATGGAAGATGTGTATTAGCTTTATAAGGATTTCGCTAAAGTGAATTATTGCTTTCTTGTGAAATCTCTTCTATCCACTTTCATCACGTGTGCGATGATGTAATCAATGGGAACTTCCGTTCTGGTTGCTCGCTTCATTTATTATAGACTTTGGCAAAGGATACTCAAAGTCACTCTATATTTATTCCCTCGATTACTGATTTCTGATATTGCAATGTGTCGTTCTAAAGTGATTAAATAATTTCGAAACGGTATTTACGAAAAAGAACTTGTTATTTTGCCATTTCGATTTCCTCTATTCATAGTAAAACTTGAAAACGAACTTTTGCAAAATTAACATTCTTCCTCGTGAAAAAACGCTAGTCAAGCGAAGACTTGTTTTTCGAATTGCCACTCATCTCTTAAAGAGTATTAGTAGATTTTATACATACACAGATGGCAGTAAAGAAAAATCTATGTATCACGTTAAAAACAGAGATTAAATCTGATATGGAGAATCATCATAGATTATTTTTCAAGCTGATCTTAACGTATTAATATATCTAAGCGATTGTGCTGATAAGTTGATAAAAGTATGTGTTAATGATCTGACAAGATCTTACCAATTAAAAAAATTAGTATTACCACGTGTGTAGTTAAAATTATTTCCATCTTCTTTTTCTCGTTCGAATCTTATTAGCAGTGCTTGTACATTAGAAATTCACGATAAAATTGCAAGGATGCGTGTACGATAAGAATGTCCATTCACGTAGTGAACATGATATATGACGGAATTTCAATGCTAATTTTCGAGCTAGTTAAGCCAACAAACATAGTTACTGTACCTTATCGTACTATGCTAACTTAGGAAAATGAGAGGCCAGTAACAATAGGTATTACGGTTGCCATTCAACCTGAAAGACAAGTATACAGAGCCAGCAGAAGGACGAAACGCAAAGCTCATAGACAATGTTGAAAAATTATAAATATAAAATAGCAGTCATAACCGAATGTCCTTGCTGCGTATTCATGTATATCTATATCTATACTCTGAATGCATATATCATTATATATTATCGATTTGTTATAAAAAGCCGGTTTACTGCGACCCACATTAAACTTTTGCAAATTAATTGGCAATAATTAATTATTCGTGAGGTTGCTCGTTATTATTCGTCATTCTAAGCGCAGCTATTTTCTTATTGAATTGGATTCAATATCTTTATACCTATAATTTCGAAGCATCGTTGTTCTGTTTCTTTTCTAAATTAATTCGTCAATTTAATTTCGCTGACATAGAGGTAAGTAACTTAACAACCAGTTCACCTTACCTAACAGAGCACAAATCAATTAGCTGTTTTCATGTCTTTGTTTTGTTTCGATCTACACCTATGTGAAGTCAACGATACACGAATATTCTTTCAAACTTGGTCGACCTTGACATATCGTTGTACGTTTCATTTGTCATGTTGCATCCACTACGTTTTCTCGTACCTAATTCCTGAACTCTGTAGCAAAGATAAATTACGAGAACGATTGGAATTCGTCTTGACGTTAAGGATTTGAGAAGATGTAAGAAACAATAAAACAAGCCATTACAATCACGATACGGATATTAATATATTTTTCACGTTGCCACGCTCAACTTTTCCTAATCGCGACGATGTCACAAAGTCGTAGGAACGGATTAAAAGAATCAAACATACATATGTGTTTTCAGACATACTCAGATACTCGTCCTTTAGAGAGTTCCAGATGAGAAACGAGAGCTTCTCGAATTTTTTTAAATCGTTGGCACACAATTCTTGCTTCATAGAATTCTATTTCTGTCCGGGTGAGGTAGTCAAGCATGTTAACGGAAAGAGATTCAGAATCGATCTTTAATCAAGTCGAGATACGAAAATACACTGGCAACCTGTGGACGACAACATGTACATTTACAGACATGTCATATAACCTAAAAATTAGGAAGGTAAGTCTCACGTATGTTTTCTCCTTCTATAGTCAGCCGTTGGTACAAACTATTTCTATTTTCCTACATTAATGAGTCACTAAACATCTGTTGACTGTTGACATCACGTTGCCATGACACTTGGCGGTTGCAACGGAATCTAGTGAAAAGTCTAGTTTACAGATAGCAGCACTGTTCGACCGTTGGGAAAATCAAAAGTGAACCATGTTTCTTATACGAAAGGCAGATACAAATTGTTCCTGCTATTTGATTACATAAGAAAACCTTGTAGCAAAGAAGTGCATTGTAAAGAGTTTTAAAAAAGTTAATACAATACACAATATATTCGTATAGGTATACTCGCAAGAAACAAACGCTACGTAGACATAATAGAAAGACAGTGGTTTAGGCCAGGATCATTAAGTGTCCTATGGTCTTTCTCATCTTCATTTTAATTCTTATGGAGTTGTCAACTTGCTTATTCTCTAAGGTCTCCTTCTCGTCCTCAAGCTTCTTCTCCACTGGTTGGTCACAGCGACGCGCACTTATCGTGTATATATATATCGTAAAGAAGCTTAGAGACTTACAGAGTAGCGAGGCGATTAGATTATCAGTTTAAACTCCCACTACTTTTCCATCTTTCAAAACTGAAACTCCTGAAGGCGGTTGGTTTAGTGTCGAGCAGTATCGACAGAGTTAACGTGGATCGTTGGTCATCCTGGCCAATCATTCCACGCAAGACTATTTTTGAAAACCTGGCTATTTTATTTACTTCGTTTTCGGTTCTGTCGAAGTTTACGAGATTCACTCCGCTGAATTTATTTAATCGTTTCACGGTAACAGTCGTAATTAGTGCTTGCCAATCTTGGCAACGACTGACAGTTTATGAGTGCGGATCGAATTTTAAAATATTTCCAATCGTACTTGGGTGTTCCTAATGCATATTACTGAAACATCCTCTGATCCTTTTTCGACAATGCGTTTCGACGATCAGTTCTTCACTATATTGGGTGAGTCTTATATTTGTTATCATATTATCTTTTTTTCTCGATCTTATAGATTGAAGGCTTTCTTTTACTGTTTATACTTTCTCTTTATGTTATTACTGGTTTATCACTAGAGCCTTCCTATTGTTATGGAATAGTCTCTGTGTATGTTTGAATAGTTTCATTAATTTGTTAATTAAAGAATTCTTATACAGTAAGGAAACACGTTAGAGTCTTTAAATTTCCTAATGGTCATTTCTTTTAATACTTGCCTTGCACTTTGGCAAAAAAGAAACTTAACGACGTAAATAATCTTTATAGTTAAGATTTAAATAGTTTATTACCTTAGGTTTTTGCAAATATTTTAATGCATTGCATTATTTGCATGCACGTTTTTCATACGTGGTGTATTAAATGCACTATACTTATACCAGTAGATACCTATACCTCTATACTTATCCTGGCTACTAACATAAGTCAAGGTCGAAGAAGTCAATTTCCGTGAACTAATTGCACAGATGTATACTTAACGTGACGCAGCATATTTGTCACGTGCATGGAAACTGCTTAATGTTCACAAGACAACCGGAAGTGCATTAAAATTTTTCTGGAATGACCGAGTAAATCGTATCGGCTATATTATAAGTATGCATTTTCGAATGCGAATTTGAAATTACGTACTTTTTAAGCGTCTAATCTTCTCAATCTGATTCGATACCGTAATAGATAAACGCATAGTAACAGCCAACTGCCTTAAGTAAAGTCGACGCCGATATTTTTCTCGCGGTCCAAGTTATCGGTAGCAGTATATTTATCGGTGACTTAAAGATTACAATTTTCGTGTTGACAGGACATTCCGGAGCTACAATATTTCATCTGTTGTGGAAGACAAGTATAATCAAGTAATTGATTAAGACGTAGGAATATAAATTTTGTAATGAAACTTATCGCAATATCCGCCTTGGACTTGTGACGCATTTTATCTTAAACCACGATTACTTATTCGAAGCACAATGCCAATTAGAAAATTTTAAGAAGAAATTGGATAATTTTTAAAAATTTCGTAATGTCATCCTCATCAAATGTAACTTTAGAAAAGAAAATTACGTATATATTAACACTAGATTATTCACAAAAGCTTTGAAAACTAGAGCATTCCTAATCGGACAAGTTATCTCCAAGTAGTTGTCGGATGACATAAACAAGGTTTTCAAATGCATCTGAACGATAAGGGATCCTCCTATTAAGAAAATGAAGAAGGCCCAGCCATGAAATACGTAACGACGATTACAGACTGCCATCTTACATGTTTGTCCCCGGTAAATGTCCGGAATAATATTGGCGGAGGCAAAAAAAGAGGAGAGAAAAGAAGAGAGAAAAAAAATTAGGTAGACAAGAAACTCGTTGCGAAGTCACGCACGTTTTCTTAGGTTAGTTTGCTTGCAGAGTTGAGGTCAGGAAAGTTCAGCATATGGAAACACGTGTTTATGACTATAATACCGAGTTTCCAAGTATCGAAGCTGTAAAATCTGCCATACCTAGTAATGTTGGATTTGATAAGCTGTGCAGTGATTTAAAAGAATTATTGTGAAATCCTCGTCAGGATGTCAAATGGACGTTGAGTTTGCCACGAGGATCCGCGTCATCCTGATTCGTATAGCCTCCACTCATTAAAGGACGTCTAACGTCCGGTAGGAACACTCTGACCACGCAACTTGGCGTCGCCGTCGCCGTCAATGATATACGAACGCTATGTGAATCATTAGCCTTATGTCTCATTGTCCGTCAGCAGTAGTCAGCAGGAACAACAGAATGGGTGCTGTGCTGTTTATCGCTAAACTGACTCATTATCCGACTGCGCTGCTTTGTTACACATCGAACTTGTGCACATTTGCAAACTTCGATTTTCCTTGTTTCCAACGAAAGCAGAATTAACTTTTGTCTTTTCTCGTAAAATCATCATTCCATCTCTTGCACGTGTCATTTCGTATATGTATTTACTGGCTGCTTTGATCTCGTTCAGTTAACTTCATAGATCATGGACTTTATGGATTGGTAAGCACGTAGAGGCTAGTGGCGGCGGGAGCTTCGAAAAATTCTATTCTCTAGAAGTGTTTACGACTGCTGGTAACAGATAAGAACGAGAAGACTTGCACTTCCGGGATGATGGAGTGTCTGTAACAATTGTAATTTATAAAGTACTTATTAGGCCACCGATGATGATATGTTATTTGTTTCTATAAAATTGGTATCTCGTTAATGGAAGGATATTACCTTCGAGCATAGTGATTTATTTGATTTTTTAATTTATTTTCAACATCTTTCACTTTCTGCTGCGAATTGTATTAGGACACTTTGACTTTGGTCCAGCTACTATTTCTGCTCCAGCTTTTTCTTTATTTAAAGTCGCTCAAAAATTTCGGTCAGATACAAGGATCCGGTATTGCAAAACAGTACAAACATTTCTGACAGCATCTGACTCGCCTTTGAAAAGTCGTAGATCTTATTTGCGTAATGTTAAGTTTGTTTTTAACATACAGCATCTTCCCTGTCGTCACACTCTGTCATCGATCGTTTAAAATTCTTCACAATCATGTAAAAAAGAAAACATTGCATTTATACGTATTACCTAATGAGAATGACAATGCTGACTGGCGTAATTTTTTTTTATTATATAAAATAACAACCCCTAGCGATTAAGAACATTAGCCGCTTATTTGTGTCCTTGTGGTTTAATGATACTTTATCGTTTGATGAATACCATTATTACAGTGAATTAAAAAAGTGTCAATTAGAAAAATTCTTTCAATAATACTTAGCTAGAGTCTGCAGTCATCCTTAATATTCCTAGGTAAGATCATGTCACCCGTAGACATTATAAGCCTGAGATTCAGTGAAACAGTGATATTAGGTAACGAAGTAGCAGATATAATTAAAAAATGTCTCTTCTTCGCAAGATAATGGAATCTGAATGGCCGACCCACTTAACCGTCTCTCTTATCATGTTACGTTTCTCTAGATTAGAATTTATCCCTGATGGCACGGAAAAACCTATTATAGATCAGAAGTATTTATTCAATAGAACACGTTGCGTCATTATTAGTCGCTATAAAGTCATACCTAAATCATGAATATTCTCAATACAGATCAATAATCCACAGACTCAGAAGAGTATATAGTAAATGTTAGACATTACCTAAGAAAAATCACGAACCGGGTCACTGTTCTTCTGAGTGAAATTCAAATGTAGTTTTCATCGTTAACCATGAAATTTCGACGTACAGTATCGCTCCTGTAATTGAAAAAAGAATGTATTACAGGTGACTGAAGTTTTCCTTTAACAGTGTGATAGACTTATAATGGTGGCGTACGTTATTATATGGTAGACGTACGAGTATATATTATAATGATACATGTCTGTCTATATGTATGTACGTGCTCAAAGCGTATCCTCTGAAACTTTAGATTGCCAGGTCCCCACTATCAGCAAGCGAGTTTCATTCTGTGGCAAAACGTGTGTGCGTTTACAGCTGTTTCTCAGTTGTCACCGGGCCGTCGTGGGGTCTGGTGAAGGTCGTTAATATGAGATTTCTTTTCGCCGTGAGAAAGCCGGATTCTACAAATCGAGTTGCGTGATTGTTATTAAGGCTGAAAAGTAATTGAGGAGATATAGATAGCAGGGCGTTCGAACAAGACGAAAGCATACAAACAAGTAAACGAAGTCATACGTACACTGGGACATCGAAGAAGCATAGAAAATCGTGGAAGGAGTCGAGTGTATCGAAGCCATGAATAACCCGCGTCCCCGAATAAAAGTTATTTCCGTGGCTTTTGCATAATATAGAGTTTCTAAAATCGCCATTGACCTCGCATCGTCGCTACACGAGTCACGCGACTCTTGCCGAAACAAACAACGGGAAGATTGTCGGAGGGTGACAGGGTTGGAATTACTTAGGCAGTTCGTATTTAATTACGTACGTATATAGGTTACAAGAGGTTTTTCATTGGGTTAACGTAGAATCAAGTGTATCTCAATGTTAACGGTGTCAACATAATTATCATCATCACCACTATTTATCATCGTGTTTTATCAAGACTGTCGCAAGTAGTTCTACGCATTTCTCTCAAGCCGATAGCTTTCTTTGTCGTGACTTCATAACCTCTTTCGGAGATATATCCAGAGAAAAGGATGGGTCTGGCAGGTACGTTTTTGTTTCTTTTTGTCGTTTCTTTTTTTGTCATAGGATCTAATTCGATATGATGCCAATATATTAAAGCGCAATGTTGACGTTGGTGAACGCGGCCAACGACGAATGACGGAAATGCCCGAGCGTCGTCGTAAATACGCGCAGATATGTCGGATGGCGCGCATGCGCAGTAAAGGCCCGTTTTAAACACCAAGTTCTGCTTATTAGTCAACATCTACAACCGATTGCCGCCATTAACCGGCGTCTCGACATATTTAGTCATTATTCGTCATCGTCGCCGATCAGAGACAATCGCACACGAGTAATCATTAAGTAAATCCTGACAGTTTTGTTGGACTGTTTTCTATTTTCTATCCTTTACAATCGTTTTCCTACTCTCTAGTCTCCGCTCTCTTGAACTCCTCCTTTTTTCTCTTTCTTTTTTTTTTCCCCAGTGTCATTAATATCTCCTAACTTTTCCCTGTGTACGCGGACCTCGTCTTGGACGGAAAACAACATAACGGCTACACTTATACTCGTGGTGTTGCGACGCGACGTTCTTCCTCTGTATTTTATATGACCGATGAACACGCTATTTATCGTCGGATTAATGTCACTCTGGGTTCGTTAAATATACTCATTAAGTGCGTATAGTCGAAGGCGGCAAATATGGCGGAATGGTGCACGAATTGCTCGAGGTACATTCTTATTCATTATAATTCCCTACATAAAATTAAATCAGTACGGGAATTACTTTAATTTTTATAATTTGAGTATTTGCTTCAGACGCGTATGTATATTCGAAGATGTTTTTTCTCCTTGTTTTTAGCCACGTACCGTAGGGTTTCTAGGAACGGTCTGTAATTACGCGCTCTACGTATTCGAAACTATTTGATTATGTTAATACTCCGCTAACACATAATGCAAATAGAATGGCTGCCATAGCGTTTACGTTTGCGCGTACAGAGCGTCAATGTCATTCATGAAAATTTATGCGTCTACGAGAACAGGTATAAATAACGCACAACCTACAAATTGACACTTGACTCGTGTGGAATAGTTGAAGAAGTCTCATCAAGTATGTAAATCTCTTTCATTGCTCAGTATCTCGTAGTTCATTTCTCGTATTTAATTATACCTTACAGAATCGTCTTTTTTTTTGTTCGAAATCTGAGTTAAACACGGGAAAGCGTGACTGCGGAAAAATGGTATTGAAACTTCCATTTTCTGCTGTCTGTAATGAGTTTAGAAGTAGAGGGATCTATCGAGGACAAATCGGAAGCTAATTAGTTGAGGACGTCTTAAGGTAACCATTGCGCCATTATTGGCATATAGGTAAAGGCAGTCTTTACTGGAAATGGCAGGTTGGTCGTTAATTATGAAAATGTGCTAATATATGCGAGCAGTGAAGCTGCAAAGGGAGAGAGAGAGAGAGAGAGAGAGAGAGGGAAGGTGAAAAAAAAATGAATGTCTTTTTATTCTTTTCTTTTATAGAGCAACACTGTAAGTTCTACGCTGCAATGTGCGATCGGCAAATGCATGCAGGATATAAGCTATAGAGTCCTCGACCTTTCACCTTCTTATTATCTGAAAGACACGAAGTCCCACTGAGAAAAAAAATACTGGATCGGCCAAATTATCGTCTCGCGGGTGGCGAAGCAAATATTTAATTAAGAGAATTAAGTCTTTGATTACCTTTTGTAGACCGTTGAAGCGAATATCTGTCGATGGAACCAACATTACTTTTTTCAAAATCATACCCGACGACCAATAACACCGATCCTGTCGGTTTTTTATGTTTGTGTAGAAAGAAAAAAAAAACCAACAGCTATACCTACGTGAAGTGTCTGTACTACCGGTTGACACAGATTTCTGCGAAATCTTGTATTCCACTTTAACTTTACGCCTTACTTAACGTATTGACTTCAATTTTGAGCTATGCTTTTTTGTTTTTTGGTTTTTTTTTATTATTCTTGACACTATACGGAAACTTGTTTCGGGGACGGTGCCTGCGTATGAAGCCGAAAAATGACAGGTGGCTGTCCTTGAATTATCCGGATAGTAACAATAATGGTAATAAGGATATCTTCTTCATGGTCGACGTAAAATCTCGCCCAGGTCCTTGACGAACAAAAAGAGATAGACGTACTTGCTATATGTATAGTAGGGACGAGGCTATACTTGGCCCTCTGGCTAAAATCACTTATGTACGTCTATAAACACTGAGCTTCGTGAGCATTCGAAGTTGTGTAACAACCACTGAAGTCAAGTCACTGGTTTTGTAATAGTCGGCATGCCGACGTCGCTTGTGAAAATAAAGAAAAATAATAGTGAAGTCTCTCAGTGGGCCTTGACTCTGACTAACACACTGTGCCTCAAGTCATGGTGAATTTGCATGCACTTATAAATTGTTCGATAATAAAATATCCTCGTGTACCACTACGTTCTGTATATTATATGACAAGTGATAAACTAACGAACTAGATAATCTATATTCACTCGTTCACGCCGAAGGAAAATAACAGCAAACGAATGGACACAAATAACCCTATTTTTATTCTGATATTGTTGATCGCTCAGTTTCCAGACAACACATAACCTCCAAAAGTCGTTCATGACTCGTCTAACGGGCACAGATGTTGTATCCGAGCATCTTAAAGATAACTTCTAAATATATTTTTTATCCGGCTTCCGTCGGTCGCTCATAACCTTAAAATGCTTATTGGCTACTTTCGTACGAACTTACTCGACCACGTCGTTAAGACCACTTAATGGTTTGTCATCAAATTAAGACGTGCTACGAAAAGCACAGCGCGGCCTCCGTTTCGTTTTTACACAGAAGAAAACAATCGATCGATGTCCTGTATAACTGTTTACTGGAACTCGTGTTTCAAAGATTTGCGAGAATTCGAACAATTTTGCTGACGCTCGATGACACGCAAAACCGCGGGTGACGCAATGACGGGTTATGTAGTCCCGTCTAACCATTATTTTTTCTATTATAATCTTTCTAGGAATATACGGAAATGTACATATTCATATATATACATATAATGATTCCCAGACTTATGTCGTCTCGATTTACGATGGATCACGTAGTTCAGGGTAAGTTCAGAAGTTCTCTGCCGGTATACTTATCGTCGCACTCCTATTTATCTGCACGTAATTGAGACGCAATCAATGCTCACAGTACTGGTGCATTTTCGAACGTACTTTTGTTTTTGCCTGTCTCTAACACTTCGTGTCAACGCGCGCTTGACTTACGTCGTTTTGACCAACGTAGTTTATCGGGGAACCAATTAACGACGTAACTTCGAGGTATGATTGCAGATATATTTTATTGAAACTACTTTCAGACATTATTATGCGATCGACGGTCGATACCGACTACGTTTATACGACAGCGTTAAACCGGTTTAGTTAGCACTGATCTAAAGAATATGACAAATCACCGATATTTCTACTTCTAAGGAATATTTGGGATTGATCAATTCTTTCAGACTAGTACTAAATTAATCGGTTTAAAACCGCCGTGTGAATGTAATCAATGATTTTAATGCGAATATCTACGTTAGCGGCGCTTGGCTTTGGCGGGAAATTTAAATTCACCTTTTACAAAATGCCGGGAAATTCAGCTAAATCTACTACTATCTGTTCATTGCCCTCGCTCATGTCTCATGCGCGGAATAATAATATTCTGACGTATTCGGTGGACATTACGCTTATACAGCTAACGTGGATCGAAACGTCGAAGAACTTGCGTCATATCTATTTATATATATATATATATATTATTAGGTATATGAATATAAAGATATATACAAATAGATGCACGGTAGATTAAAATGTAGGTTCGCGCGCGATGAAAGAATAAAGAACGTAAAGTCTCGTGGACTTTATAGACTTTGACATCAATTGCGGTAGGTCTTGTCTGGGTTGCTTGGAAATTCTCACAATACCGTAATAAAGTGATATACTGTGAGAAGTAACGTTTAATGTCGTGTAATGTTATTGTTGAGATACAAAGTCCAAATAAGCGATACGTCACGGCTGGAGTTGCTTCTTAAGCATTTACACATATACATATATATATATATATATATATATATATATATATATATATATATATTAATACGAACGATAGTACACCTACTATCTTCGTACGATCCTCTGGTTTTTCTTTTTTTTTTTTAATCAAGGCTAATCCTTCGGACACAGATTAAACGCGAAGAAATTCTCAATCCACCATTGATTATAGACTGTCGACTATTTGTTAATAAGTTACGAACGATAGTACACCTACTATCTTCGTACGATCCTCTGGTTTTTCTTTTTTTTTTTTAATCAAGGCTAATCCTTCGGACACAGATTAAACGCGAAGAAATTCTCAATCCACCATTGATTATAGACTGTCGACTATTTGTTAATAAGTTAATGAAATTTCATGGACTCTTTGGATTTATTGCTCATACACTTGTGAATACTGTGAAGCACTGTTTTCAAAGTGCCATACGTGTGTTAAAAGTGTTACTCGGGACTGTTGATAATAATGATAATGCGTCAACAGGAAATGAAAATGCATCTTGAGTAAAGCTGAATACTTTTTTTTTGTTACCATTATAAATTTCGTGTCAGTACTGATAACCCTTTGGGATATCTCGAAATAGGTTGGTGTGTCATGGTTCTCATATTTGTGAATGTTTTGGAATCTCCAAAAAATGCGTACGACATTAACACACTCAATATTCGTCTTTTTTTCCAAAATTTAATATTTTTTAAAAATAATTATCCTGTTTGTCCCGACCTGAAAAAAGGGGTAATTATAAAACATTTGTACTTTCTTGCTGCAGTTTGTCTGGACGAGGTAACTTTTTCTTTAAGTTCTTCGCTAAGGCAAACCAATAATTTCCTGATTCTGAAATCATAGTAGTGTCAATATGTCTGACCTACCTCATTACCCGCAATGTAATGTCAAAAAGCACGCATGATTATTCAAAATAATTTGTTTTCATACTTTTTTTTATGTATAGTGGATTTATACATCACGTGCATGCCAAATATTAATTTCCAAGGAAATTATTATGTGTATATATATACATACATATATGCGCAGTGGTATATTAATAAATCAGCTAAATGCAACTGGTTGCGTAACTTGAAATCTGACTAGTCTTGGAAAAAGTCTATGCGAGAACACGCTATCTTCACCTAACTGGTGGAATAGATGATAGGATGAACGTGCATGTGAGTTGGTACATATCTATACATGTTTGTGTGTGTGTATATATATATAGTCTCTTTTTCAAGATAACGTTATCGGGACCCTATGACTTGTACCTTGGCAACAAGAAATGATTAAAAAAAAGACTTATCCCGAGAAATGACCCAGGGCCTATATCACAAATATATATCGATATTTATATCTTCATATATAAGTCACTCGGCGATAAAGTCTTCGAGCCTGGGAAGATCCACTTGAGCTCCTATGGTCGTTTCATAGCGATAGGTATCTAGGATCATTTAGATGATTGTCTGCTAGCCAAGATTATATGTAAAAATAAGCTGTTTATCACATGTGTATGTGTGATCTTCATACAGATCTTCATAGATCAAATCTTTCTTATAGTAAAATGATTTATTGCCATCGAGTGAGAGGGTATCTCGTTTTTCTATAATGTAGGTAAGTCATTGAATTAATATAAATAAAATTTTCTCTTGATCATTACAGATGCTGATCTTAGTATGGGCGGAGGCGGTGCCGGCGGTTCTGTTCTTGGTTTACCGGCTACCGGTGTCGCTGGAGTGTTGTCGCAGCACTGTGCAATTTGCGGTGATCGTGCCACTGGGAAACACTATGGCGCAGCTTCCTGCGACGGCTGCAAAGGCTTCTTTCGACGATCGGTTAGGAAGAATCATCTTTATACCTGCAGGTGGGAATTAGTAATTGTTTAATGCTGTCGTAACGACAAGAATACTTTTTGAGAGATTGCAGTCGATCTCCGTGTAGATTGTGGGTGGGGAATTTAGTAAAAAAAAATACAGATCCGACTGTTTGGTTTTTAATCATGAATCTTGTGTCAGTTAATGGGGATTGATTGAATTAACATTTCTTGTTGTCAGGTTTAGCAGAAATTGCGTAGTCGACAAGGATAAACGCAATCAGTGCAGATACTGCAGACTACGAAAATGCTTCAAGGCTGGTATGAAGAAGGAAGGTGGGTTTATTTTTTAAATTATTTAATAATCGATCAAGCACTATCAGCCAATCGAGTGCAATGTATAAATCGATGCTTACGTTATTCGATCATGTCCTTTTGCAGCTGTGCAGAACGAGAGGGACCGGATAAGCTGCAGAAGACCAAGTTACGAGGAGCAAGGGAACAATGGAGGTGGACTTTCAGTGGTTTCGTTGCTTCAGGCAGAAATGCTCAGTAGAAAGGTCGGCGCGGCCTTAGAGGTCAGTTTAATAATTCATTAACGTGAATATTAATCCGTTAAAATCATTAGGCACTGTGCGTATGGGCTGGTAAACGTAAGCACACGTAATTCATGAAATAAACTGAGTTTAAGTTTTTTCCATAGAATCTCTTCTCAAGACTTTGTAATTCAATCGAAGGGTAACCACGGGACGTAGTATTAATAACGATTTCGTGACGTAAAATTTTTGGAGAATGAAGATTCATGTTCTTGAAAAGAAAAAAATTAGAATCTAATGAAGTACTGATATCTTATACGATTTTAACAGTTGCGCAGTCCGGGTAACGAGGTCGACCTTAGCACCAAGCAAATCGCTAGCATCAACGACGTGTGCGACAGTATGAAGCAGCAGTTACTCATCTTGGTCGAGTGGGCCAAATATATTCCGGCGTTTGGTGAACTCACCCTGGACGATCAGGTAGCTCTTTTGAGGGCGCACGCTGGCGAGCACCTTCTTCTTGGCGTGGCGAGACGCAGTATGCACCTTAAGGACGTTCTTCTGCTTGGAAACAATTGTATCATCACAAAAACCTGTCCTGGTACGTAGATTGTGCTGACCTCCTGGAGCACCGAGTTCGTTGCTGTACAGATGGCAGGAGAAATGTACTCCAAAGTGCTAGTATTAATTAATGTTATTGAACTAGAATGAAGGAGGCCATTATTGCTCGCTAGTGTACTGGCTTGTGAATTCGTAATGACGGGTTCAATTTTAAACATTAGTACAGTAAAAGTGTCCGGCATATATTGGAGCATTGTGTGTTTAATTATCAATTGTAAACTCCATTAAAAATATACATTGCATCTCTGTCGCGGTTATCTTGGTTAGGGATTGCTTCGAAATTGGTTATCGATCAGTTTTCAAACAATTGACATTGCTTGGTTAACGTGCATATCTTTGGGAATTGGCTGCTGCGTCCACGGGTACTGATGGGGGATTTCTTTATTTTTTTTAATACTTTTAATGGGTCAAAGGTTAAGAATGCATGACTGCACGATAGAGACGTGTATAGTTTTGTGCTGTTCTCCCTATGACTGGTGAAATGATTGGTATTAGGAACAGCGCCCACTGTCTTTGATATACATACACAGATATACGATTATTACACAAGTCGAGTATTTTGTAATTTCTGAAAAATTGTATAGATTTAGTTTTTCCTTTCTTTGGGGGGGGATTATATCACTCGTCTGGAAGACATTTATCTTTTTACCGTGAAGCCCGTGCAATGAACTCATTTGTTATTTCGTTCGGGTTGAGGGTATAAATTTTAATTTGAATTAACATACAATTAATTCAGTTCTTCATAAAATTGATAGTCATAGGTCTAACTTGAAAAAAAATATTAATGAAAATGACGCGTGTGTACCAGTAATAAATGCATTTCGAGGAATCTTATTAGAAATTTATATGCGTATGTGCGTAATACATTATGTAAACAATCCGGACAGTCTATAATATACATATATACACGCATATGTACATACATATAGGAATTCATATACTTATCCACTCAAAAGGTATTGTTTAGTATCGAGAGGAAAAAAACAATCGTAAGATACTATCGAATTGCATAATATTGTTGTGATGCGTTACAAAAGGTCATTTAAAAATTGTATAAATTGGTCTGATCGCCAAGTTGTATCCTATTGTTCAGAGAGAATTTTTATCGGTGATGACGCAACGTCACTAGAGTCATTAATCATACGGGATGTTATTGTGCTTTCAATTGGCCGTCGAAGATTTACAAAATGTTTACTGCCACATTATTCGTAATCTTTTAGAGTAAAGAAATATGAATAGTAAAAGCATCTTATAATATATATTTTTTCTTTAATCTCGAAACTAAACCACTGGATTATTCCTGCACGATATATTGGGGAGTAGCTAGTTGACTGAGTCCGGACTATGTGTTTTCTATGTGGCTGATGCAAAACCTGCATGATCTGAAATCCGGTCGAGGATAAATTTGAGATTTCCAGGCTGCCGGACTCAGTCATAAAATTTTAAGTGAACGGTATAACCGTGGTTATCAGTGATATCATTACCCACAGAAGGACGCAGTCAAGACCTGGACATCAGTAGCGTCGGTGTCAGGGTAATGGACGAGCTGGTGAAACCCCTGAACGAGATCCAGATTGACGACACGGAATTCGCCTGTCTCAAAGCCATCGTGTTCTTTGATCCGAGTATGTATTCTTATGCAACTGTATGCAATCATATGTGTAGAGATTATTGATATTTAATATTTGAACAATAGATGCGAAAGGACTGAGCGAACCGGGGAGGATCAAGCAGCTGCGTTACCAAATCCAGATAAATCTTGAAGATTACATAAGCGACAGGCAGTACGACAGTCGCGGACGCTTTGGCGAAATTCTTCTAACGTTACCAGCCCTGCAGTCCATCTCTTGGCAGATGATTGAGCAGATTCAATTTGCAAGACTCTTCGGCGTCGCCCATATTGACAACTTGCTCCAGGAGATGCTCCTGGGTGGTGCTACTGCAGAAGTTAACGGATCCACGTCGCCTGTACCGGCTCCCAATGCGCCCGGTAGTTACGTCAGTAGTAACGGAAGTCCCAGCAGTCCTCTGACACCGGCTAATGCTGGTACCTTAAGTCCCCAGGATCATATGCTAGCTGCTGGTAGTCCGGTGATGATCATGAGAGATCTCACACCTATAAACACCCAAGAAGACACCACGACGGTCGCGGGTTTTAGATTATTTAAGCAGGAGCCCAGCTTGGAACCTGAACCGACCTTCTGACTAGACGGGGAATTTCGGATTTCCTCAGGTGAATTGAGTTGCTGAATTGGTTGATCGGCCGAAAGTCTCGATTTTTTGGGAATTTTTCTGAAATTCTATGGGATCTTGACACGGGAACACGGGGAACACGAAAAAGAAAGATCCTCGGGGTACGTTTAGTGTCGGATATTTACGAAGATCTTCGTATTTCATGGAACTCTGTAATTGCCAATTCGTATCTGTCCGTACGTCCAATAACGTAGATTTCATTTCACTTGACTATGCGGCCAGTACATTTTTTGGCTCCTGAATTTTCCGGGACAAGCATCACTAGTATTAGGGCTAGCCTTGAGAATAAAAAACTGAGGACTTTGCAACAGGGTTACGAGAATCTATTGGATTCGTTTGAGAGACGTGGTGTGTAAAAAAGACGTGGAGCAGGTCGCACTCACGACGATGGTGCTCAAAACAAGAAATATTGCTCAATTTAACGTTTGCGCGCTTAATAAGTACGCGACTTGAGTCGCGAATATCAAATCAAAATGTATGAGTTGATTTAAGTCAACCATTTTTAACGTTATCGTCGAATATTTCAGTCATTCGTCTTTGTTCCAATAAGCAATAACAACTATCGTAATACCAATCAAGTTAGTTTAATACCAATCAAGGGAGGACTGTCCGACAGATATTATATTTCCGCGACGATATTACGTTAGTACAAGTCTGATCTGCTTAACGATCTTCGCTCAAAATCGCCCTTAGAAGCAAACATAAGTAATTGATATGAAAGCGGATATTTCTAAACAATGCAACTATAATGACAATAGTTAGTCGAAAGCGATTGGTTTAATAGATATAATAAGTAGAAAAAAAAAGGAAACAAAATGTTATTGTGCCTCAGTCGTAAATCAAAGGAGGTATATATTAAAAAAAAAAAGAAGAAATAACATCATCGTGTTCTCAACGTCACAAAATTTTTTACTTGATGCAATGCGAATCCACGATCGTTTGTAATATTGAAAATACAAAAAGTTATATTTTTTAAAAAATAAAAATCACTTATTGATTACTCAACGATTGTGCCTGTGACTTTGAGTCGACGATATGCAGATTTTAGTGTTAACGTATTTCACACGTACATGCATACGTGGTGTATACATGGATAGGAGAAAACACGCACCAAGATGCGCGCATGTGCAAATATTAAATTTGTATATTTTCTTAGAAGTTATCATAGCATTCCAAAAATCGTGCGATATTTAATCGTATCCTTTTTATATTGTGAATAGTCTCGATTTGCCAGCAAAAGACGTAAGCTCCAGCGGGTATAGCACGTTTTTTGAAAATGTACGCCATTGCAATGCAATTTACTTTAGTGACACCGTGACAAGTGGTGTGTCGTTTACGTACTTTGGGTTTCATATTTTGCAATACACGTATCTTTTTCATACGGATGTCAATGCAGGAAGATTACGCATATTGTTATACAGTATGAAACGGATAGTACGTGCGACTTGTATACTAATATTAATAATAGTAGCAATAAGTCTTAACGAAAGCTGTCCTTACAATTAACGTAAAAATCGTAGGGCCGGATAACAAGCAATAGTAGAGTAAAGAAAAAGAAAAAAGTTAATCGAAACAAGCATATTTCACGATTAGCAGAAGGATATACTGGGACGATATACTGGGATGAAATTGAATTGCGGATAAGATTAATGCTCTTTGAAAAATTTATTTAATCGAGGTCATTGATCTTCTTATTTTACTGAACCATTTGTAAGGTTTAATATTGCGAATACTGTATCGTGAATCATGTTAGAACGTTATCTCTTAATGAGAACTTTATATAAAGAATATGAATTAATTGCAAAGGTTACTTGAAAAATATTATCAATCAAACTCATGTGTCACGTAATCGATTTCATATAATTCACGTTATAACTTTTAATCAAAAACTTTATCCTTGTAAAGTGCCAATGCTGGACGCGCATCCCTTACGGAAAAAAATGCATTTAATTTAGCCTACTTCTTCTTCTCTATGAATTTACATCCTTCCTCATATTATTTAGTAAAGTTACCGGCTCTCAAGTGCCACTGAGGAAAGATGGTTATTGTTGTTGTTGTTGTTTTTGTTGTTATTATTGTAGATAAATCATATGGAGAAATATAAGGATGATGAAATGCGCGCCAGAAATATAATTTTTTGAAATACAGGAGTGAATTATAATTTTTTGTTTTCAGGTTTGTATAATTCAAAATTACAAGCTGTATAGTGCGTACAGTATATACAGAATGTAGAGTTATGGCTCACATGTTATCACAGTATAAGGCTCATTCGATGATAGCGAACAAATTTTGTATTTTTCTATAAAAATTATTTATAATTTAGTGACGCTCCTGTATGTGTATATGTATACGTAAAGGTGTCATGAGGCAGGGAAAGTCATTGATAATATAATAGAGAATACGTATCTATCAATTTGATAAATCAGCTATGCCATTTTTGCGTATCAATAGGTTATCCTTAACGTTATTCAATCATGGGTTGTGAACTGTAGACGTTATCGTTGTCTGTTATTTGATTTGTTTTTCTTTTTTTTTTAAATACTGTTGATAGTTCTCTTATACGTATTGGTTTCGTTATGGATACGCAAATGCGACGTTTATTATTGGTTATTTAATAATTATAACAGCCGTTTGTAATTTTAAATAAAGGGATATGTGATTTAATATTTACTTCTCGCTCGGGAATTTTATTGTTTATAATTATTTGACTTTGATGTCGGTATAATTTCCTTTCTTTATTCCTGAGTAATTACAGTCGTGTTACTTATTCCACGTTTGACTATTGTGATAACAGATAGAGCTGAGTTATAGTTTGTTGTTTGTCTTTATGTTTCATCTAGGATTGGATATTGTTTTCACATTGATTGTTTGAATTGTCAAGGTGTTTGAAAATGCGATGGGGTTTTGAATATCAGGGAAAACTATTGTTTCTGAATAGTAGATTCTTCTACTGATTATTAATTAACTTTTTGGACACCTAGTGCCTAAGTTTAAAATAATTTTGTAATGTGAATACTGCATAGCAATGTAATGTAGATAAATAATAAGGAAAGAGGAGGAAAATTGTTTACTTGCAGCTGATTCTTCAAATGAGAAAATGTTTTCTAATATTTTTGAAGTGATTTAAATATTGTATTACTATTGAAAATACTTAGTTTTGTATAATCGTACGTTAGTTACTAGAGTACATTAATTGATAAAATGTTTATACAATAGTATAACATAGCTAGAACAGGATGTTCTTATTGAAGTAGAAAATTTAAATGCATGAAATATTGTAAATATTTGTACACTTTGTATGATTGTATAAGTTTTTGAAGACTGGCTTGCACTGTGTCAGTTCGCTCCTTATTACACCCTAAAGAATATTTTACTTACATAGAAAATTTACAATCACTTTGAGCATCTCTAGGAGTTTTTCATTTATCCAAGAGATCATTTTTATGATATAGTGATATCTAGCGCTCATTTTCGATAAATGTAGAACGCTTACGTTTCTTATGATTTGCTATCAACTCTGTTGTTTTAATACCACCACCACCTATCTTAAACCAATATACAAGTTGCTCCTTTGATTTTCTACCAGATAAGAAGATTGTTCTCTCTAGCATAGGCAACTGAGAGGCAATCATAGGATTTGTATCTTGATTTTGTGCCCAGTCCATAACGAGTCTGAATCGCGATTTAAATGTCTGTAATAATATAAGTAATATAAAAGTTATAAAGCACAAGGTACATTTCTCCAAATTGCATGTACTGATGGCAAAGTATTATAAATCCTTACTTTAAGCAACAATTCTGGTAACTTTTCACAGTCCGGATGATCAAACTTGGCTACGTGTAATCCAAACTCATAAAAATAAGTGTTCCACTTACTTAATTCAATAGCGCAAGCATCAGCATTTAAAATTTCTCTAAAAAAGCATACAATATTCATAATGTATGGTGCAATATTAAACTTCCTCTTGTTAGGAATTGTAAGTATTGTTGCATACCTGTAACTTTCTTTATAATATTTTGGTATATCAATACTGGCTATAGGATCTTTTGATTTATTCATTGAATATGCTAGCCAAAAAGAAAGTTCTAGCTTCGTACCTGGTTTTAAATCTTTAGATTCTGATGAGTGGTCCATAAAACCTGTACTCACAATTCAGAGGTTTCGTCAAACGTACAATACAATTGGTTTCATATATTTTTATAATACAACATAAAAATATTTATAATTCAGATTGTAATGGTAAATCAAATTTGACAACACAATCGGGGGGTTAAATGTACGCGGACTCACCGAGTCTTGGCACTTTTTGTAACACTTTACAAGACAGGCGCTCCTCTGTAGCTAAAATATCATCGATTGAGAAATAATTAGGCTTATAACTTGAACACAATGACATGATGAGAGTTTCAAATTGTCGATTTCTATTAAATATGTTTTTATTCCAGTCACCAAGGAGACTCCAATAGATCCAGAACCCCTTTAACCGTTAAAGCCATGAACGAATGAAAATGGTTTACAGTGGCACTGTAATCGCAGACAGAGATGAGTGGGGAGATGCACAACGCTCCGGTTTTAGGCGATACCAAAAGCATGCCGCTAAATCGTAGCGGCGAGTCTGGAAGTAGGATTTTGTGATCATCGCCTCCGTCGACAATGCAAATCCCGTCGTAGTCGAGCTAAACGTGAACACGAACGCATAGCTTGGCGGGCAGAGGTTCTCCGCTACTCACCGCTGGTTCCCAAAGCAACTCTTAGAACGAGACCGGGAAATATAGAACTTCTCAAGAATTATTGAAAAAGCTTATTGTTGAAATATTTTTAAGACATTTTTAAGAAAGTGCCAACTTAACACCCGTGTAGCACCTCAATTTTTACTAAATATTATTGGATCTTGATTTACTTTCAAAATTTATTCAAAATATAAAATTGAAGCTAAATAAAAATTTCGCAGAATATACGGAGTAGATCAAATTTGAATTGAAATTGTAGAATATCGAAAATAAATTACATTCAAATTGAAATATTAATAAATTAAGTGTTTGTAACGATAAAATAATTAATTAAATCAATAAAGTAAAATATTAACACTCAGAAATCGGAAATTCAGGCCAAGCATATTTAGAAATTACTGGAAGGTGCCCAAAATTGTATGCGCGCAAATTCGTCGCGGCAGGACTCTTGGAGTGGGAGATGGCGGAGAGTGGAGGTGAGCGCTGGAGGCAGCGCCCGGACTTCGAACGCTCATTCTTCCTCGAGCCGGTCTCCTATACTGGTCTTTTGGAATCATTACTATTATTCATTTTCAACATTCTTCTCTTTCTATATTTATTTCTTCTTTACATTCATTTTTCTTAATCTGTCATTCTTTACTTTCTGATTTATCTCTTTCTTTATTTCTTTTTTACTTTTATGTTCCTTACTTTTCTACTTCTTAACTTCTTTATTTCTATCTTCCCTTCTGTCTTCTCGTTTCATTCTATTCCCTGTCACTTTCCATTGTGCTTGTTTTACTTGTCCTATTCCTTTGGTCGGGTTGAGCATATTAATTGAAGTAGTCATATAAGAGTAGTCACCCTGTTAGTGCAGCTAGATTTAAGACCATGGTGTCGGGGGTTGCCCTTCCGCCTCATCCGCTGAGCTTGCTCAGTGGGTCGGGCCCTAGTTGTGGCCGCAACGGGACCTTATGGGTCTCCCGACGGGGGCCTTGAGCCCCCTTAGGGTATCTACGGCCATGGTCTTTCGTATAGTGAATCTAACCAGGTGTCTAGCTCTCACGTATTTCGTATATTTTGCTCGCTTTGCTAAAAACGCTCCAACATGTCATTGACCCTTGGGCACTCGTGTGGGTAGAGACGATCCTATGTGTCGGTGGGGAGGTCGGAGGGGTAGTCCGTTGACTCTGGGTAAAGTCCTATTTGTGCTTGTGCTTGGGGGTCTCCTTCACTTGGGGTAGGTGCGGGTGCTATTGAGCACCTGCTAGTATAAAGTCACCCTCCGTCGGAGACATTTTGCGCGGGAATTGATGGCTAACGGGGCCCGCCGCCGGCGGCGGGCGCGGTTCCTTACGTCTAATCCACTGAGCTTGCTCGGTGGGAAGGGACGGAGGTTGTAGCGTTAAATATCGTCCTTCGGGATGCCCTGGCGTGCCCGCAAGGGCGCCGCCGGGTGCTACGCCCGCGGTCTTTCGTTGCGGTGAATCTTGACTAGGGGTAGACCTTTCGCGTTTAACTTCACCTTACCCCCTTGTGCGTGTTTCTTGTCCCTCGACCCGACTTCCTTTCCTTCCTGAGGTTTTTCCCCCCTAGTCCTGTGCGCGAAAGCCGCAGAAACCAAGGCCCCCGTCGGGAGACCCATAAGGTCCTGTTGCGGCCACAACTTGGGCCCAACCCACTGAGCAAGCTCAGCGGATGAGGTGAAAACTCATAATCCATACGAATTGCTACTCTGACAGGGTGACTACCCTCATATGACTGCTCAAATGAATATGCTCAATCCGACCAAGGAAATAGAAAAAGTAAGCGAAGAACAAAGGAGAGCGAGGGGGAACAGAGCGGAAAAAGGAAGCAAAAGGAAAGGGAAATGAAGAAAGGGAGAAAGAAATATATACGTAAAAAAGTAAAGAATGAAAGGATAGAAGTAACACAAGAAAAACGAAGAAATAAAGAAGTAAATATACAAAAAGAAAGGGACGGTAATGAATAATGGATTCGCATCCAAGAGACCAGTGTAGGAGACCGGTTCTCGGAAGAATGAGAGCTTCAAGCTCGGGTACTCTCTTAAGTAGAGCCCCCCCCCAGCGCCCCTCGCGACACGGGCGGTCGTGGGCGGCAAGTCTGCGCCCACACATTTGCAACTTACAGTATTTCTCAGTGTGCCTCACCACAGTTTTTGATTTCTGAGTCTCAGTTTGTAACTTAATAAAATTAATTACTTTAGTATTTTAATAATCGAATTGCAAGTACACTGTCTTCTGCATAACGAATTTTTGTTTGTTTGTCTTCCCGCGGAATATTCAACTAATCATCAATTGCCTAACATGGAACCCTAGTGCCACCAGTGGCGACAATTAACACTACTTACTACTTCCTTAATAATATTTCCTGCCAGTAGCTAAGCTGGTGCGTAACGTAAATTAGGCTATTTATAATAAAAAAAAAAACAGTATAATATATTTTTAATATTAGTTTATTTTGACATTTTAAGATGTATGGACAATTATTACATAATAATTATATATAATGAGAGATTTCTTTTGGTGGTAGTTCATAATGTTCCACATAGTGTTCGCGTTTATCCTTTTCCTATACTTCTTACACAACACTCTTTCACAAAAATCAATCGTCTTTTAACTACGAATGTATCATGAAATACGTGCGCTCTTGGTTATTAATCGTCAATTAAACATTATATATATATTTTTATCATTATCAATATTATAATCATTAATATTACCATTAATTATTATAATTACGATATAACGCTATAATTATTTCTTTTTATTTACTGGTTTATTAATTCATCCATAATGATAGAAAGTACATTACAACGTGTAGCGAATATTGTTCGGTAGAAGGATTTCTTTCTTTTTTCTTTCTTTTTCGTTAATAGGTGTCACCCCAAACAAATAGCGCCACGCACCAGCCAGAATTTTTAGTTCCTAAACGTGCCCAGACTGCTTCTCAGAAGACGCTAAAGACCCGCGACCACTCAAAAACAATTTTCCAGCAATCTGGAATTTTCCCATTTTCGTATCTTACGACAATGTTTCTTCGTAATAAAAATTTGCCTCAACCCATCAGCAACCACATCGTCCAAACGTTACTCTGACAATTCCCTGCCGAAGACGAGTCTTTGAAAAAAAAAAGTAAAAAAAAGCGCGAGCCCCGATCGAACGTATCGTGTCTGCATCTAAAAGTGTAGTGAATCGTTCAAGAGTGAAACGAATGAATAAAACCCCAAGTAAACGAACGAAAGAACGAGCGAGCGAGCAAAAAAGGAGCAATCCTCTCTGCATAAAAATGCCAATAAAATACCCCCAGTATAACATATCCCAATCGTACATAGGAACATCACTTAATAAACGGAACAATTAAGATTCACCGACGTTCCTCTCCATGCTCTCTGTCAACTGAGAAACGTGCCTCGAGCTTTGCTCAAGGGGCAAAGAAAAAAACTATTCTAGCCACCATTTCGCACGCTCGTCGCAAATTGCAAATGCACGTCGTTCCTTCACGTTCTTCGTGTACACCCGCCCATTTTAAAATACCTACGAGCTGCCAGCAAATCTATCCCAAGATTGTGGTAGGATTCGGATCGTAACATCACAGAGTCGCGTCGACATTTTAAAATGTTGTTCCCTACCTGCCTCTCCGCTTCCAAGCGTATACATATATGCGTCGCGTCATATAAATCGCCAAGACGCCAGAAAAGCCCGATGTACGCAATAACATTTTTTAAAAACGAATGATCATCCCCATTACTAACGCATTTACTTGTCACTGAATGTGCATACGTATGGTTGACTGTATCCCTGTGTATTTGCGCCCGCGAGTGTGTATGCGTTCGAGTGTTAAACGTGTACCCGCGTGTTAATCATTGACTATGTGACTAGAAACACGACATACGCAAGACTTAGGTATAATAATTAATGATACATATAACGACAGCCCCATTAATGGGGATCGGCGTTAAATTTTATAATAATATGGCCACCGCAATAGCAATAGTATATAATAACAACAATAATAATAATGATTATAATGATAATAATAATTATTACGGATAATAATGATAAGGTGTATACAAACTATATATCGTAATCAGAATGATACACGTTTACAATCGTGTAATAAAGTGGCGATTACCTATGTGCCTGACGTATGTAAGCGAGAGGTAGATAAGAAGAAAAAAAAATTAAAATAAAGAAAGAACATCAGTGACGAAGAAAGAAAAAAAAGGAGTAAGCAACAACGTGACACGTAATACGTGATACGTGAGGTCAGATCGGTAAAGATTAGATAGATTGAATATATACGCTCGGTTTCACCATTTTTGTTCGTAGGTCTCGTCACTCAATTAGGATTTTGTCCACGGGGACATTTAACACGTGACGAAAATGCTAATGTGGCACGTTGCGATACGAGATTTAACGTGTTACGGCCGACCTTCCAGAGAATGCAATGCATTGAGAGTTGTCTCAGTGTTATCAGCGCGCGAAATTCATCGATCAAAGCCATTAGGAAGGGGTACGAGCTTGTGAACGAATGTCGGTTACGCAATGATTGTTATTAATTATAAATATAAAGAGTTAATGGACTACGTGAAAGTAAGTCTGCGATAAGAAAGACTCCTTGAGGAGCGAGCGAGGATCGATTTGTATTGGGATTGCGCAATTACGCGAGAAAAATCAACGATCGGATTGGTCGCGTATTAGTAAAGTTATTTTGTGTTGCGCGCGCATCCAATGGAAATTCAAATAGTCGAAGTTCGCTGGGGGATAGTTCGTCGACGCGGCCGCGTCAAAATGCTTGGCGCTGCTAACCGTGCGGACAAGTGACGTCGGTAGCCGAGGATCGGAGAATTACCTTAAAGAGAAAAGGCATAAACAAAGAATGACGCACGCTCGAAGCAAGAATCGAAGGACTAGAAGTATTTTCTAAGCTTTAAAATGGCACGATGCAATTTTTGTTTTGTCGTTATGTAACGACGCGAATAAATGCACGAAGAGACATCCATCTTTGTTTTCTTTAGTTAGGACTGCCTCCGTCTCCTGATCCTGGCGCTACTGTCGTTTCTTCTCCTCTCGCCGTTAATATGAGAAATCCTTTTTGCGGACACGGCGCGCTCGCATGGGATTCAGAGAGACTTTTTTAAAATTAACTCTCGATCGCTCAGTCACCCAATCGCACGAACTGCATGTTCGATACATTTAATTCGACGCATTCACACGATTCACGCTTTCGACGGTCATTCGTTCGCGCATACATATATTATTTTCTTACATCGTTTGTTCGTGCATTAATTAACCTCGAAACACCTTTAATAGCAGACAATCATCTTTATATTCATTTGCTAGCGCTCATCTCTCTCTCCTAAATGTTATTGGAATATACCCCAAGTATACACAGAAATATGACTTACCACTTTTAATATTAATTATTTATAAGTAATAACGCAGTAATCGGTAGACTCTTACAAATATACTCCTATCTACGTCATCAATCGTTTATCGTATTTCATTTCTCTTTTATGTGCTCTCTGCTCTGTCTCTCCTCTCTCTCTCTCTCTCTCTCTCTCTCTCTCTTGCTTAACCATACCATTTTCTTAATACGTATAATCCTCTCTATCTGACTGATGTCACCCAGGAGTTATCGCGATGTAAATAAATTTGTACCCTTCTCCCACTCCCTACATTCATTATCATCCTCTGCTACATCATCGAGGACGCGCACGACTTTCTTAATCACGATCAAGCATTGCCAAAGTATCTGATCGATCGAGCAAACAGATATTTTTCGAAGGATCAAACACAAAGTCATTGACACTACTACGACGCCTCATTATCCTTCACTAACTAAAGTTACACTGCATGCACGTTGGCACGTATTATTTGGTACATTTTCCTTATCTTTTTTCTCTTCCTTATACATTGTTCATAATTTCCTTTTTTTTTTAAAACGTTTATTGACACCCTAACTGTTTCGCGCTGAACTAACGTCCATCAGATAAAATCATTTGTCGCGAGGAACCAGAACTAATCATAAGTAAAATCGTTCGTTTGTCTCACGTGTCGTCGATCTTAATATTGTGACTGTCGATATTTGTGATCTTCAAATCACGTAAACGCTCATGGCTACTTCTATGATCTCTCGCTGCTCTCTCCTGCGACCGTCGACAAAACGCTCTTGTAATTTTTCTCAGTATCAATGATACACTGTACTCGCCACGGCGCGTTTCTCGCGAGAACGTCACAGAACGTTTTACTTATAAAAACCGACACTTTACCCAATTACTCTTTTATTACTCTATGGAGATAATGCTCGTTCGCTCGTTTCATTCAGTCGTGATAATTCGCAACGCGCTCATCGATATAAAGCCGTATCGGAGACTGCGTACCGACCTTTACTTAATTTTACGAAAAAATAAAAAATAAAAATGAGATTCTTAACAAAAAAGTGAGAGACGACTCTTCGGAATCGTGGAAATCGCATTAGTCGCAAACAAAAAAAAAGTTACTGTAATTTCATTGACGTTGATACTATCGTTCGCAGCGTTAAATGGGCAGAAAGAAGAGAGACAAACGAATTTTTTGTAATTTAAAAAATTCCTATCTTCACGCGAGATTGCGGGCCAAGCATCTGCGAACTCCGCATCACGGGAAATGCATATCGAACGAACCGTGCGCCGATTGGCTACCTTGAATCTGCTTCCCCTCCCCCCCTCCCCTATTCCGCCAGCCCCAAGCCAAGTCCCTTAATAAAGTACAACTTATGCAAGAATAATAATAATACATAGTGATTTGTGCGCAACAAGATTTGCGTTCATCGAACGTACATTTTGAACTACGATGTCTACTGTGAGGTCCCGTGTGAGCTTGCTTTGCTGGCATTATTATTTTTTAAATCATTTTATCTCATTTCGTCCACTCGTCGTTCGCCTTCATTATTCTCTTGTATATTCCGAACATAACGGTATTGTCAATATACTCGTAGAAAGTTAGAACGAGAGAAAAATAAGGTACTTAGAAAAATACGTTTCCAGGATACCTGACGATCGTCGTTAACGGACGATACGCCGGGTGCGCATGACGCTTGCATTTTTTTCATATTGCGCGCGCGCGATGCTTTGCCTACGCCTGCGTGTTAATAGAGCTATGCGTTATGATTATAAATTTATAATATACATATATATAGTATGTATATGCTCGCCGAATGAAAATAGCGTTATGTGCGCGTACAGAGAGTGGTGTCCAAACAGAGTGACACGCGTCTTGCAAGGAAAAAAAGAAGAAAATTAATACAAAGATTCAATAACCAAGTAGCCAGTAGCCAGTAGTAAAATGAAAAATCGATTGTCAAACGACATAGTTAACCAAAAAGAAATTAGAACAAATTCTAGCCCGCTCGTTTCGTCAGACTCATGTGTAAGCGAGCTTGTACCCTTTGTTGTGTGCTTCTTCGGTGCGTCTTGTGCAGTTGCGCACGCGCGTATTGTACGTACCTATGATTAGTAGCTATAAAATAAGGAACCTAAAGTTACATGATATTTTTGTCAAGCCTCGACTCTTTGTGCTATCGATAACGACTACGCGCGCTTATTGGCGTAATCGAAAAAAGAAATGCATCTTTGGATAAAATTGTAGTCCCACCCACCCTATCCCCCATTCCACTCTGTCCCAATTTTATTCGCTCCCGGGGTATACTTTCACACGTTCAATACGAGCTATATCGTGTTGGCAAGTAAGTGCTTCTACTAGTCCTTTCTCTTTGAATTGAGAACGAAAGGAAAAAAAGAGAAGTGAAGAAATACAAGGAAAAGGAGAAAAATGCAAATATTACTGCAACAGGATTAATGCGTGTGAAATTGTATGTGTGCGTGTGTGTTCGCGGACCTGCGCGTAGTCATATTGTACCTTGGTCAGTGTCGAATTCTATATATGACATGTATCACGTGACATGGACTTATTATTCGCATATATGACAATCCCGTCACGCGTTCCCTCATATGCGTGCAACGTGTATGCATACGTAATGCAGATATAGATGGGGACGCGGGTGAAACTGTCCTCTGCGCCCGCGTATATTATAATGACAATTCGTATATATCAGATATTTCAGAAGGTTGTCCTCACTTTGTATAAGAGTGTGTTATATCGTGCGTGTTTTGCGTATCCAATGATTTCTTTAAAATGTTAATTACCATCAAGGCGGTACTCTCGTCATCGAGAACCTGTTTACGTCACGCTGATTTCAATTCGTAGTACGAAAACTGCGGAGGCTTGTGATCTCGATCAGCAATCGGAATTCAAAACGACCAAACTGGATAAATACTGGCAATAACGATGATGCGTTTACAGGCTGTGCAAATACTATATGATATTTTAGAAACATTTTTTTTATGTAACTCAACATACCGTGTATCGGTTTACGTCGATCCTCGTATCTGTCCTGACACGCATCGTTCTAACGCTAATTCTGATTTGCCGTTAATTTACATATTTTCTATTGTTTCATGAAAATTTGAGCCCCGGAGTCTCTCGGTCAACCGAAACAGACCATCGATTATAAGAGTGATCGCCTTCATGGTTTGATCTCTATTGTTCGCGTTTAAACATAAAGTACAGAATTAATCTAGTAGAGACCGCAGCCGCGCAAATTATTGGCTATAATCACGTCTGTGACTGCGTCGAACACGAATTGAATGTTGTTTGTGTCGGTTGCGCAGGTCATATGGCAGTAGATCTCCTTTGTGGTTGACTTGTTCTTCGCTTCGAATTGTGCCTGAATGTAGGCAGCCGCTTCGCCGTACTCTTGCGCCCCTGGTGGATTGAAATGGCAACAGAAAAAAAAGAAGAGTAGCATGAGTATTTGAAGAAGCCTTTAACAGTTTCAAGAGTTGCAAGAAACACTGGTTTACAATATACATACCGGCGTATTCCGGGAAGCAGATGGTCAGAGGAGACTTGCGAATCTTTTCCTCGAAGAGATCTTTCTTGTTGAGAAAGAGGATGATCGAGGTGTCCGTGAACCACTTGTTGTTGCAAATTGAGTCGAACAACTTCAAGCTCTCCTGCATCCGGTTCTGAAATAAAAATTCGATTATAATCACAGCTCGCTCATATATTTCTATGAATAATAAAAATCTATACTAAATATAATCGATTGAATTATGTATATTTATTTCCTTGGGTCACGTATATATGCATAATTTTCTAATACAATTTGTCACTACGTCTTTACAGCAAGCACGTTCTAATGCCCACGACCACTTGAAAGGCAGTCAATGGAGTATTGCCACTAGGCGACACGGTCAATTGACACTTTGACACGAGACTGAACATTGTCTTTGTATAGAGGCGTGTCAGTATGCAATTGTGCATGTTCGTAAGATATCTGAGAGTTGTGTGAGCCGCGGTTTGCCAGCAACCACCTAGGAATTTAACGACGTCTCCTTCTTCCTCCAATATCCTCCTCTTCATTCCCACGTACACTGACCCAGCCAATTGATCTCTTAATTCTATGAAACCCCAGTCTACTCCCTTTCGCCCAACATTCACTAGCACGTAGCTCCGTTCAGAATTTCTTCGTCATTTCATTCATCATTTCTTTCGTTTGGTAAATTAATTTTTATCCATGACGCGTGACCGGGTTATGTTCTACTTGAGAATTGTGTAATGACTCCTGACACCAGATGGGTACCCCAGATCCACTTTACAATGGCTATCAAAAGTTTGACAAATATTAAATAACACGTTATCTTTTTCTTCCTTTTCGTCTTATCGCATATGTTTTTCTTTGGAGTTTCGTTCGTTTCTTCTTCTAATCTCTTCTTACCGTAGTCTCGTCCTCGTGCAGCACCTGATCGTATTCTGACATTGCAACGCAGAAGATAATCGCTGTTACGTCCTCGAAACAATGTATCCATTTCTTACGTTCGCTTCTTTGGCCACCAACGTCGAATAATCTGAAGAGAAAGGAATTGAGGATCAGTAATGATAAATAGAACATTTTTTAATTATCGACTATCCATATTGACCTGTCTCTTCGTTGAGAGCTGTTTTGGGATACTTACTTGAAATTAAGATTTTTGAAGGAAAAGTGAACTTCAACGATGCCAGTCGTTTTCACTCGAGTCCTTAAAATATCCTGTTCCGTAGGTTGATACTCCCTGGCGCCTAATCGATCTAAGTCATCGAGGAAACTGAAATGAAGAAATCAAACACAAGTTAGTACGACAAAAATTCAAAGTATTCATTCGCTTAAATATTGGGTAGGGTGTTAAATAAAAAAAATTACAAAAAATTTCTTAGACCATCCAGACCTCGATCGTTCAGTTTCCTAAATCGGAAACGTTAAAAAAAAAAAATAAAAATAAATCGCAAAGCACCAAAGAGACTATCTCGATTAAAGAAGAAACTGTACCATCCAAACAAAACTGCATCCAAAGATTAAAGGCGCGTTTCAACGAAAATTCTTTTTCCTCAGCCGTACAGATACCAATGAAAGTCAAAACTAGAATATTGAATTACATATTGAATATTACATATTAATTATTGAATATTCCAAGTAACGTCCAAACACACGTGTCTCCTCCAAGCACATCAGCCACGCTATTATCGTTAACGTCAATCGGTTATCAAAAAAGAAGAAAAGAACAAAAAAGTCAAAATAACTTTTCCCAGCATTATCATCACCCCCTCGTTACTGCGTTTGCAGTTCTGGCACGTGATAGGGCGCGGTTCGCAACAAGTAGGCAACAGCCTGCGCGAAGTTCGAAATAAAAAAAGAAATATCATCGTCCTCGTTATCCTCTACCAGTCTTTACCCAGGTAAAAGAAATTGCCCAAGTCAACCCCCTCGAGTAAAATTCGATTACATGAAAAATTTTCTTTCACATTTTATCATAGGCCTCCCGATACACCATGCTGGAGATAAGATAAGGATACACTAGGTATTGGCTGTACTCGCAAAATGAAAACCCGATAAGAGTACGTGGGTAGGAGTAAAGTGGATAAAAAAATTTTTTCAGGACAAAAATATAGTAAAAGACAGTGTGAAGTATGATTTGAAGAAAAAAAAAATATTGTCCTACTAGCTAAATTTTCCATCGAACTGGACCGACTGTAACCACTGGAATCCTTATCAGGACGTCGGGACGACATTGAAGAGGGCGCGTGAAACTTGAAATCGATATCCGTGGCTCCACCTTGTCGTTTGCGAGTAACTGAACCGCGGGTAAAGTGCATATAACATAAGCGGGCCATTAATATGTCAAACGCATCTGCGTATGGTGGGCAGGTTTAAAAACAGATAACCTGTTGCAACGAGGCGAGAAAAAAAGAATGTGCACAGGTGAACGTGACTGGTAATCCATTCTATACCTTTCAATGAATCTTCTGGAAGAATGATTCCTTTTTTTACACGTCATTCATATGGATATTGTTATCGCGTCTGCATGTACTTTACGTTCGTCATAAAAATTTAACAGTGTCACCCATATGGTTCGGTGTCTATCTTGGATTAAGTAGTACTTTAAATTCCTTTTAGACATGCTGTTAGATAACGAAATGCAAAAAAAAATTTATTTCCATCGTCAATCATTCCATTAAAAAGATGCATCGACAATCTCGAAAAATATAACGAATTTTTCCTAAAAACGGCCAAACCAAAAGTCAACAATAGCCCCAAAAAAAAAAGGACATACAGTTCTTGCACCAAAGTATAAGGCTAACGGCAGATTGTCAAATCGATCTGACACAGAGCGACCATAACCTCAAAACCGTACTGCAAATTAAGAAGCCCCTATTACAAGTCGGAATCTACGAGTGACCCAAGCGAATGAAATATTTCCAGAAACCAAAATAACATATGAAATCTTTGTACAGCAGCAATTTACGAGCTGCGATATAACAGCCAACTAAAACCCCCGAAGTAAACTTCGGCGCGGCCGAGGATTAAGGAAAGCGAATACGAGCGCCATCTTGACAATGTGTACTATCGTGGATCCCCGTTACATGACATAAGGATTTCTCGTATTTTTGAAGGAACGAACGAGCGCAATAATAAGGAATCGCTCAGGGTTCGGTGAGGTGTGAGTCACGGGGGGTGGAGAGACAGGCTATAGATGACTAAATGGTCGGGTGGCTGACGACTACGTAGAGGTGGACAAGCTGCATGCCTGGGTGGCCGACGAATGAGATGAGATAGAAGAGAAAGAGAGAGACAGAGAGAGAGAGAGAGAGAGAGAGAGGGGGG